TATACATGAATAGCCACATGCAAATCTTATCCTTCTCTTTACCTACTCAGCGACACGTCTTGTAGGGCGTCATGCTTAGAGCACTTTAAGGCGCAGCTTGCCCTGCAGAATTTGCTTTAAGACATTTGACACGACAGGTCATTGAAACTGTCATGTAAATAGCTCAATTTGTGCTAAAATAATGTGGAAAAAGTTTATGAGTTTGTCAGCAAGGTGTCAGGACATGCTTTTCATCATCGTAATGGGAAAATATATATAAACAATAAGAGAGATTGATCCCTGACTAGCATGTGAACAGCAATATCAGCAATTAAGCCTTGCCCGTCAGACTGTACTCTGTTGAAAAATAAGATTCCTTAAAGCAAACAGAAATGATGGTCACATAAATTCAGTTTTCGGCCAATCGTCCTGATCAATGAAGAGTGAAGCACGCATTGAAAAGGAAAGAAAATAAAAATTGAAGGTGGAAATATCATGGAGTTAAGGAGATCGCAAGTTGTGGCTTTAATGTTGCAAGACGCATGTCTTGCAACTTAACATATCCGGCGCCTAAGCCTATCATGTGCCTGGCTAGCGCCCGATGCTGCCATTGATTGGCAGAAGGAGAGGGAGGCCAGAGGGAGGCCTGCATGTCTGGCGGCCGTATTAATAATTTTTCGCGAACGTTGCTTGATTTAGGGTGCATTTAAAGCGTGAACGACTGCATTAATAATTTCTTTTGCAATTTTATTGTGCATAAATTTCATTAATTTATAATTTTGTTTGATTTTTACTGCGACCAACAAGCCAGCAAAACCAACCCGCTGCTTCGCTCCAAAGGAGCATGTTGCGCCAATGTGTTTTGCTGCGCTTCTCGCATCGCTGACTGGGGGCATAAATTATTTGCCGTAGTTTTGGCAGGCGCCCGTTGACCGCGCGCTGCGTAGATTTTGCGATTGCGCACGAACTGAGCTGAGGGCTTATCCACACACTGTGAGCCGGCGTCGTCCTCTCGAACGAATCTCTGACCGCGCAGGCACAGCTCTCGTTGATGCTGCTCCGGCTGTTGCTGCTGCTGCTGCGGCTGCTGCTGTTGCCGCATGTTGCAGCTGTTGTTGTTGTTGTTGCTGTTACTGTTGCTGGATTTGTATTTGTTGCTTTTGATGTTTAGGCTCCATGCTTCATTGAGAAACTTATGCGGTTGTCGCTGTTGGTTGTTGCTGTGTGTTGTTGCTGTTGCTTGTTGCTGAATGCTGGTTGTGGCCAATGCAGAGAGGTCCTGCAGCTGTGCCCGGCATGTCGCCTGCCAATGTCTTCAGTTTGTGCCCGCGCAGTTAATTATAAAAGCTTGGACATTTTCAGCTTCGGTTTGTTTTCATTTCCAGATGCAGATTACATTATGATTTATGCAAAATAGTAAATGCGTCTGATGGCAACATGCGCCAGCCGACAGCCGCCAACTTGTGCTCCCTACCCCCACACACCCTACCCCCCCCCCCATGCCCCCTTCCCTCGCACCACTCTGTTTCCTCGCGCCTCCCTGTTTGTACTTGCATTGGCAATACTCCGCCGAGTTAGAAGACAATCTGACCGATTGTGCAGTGCAACGCCTACAAGCGTTATGCCAGCAAGTGCCTGCTGCCCCCTACCGCGGACCCTGTTATTCTAAGCCCCTAATTTCATTTATCGCCCCTTAAAACCAATCATAAACCCTGCGCATGGCCAAACCGAGGGACCTCTTGCGGCGCTTTCCCTGACGCAAATTCGTCGCACGGCACCGGCAATAAATCAGCAGCGCCATGAAGAGACCTCGTAAAAGTGCTTAAATTAATCATCCCATACGTGTATTTGTTATTCAGCTCGTAAGATTTTACGATGCCCCTGACCGCGGGGCACCTATATAGGCGCAACAGGTTGCCACCGCAACCGCCACCGCCAACGCCGTGTTATGTTTTCTAAGCGCCAGTCACAGTCAACGTGGCAGTTAGCAATATAACAATACCATGAGAAGCCAGTAAGATAGTACTAGTCAAGAGTAAACGACTGCATGATACTCTGCACTACAAACTGGTAGATATATCGCATACCATTAGCAAAACGAGGCTCGGCTTTTTAGGCATAACTCGAAGATTATAAAACCCAAATACGCCAAGCTTGATATATACAAATTAGGAACGTTAACCTATTTTGATACCTCACACATTCCTTCCAACATTGAGAAGTATAGAGAGTATAAAGGCACTCTTGCATTCCATATTTAAGCTTTGAAAACTTAAAGATCGAAATATAAACACCGCATATGCAAGCATACCGCATTTGTATAGGATGTATAGCCCAGGCCTTATGCAGACAGACAAGCACACTCACACACTTTGGCATACCCGACTTTGTACGCATGCAGGGTATAGCAGCAAGAATAACAACAAGCAGCGCAAGAGCTATATATCAAATCGTAAACTTAACTGTGCAATATTCGCAGGTATTTTGCATAACGAGAAATTCTTTGTCATCGCAGCTATTTGCTGTGCGGCACAGCCTCCAGAGCCCAAACCGTTGCATTATCAAGTGTGGAACATGTTGAGATAGTGCTCATGCACTTCTGGCATTCTGTGGCATGACACAGCGATGTTGCAGCACAGTGGTCAACTGTTTGGTTCTAAAACGTTCGTTGCTAAATTGCAAATGAAATTGCATCGTTATTACATGTTTCAGGGGCAGCGCAAATTAAATTCCATATGGAAAAGCAATCTTGCCCAGAGCCACACATGTGTATTTATGTATTTATTTTACACACAGATCTCCACTGATGGCCACATTCTACGCAGTACGTGACAATGGGTACGGCACACTGTTTTTCACTGGACAGGACAAGATGTTTAACAGCCAGGCCCAGAAATTCTATCGCCCAGAGAGCCAGAGAGTGAGACAGAAAGAGAGAGAGAGAGAGGTTTTACAATCGCTTTTAAATTAGTTTAGTGGCATTTAAGTTAATCGCCTACAAGGGAGCTAAAATTGTCGAAGCCAAAGAGCTACCCTGGACTGAACGTCCACTCAAAATTGGGCGAACGTGATTCGATTTTCAAGAAGCTGAAGCCTTTGTGCTCTCCCTTAATGGGAGGCTACCCCGTACTGCCGGCTGTACAGATAGTATTCATTCGCACACATACCCATTCAATTACTTATGAGTGGGTTAAATGCAGCAGCAGCAGCAAATTGAGTTGTGCATCATACTAAGAAGGAATAAAAACAAGAAAAAACGGTTACAGTCGGCACGCCGTACTTCAAATACCCTCGTAGACATAGGTCTTACGGTTTTAAAGATATGCGGAGAATTGAGAAGCTTTCAATTGTTGAGTTTGCTTAAGATAGTTTGAAAACCCAAAAAGTTCCTGACAATAACATATATTTTTATATATATGACTTAGTGGTCTGATCCGGCAGCTTCCGACATATATTCTGCTTGCAATAGAAACAGACAAACGGACATGGGCGTATCACCAAGGCTTTTAATACTGATCACGAATATCTGCATACTTTTTAGGAGCAGAATGCCCTCTTCTATGCGTTACACATTAAAAGACAAAATTATAAAACCCTCTAAAAAGTTATACCAAACGGAGATCCAAATAAAGCGGCTACTCGAAACGATGACAGGCAAGTCAAGGGCCATCGTGATATCATTTGAAGGAGCCGTGCATCTGTCCACCAGTTGGAGGAGAAGGTCTATGCATGTTGTATACTGTTTGCATAAATCTTACTGCCGCCTCCTCTGATAGCGATGCTTGTAATTAAATTGCGACACGGGCCAGCCAATGGCAGCTAATGGCGCCACAACATAGATCCCCAAGACAAACAACGAGCCCCCGCCACACACACACACATTCCCCCTTCCGTGCATGTGCAATTCATGACAGAGCGATGGGGACACGACCTGCGCCGCTGTCTCGGCAAGTACAGGGCACGTTTCTCAATGAAATTCCAGAGCGATCCCGAACGCTTCTGTGTGTTCCCGCGTTGTCTGGCCAGCCATCAAATATCAGCGTCTGAAAAAGCGATTCCCGGGCACAAGGGCGCCCGCAACTTGGGCGGCTTTGGGCAGCTACCGCGGCGGCGGCGACGGCGACAACACGAACAGGGCGCACTGGCCGCAGTCGCAGTCGCTGTTGCAGTCGCAGTTGCTTCTGCCACCACAGCAGTTAATTAATTCTGCATGAAATTTAAGGTTTTTGTGACCAGCCGCCCAGCTAGTGCATATATGGCAAGTCATTGTCGTCGCTCAGCCGCAGCTCTGGCGGTTCTGCACGTACAGAGCTTTGTCCCTCTGGCCGTATCTGTGCCGGTGGCTCTGGCTTTGGTTGTGACTGCCTTCCAATGTGAACTAATCAACGGACAACAATCTACCAACTGGACCCGCACCTCATCAGCCTCCCAAATCAAGTCATTAAGCTCGCCGAGTGCCAAATGGAGCAAATAACGCTGCAACTAGGCCGAATGTGCGTCATGGGAGTTCACAGATGGCAGTGCAAAAAAATCTCTCAATTAGTCAGACAATTAAATCAGCAATCGATTCCAAATGAATCCCGATTTCATTCATTTATTTCATACGTCAAATATTTTCTCGATTCTCCTTCTCATACGATCGATGCTTTACTAAATTGTTGATAAAAACGATAAAAGAGATACTGAAAGCGATTCCTATTTATCCGGGCCTTGTCAACATTTTAATTATTAATTAAATTTAATTTAATAATTAAAACAAGGATCGCCCTTCTATGCGATTTTCATAATCTTAAGCACGGCTTACAAATGTTGTTTCATTAAGAGGAGTGTATACACAATGGGGATATATTACATCTTCTCCGAACACTTTCTTTCATAGTACAATACAATACATAGAACAATCATTATGCATATGTAATATATTCTTATTAATTTCATATATAGATATATAGATAGTAAGAACTTGTCTGTCTCTGAGTTTACATATTAATAACCATAATTTTTTTATGATTTTTTTTCAGTGCCCAGCAACGGTAGGCTATAAACTTTACGATATTTTTACCTGAAAAATAATTTTTTTTATTTCTGCAGCTTATAGTATTTTCATATAAGTCCATTATATAAGAGATATAATAAAGTTGTGCAAATATCTTTGGACCAAATCAAACTAGGCTTAAGATTTAGAAAAGCTTGATTAACTTTTCGACTTCAGCTTGTTTTAGTTTCATATATAGTTTTGTGTAGCTCGTACGGGTTGGACTCTGTTCGGTCACCAAACAGTCAGTCAGTCGTTCAGTCAATCCGGACAAACAGTTTTATGCATAGAAGATATATGTCTGCCGTCGAGGGCATACCGAGCTTATCTAATAATAGAGGATACCTAATATGGTGCATATGCATTTTTGGTTATTTTTTGCGCGTTTTCCAACCTGTGTGCACATTATATGATAGTCTACTTTGTTTGTTAGATGTTTATCTTCAATCTGACCTTGTTAATTAAAGGTTTTTATACAAAATCCATAACAAAACTGAATGCAATATATACAGTTTTAATGGTCATAATACGTTTTGCGACAGCTCATATAAATGCATGAACTGTTAAATGTCGCCGACGGCTTTCAAAGAAAAAGAAAAGCAAATAAAAAATAAGTAAAATACAATAATTTAGCTTAACAACTTAATAACAAAACAAAAACACGTCACCTCGATCAGCGATCACCTGTTGCTAAACTACGGATCGGCGCTCGTCAGCCCCGAAGGCGACACCAGCTCTGACAGAAAACAACCCTCATCAGAAGGCAGGAGCCGAGGCAACGTGGGTTGCAAAAAGTGCAGCCACTGTTAAAGGATTCCACCTGTCCGCGAGTTTATCGATTGCCCCATTGACAAATGAGCCACTGTGAGCCGCTGTGAAACCAATTAAAGAATGGATCGCATAATGCAGATCCGCAGGAAGCATGCGGCCAGCAGCAGCATTTATCACAACTTATAGCCGACTTACGGGAACTAGAACTAATTGGACCACGGGCTGATTAACGCGTAAAAGAAAGTGGAGAATTCTATAAATCATGATTGCAGTCGGATTATAAGTATCAGAGCATTGATCCAATACAGACAGCGGAGTGCGACTGCGACTGCGACTGCGACTAATTAGAGACCACTCCCCATGAAGCACGAGCACCTGCCTAAACTCTGGCCATCATTAATAATTCAGAGCCAGAGCTGTGGCGGCGAGCTGTGGTAGGGAGACTCGCTCGGCAGACTTATTCGGGCGAACGCATAATAACCACGATTAAAGCAAGCAAGGCTCATTGTCGGTTAAATGACAAGTTTTGACAACTTGTGAAACGACAAGTGGTCACTGCCAATGGACAGCAGCAACAACAACAACAGCAGCGGAAGACATGCGAGCAAGCGCACACTTGCCCAGAAATGAATGGTCGAAGGGAGGGAGTCTAACCAGCGACCCAGTTAAATTAATAATCCGCATAATTGGAGAACTTAACTCGCAAGGGAAATGGCCAAGGAGCATGGTGGCGACAAAAAGAGCGTTATTTGCTTTGCGCTTAATATATCATTTAGATTGTTTGCCAAAGATAGCCGCGTAGCGAGGACTTTTGCTGTCATTATTATTGTTTTTACTCTTGTCTTTTTTTTTCCTGTTCGTTTTATCAAGCTGTCCGATTATTATTGTTGTTTGGTTTCGATTCCATGTAGCATGGGGTGCGTACGCATTGCCAAGTTAGCATGCTGCTCTGGAAATTAGCCGGTGTTTTTTTACCTTTTTTGATTAGGTCTGCGGAAGCATAATTTCTAATCAATTTAGTTAATCTGCACTTTAGATATTTGAACTTAGGCATAAAGAGAAAATAATTGCATCAGTTTCACATTCGTGTTCGGTGCGCTTGTTTTCATTATCCTGAGAACTAGCACACCTTTCATCTACTACAGGTATTCAATTGTCGTGTTCTATATTCTTGATTTACTCCATATTGATATTGCGTGTGTAAACTTTACTCCTGGGAGCTGTACGCAAATTATTTGTTTTAGGTAAATTCGGTTATATTATATTATCGGTGATAAACTGAACATTTGAGAATATTTGCAAAGCAATAATGTCACAGAAATATTCGAATTTTTATATTGCAGAATTCAGAGTATTTCCCTTTTTGGCTATCTGAATACAACACATTTTTAAGGGTATGGCTTTTGGTATTTAAGCAGATTTAGATAAGTAGTATATTTATTAAATTTTCTTTAAGATCGGACTATAAACTCCGAGGTTGATCTAAAAAACATTAACTATTGTGAGTTATTTAGGAATGAAGAAGCAGATTTTAGAATAATTTCATATTGGTATTAACGCACATTTAGATGCTAAGATCAGACTATAAAAACCGAAGTTAATCAAGAAAGCATTAACTTCAATGTATGGAAAAGGGAAGAACCACGGCAAATTGAGGAAGTCCAGATTTGAGAAGATTTACGTTTGCACAACTTTATTATAGCCCATATTATGTCGCCATTATAAAAAAGCTTTTAGATAATTATCTAACTGTCATCTAGCTAATATCATAAATCATATTTGTTTTGCCTAATTTGATCTGGTAAATGTTATGTTTTTTTGAATGAGCGATAATAATCTCTTACAATTAAGATGAAATTAATCATATACTTTTTCTTTTTATGAACCACCCGTTTGATGTATGTCAACATGAATTGCTCAACTATAATATCAGGGTGTAAGTATTGTGAAATTTTTGAATAGTTCCATTTTGGGTAAAACAAATAAAAATAACAGAAACAATTAAATTCTCATTACCGCAAGAATATGTACGTTTTTTGGCTAGCTGCTGTCCTTGAAACTTTAATGAATAGTTAGACTAAGCGAACCGGGCCATGAAATTGTCGAGCGGACGGACTCGTGTAAGCGTGTTGTGATAAATGAATTTCTCAAACAATTGACACCCACTTAAATGTCTTTAAAAGTTCACTTCGCTCACTTTGACGATCTGCAGATCGGATCTGAAATTCGAGCGACCCGGGCCGACAGCCTTAATTACAACCAGCAAAATACATGTTAAACATGACATTTTTTATGTGCCGGCGATCGATCAAAACGACAGCTTCTGGATAGCGACGCTCAATGTGCCAAAAGATTCCAGTTCCAGGTCCGCCAGGAGGCCTACTGCTACAGGTCGACTCGATCTACAGGTCGACCAGGTCTACAGGTCTGCGTGGCAGCTCGTGTCTTATCAACGTAATATCGAATTTCGATCAAAACGCCTTCGAGCGACTTCTTGTTGCACTCGCACAGGCGCGCTCGACTTTTTGGCGCAAAACCGAACGTAACGATATGAACGGCAGCCACTGTTGCCAGCCCACATTCCAGCTCACATGACCCTCATTATCATAGTTGGCACCATTAGGGGAACATAATTTTTGCGCACTGACCAGTATCCTACATACGAGGACACTCACTGGACAGGACTGAACTTGAACTGGGCTCATGTGCATCTGCCAGTAATTGCCGTTGAGACTTGACAGTGTATTATTAAATTGTTAAGGCGAAATGGCAGCTCTACTTGAGAGCTATATTTAGCAGTTAATAACAGCTAAAGCTCAACTAGTTGCATAATCTTGTTAACTATTTGCTGTTTGTCAGTTTGTGTTTTGCGTAAGGAATTCATTTTACAATTTATATCTAGTTAATTGTGATAAATTCATTTATTTTTCTTCTTTTCCTCTTTCATGTACCTATTCCGGAAAAATTCACACGTGCGTTTCCCAGTATGTAAGTATGCCAAAAATCAATTTCGAAAAAATATTATTGTAATTATTGTAATAAAAAACCACGGCGAGGGCTTAAGAATGGTTGTAGGGGTTTTACTCAATACTTTCTAAACCTCATGTGTGTAAAATACTAGGCTATTCGTTGTGGATAATTTAGTTATTCCTATTATTATAGCTCTATTAATAATATATTCTGGTATGAGAGTAGAAGGGCTGGTCGTAGAAAGTATATACTTCTTGGTTATTTATTTTATTGGTCGACAAAACTAGTGTCAAGCTAAGTACTTAACACATTAGAATAGAAAACTTAAAAACAAATAGCCTAATCAGAAGACAAATATTTATTATATCCTCACCGACACGATGGAGGTATTTATTTATGAACTGAAATTAGAGTATTACTGAAATTTGATAACAGTTTGTACACAAGGTTATATAGCGCCATTTCTAATAGGAAATCGACCGTTTTAAAAAAATATACAAAAACTAATTGTTTTTCCAAATATTAAACAAATATTATCCAGTGCCTATAATAGAGATATCATAGAGAGCATAGTACTTGTTGGATTTTCTTATAAATTGTATTCATTTATTTATTATATATTAAGTTTCTGTTAGCTAAACTTAAAGATAAACAACTTTGATAATAGAGTATGAAAATAGTGCTGAGATTTGGTCACAGTTTGTACAGAGTTGTTGCAAGTTGGTGCAAGTGTTTGGCTGGCTTGTGAGTTGCAGATAATCATCGCAAATTGTTATCTTGGTTTTCAATCATCTATTGTCATGATCCAGATGAGCACATACCATCGCATTTTTACCATATCGGATTCCAGCTGTGACACCTTCACTACTGCTTTGCACTTTGGGACGAAACGAGTGACAAATATTTTGACCATCCTTTTATGATCGTGAGGCAGTATAAGAAGGACCATGGGCGCTGCAACTGGTTGTCTCACGACCTGGACATGGTAGTTGGTACACCATGCTCCATACTCCTGGCATTCCTTCACAATGCGTTTGCAGCAGCAGCAGCTGGATTCCCTTCGGCGATCGCCAACACTGTCGGATGCCTCCACGACTTGGTAGCCTGCTCTAGAGAGCAAATCGCTCTGTTTGTTTCTCGAAGGCAAATACAATGCCACAAACTGAACGAGACGCAAGAATTTATGGCATTTCACTGTCAGAGACGCAGAATTTCTGTCCCTTGCCACCATTAATGGAATGGACAATAAATTTAAACGTGCAGACGGACAACATGCCATATGTAAAGAGGCTGTAGCCAACCTGAGCCGAGAGCCAAGAGCCAAGCCTGTGTGGAAGCGACATTCACGAAATGGCCAAAATCGCTTCTCTTCTTGCTTTGCGCGTGAGACGATTTGTAAATCCGTAGCCGATGTTTGCATTCTGTCATATGACAAAGCGATAATCAGCCTCATGACTTCACACCTCATTTGAATAATTATCGGCAGCCTATTAATCACAGCATCGATTCTAGGTTCTTTGATATTCTTCCACTCCTAAACATCTGAATCAAAAGCCTGCACTTAGAGCCACAAACTCCTTGTCGAATAGCCTTAAGCGTAACGTTACGTCGACCACAAATCAAATGCTAGTAGGAAAAGCGTTTTAACCAAATAAATAAGCATCATTAATCAAATTTACTCGACAATGAAATACTGTGTTCTCAGGTGTACTTTGAAGGACTCTCTCTGTTACAAATGCCCATTGAAATAGGAAAATTATGATATGCGGTAGTTGTGCAATTGTAACATGCTTAAATTTAGCTAGTTACTTGCTGAAAACTAAAAGCAGATATCTTAAATGCCTTACAGTAAACGCTATCATGTTGAGATCAGCAGAGAATTCGATATACTCAGTAGTCCGTACTAAAGATGGGCTCATAGGTCACAGACCCGGAAGAATCAGACCTTAAGGTTAATTCTCTTGCGGCCTTATGGGAACATTGCAACTATTCTTAGCAAAATCTATTAACTAAAACCCAATACAATTTTTATACCAAAAATTTCTTGCTTAATGCAAGAAGCTCCTCGCCGCAAGATTTAAAAAATTCTGCTTCGGTTATATTTAAGTCCACATTCCAAGTTCATGCTGGGCTTGGACTCAAAAATGAGTCCTAATTTTATTATAGATTAGATATGGATAGGCGCACAGAGCACCTCAATTATGCTCGCTTTTTTTAATTTTTATTAAATACATTGAGTTTTTAAGCCAAGTTTAATCGACAAAACAACTTCATATATGAAAATAAAAGGTATATATAGAGGCAAAAAAAAAGTGTATTAGCGACACTTTAGCTAAATAATACATATCGTAAATCGGCACACACATTGTTGATAAGATAGTCGGAGCTGTTGTTGTATGCGGCTTCTGTTCGTGAACATTTCTCAGCGAAATGCTAAGACAATGGATGAGATTAAATGCCAAGGAGTGCAGATTAAGATGCATCGACAGCAATAGTAGCTACATATGTATCTCAGCATTCGCTGGGCAGTCCGTTTGGCCTGGTACCGGGGCTGACTGCATCTTTAACTGGGAGACACAAAACAAATTTCCCTTGAAAAGAATTACATACCGATCGGCAGCGGGAATTGGCTGAAACTCTATTTGTATCTGCCCCCGATTTCGTTGTTGCCCGCGGCTGCTGCCCCATGTGCCCCTTGTGCCCGATGCCGCTGCCTCTGTCTCTGTCTCAACTTGTTTGTCGCTGTTGCTGTTCAAAAAGTGACCGTCTTCATTGTCAACACATGGCTGTGGTACGTAGCATTGCTGTGGCAAACAATTCTATAGAAAATCATCGTGCACTCGCGGCGATCTTACAGTTCAGAGCCTTCAGAGCCTTATCTGAGCGGCCCGAATCGTTGCGCCTTACTAAATTATTATGTTAACATGAAAATAATTGAGGCAAGAGGCATTCGGCAGTGGCTGGCCAATTTATTTATATCGTATAATCTTCAGCCTGGAATCCTTGTTTTTCTCCAGCTTCCTTTTTTTTTGGTTTATGTTTTTTTGGTGGCCAGCGACAGCAATTGATGATCGAACAAATAGTTCCAGAAGTGCGGCAGATTGCAACAGCGACGCCCTGCTGCTTGTTAGTCTTGTCTCCGAGCCAAAAGCTTATGAATATATGTGTATATATACTTATAAAATAAACCATTGTACAGCTATCGATTAGTCAGTTAACTAATTAAAGGCTTTTGTGTTTTCCAGACCGCCTTACACTGGGCTGCCAAGCATGGCAATGAGGATGTGGTCAAGTTAATTGCTGGCACCTATAAGGCGGATGTTAATGCCAAGACGGTAACGATTTGCAATAATCAACTAGAATTTGTAAATATTTAAATTTGGCATTTCCATTTCATGTCCATATCCATTTGCCAACTGTCGACATATTGGGCTCTAGCATGGGGTAAGTGTATTTTCTGTTTCTTGCATATATTGAAATACATTTAATAATATACGAAATCGGACTGATTGCCTTGTCACAATCACGCGAAAATCTGCGTCACATGTCACACGGCAAACACTTCTTTAACCCTTTCCTTCTCGTCCCTTCCCATGGGGTGGGGGCACAGCCGGGCTGTGACAAATCGTGACGAGCAAATCCAATTGTGGCAACAACATGCCCAAGCCTCGAGTCCTTTTCTACGGTTTTATGCATGCGAGTTTACACAATTTTAAATTGAACCGTGCCTTGTTTCAAACAAATTAAATTCTCTCAAATGTTTTTCAACTGTCATTCGCCAAAACAGAGACAAAGTGAATTGTCAATCACGACGGCGAATGTGTTACATTCAATTTGATATGAATTTCCAACCGATTTGATACGCATTTTTACAAAAGGTTCAAAGTTCTGCAGCTCAACTTTAAACCATATTTTATTCCATATTTGTCAACTATTTGGTATGATTTTAAAGAGCAACAAAAAATAGTGTTGAAACTAAGATTTAAAGTTTTTGTTGGGCTGCAAATTTATAAAATACGAGCAATAAATTGAGATATATCTCAATTATCAATGGCAAAACTTACCCAATTTAAAGATATTAGTTAAGATCTATATACTCTTTTTATAGGGATATACACCGCTTCATTTGGCTACTCAATTCGGAAGACAAAATATATACGAACTACTATGGAATGTTTACAGTACGTATTCCAATTATATTGATCCATGAACGACAATCAAAATGTGTTGAATGTATTGAATATATCATCAGAATGGTTAAGATATATATATGAGAATGCATATCAGTCTTCTGATAGATTAGATTAACAAATCTCTTTCAAACTCCTTCAGAGGCCAATCGGGACATTATGGATTGGAGTGGAAATAAGCCATTGGACTACAGTCGCCAGCGGCCCAGTGTTTCGGCCTCAACGTGCAGTAGTGAGTATCAAAAGTATTTCCTCGGCACGGAGCTAAACAACAACTACCATCTGGGATACCAGCACATTGAGAGCCCGCTCTCGAGCGCTGGCAATGGGATCATGGGCGGCACACTCGGCAGCGCACTGACACGCGGCAAAAAGCGCTCTCAAATGCGCTACGCCACCGTCAGCAGTGGCTCAGGTGGGGGCACTGTGACTCGCACTCAATCCCTGATGACATCGGGTTCATATCGGCGCTACAAAAAGCCATCTGTCCAGTCTCTGTTGTTTAAAGAGTCGAATGAGGACAGCGACTCGGAGCCAACGCCGAGAAGCAAACGGGACGCAAACGTGGCAACTGATCAGCCCGATGAGGACAAATTGGAAATGCTAGAGAGCGAATCCCACGAGCGCAAGTTGCGCAGTGCCCCCACTCGGCGCAAGGAGAGCTTTTTGCGTAAAACATTTCGGTCAGCTGCCGGTGCGAGCCGACCCCCAAAAGATGTTGTTACTAACCAATCTACCTAAACTATCCAAGCATGTGCCAATTAACCAGCTTATGTATTTACTATCTAACTTAACAAAGGGTAGCAAAAAACAACTGTATACGAATACGAATTCTTGTTGATAGCTTTGAACTATTAACAACAATTCTTTCTTGATGAAAAATATACATATTTTATTATACACACAGCTTGTTAAGCACTTAATATTAACAAATTAATGCTATACACTTACCCAGTTTTTTTTTGTACGCCCTTTTTATAAGAAAAAATGTATCATAGCCCCTTCAATTTATTAACCAAATTGCACCTGAAAACCTTTTTAAAAAAATATACTTTTAAGCTAACATAAAATATGTTTATTGGTTATCTGAAAGTTATATTATATAACAATCAAATATTCAGATATATATATATTAAAGTTTTAACTGTACACACTGTTATTAGCATCAATGAAACTTTTATTAAAATAACAAAATATATATATATATATAGAATACATTAAAAAACTTGGCAAATGCTTTTAGTAGATGTTATATTAGTCTGATCTTAAGCGAAATCTGTCAACTAGTTAAACATCGTGTTAAACATATAATAATCGAATTTGTTGTAACTATTTAAACAAGCAACGTACACAATTCAAACTAGAAGGTAGCTGCTGATATATATGTGTGTACCTATATAAAACTGATTTCGTTATGCAGCACAACTAGATAAACTAGAGCGTAACTGCTTATACTATGTGCTTAGATATATCTACAGGTTCAGTTACTACTAAGTAATACAGTTCTAATTGGCTTCACCGGAGTTTATTAATTGATTAACAATTTTGCTAGTTCTAGCAATAAACAAAATAATCCATGTTGGGAACATACATATCCAGTACTTAATGTTTTATAATACATCAATTTATTTTTTACTTAAACGGTATTAACCCTGCATGTCAGCAAGTTTACAAACCAAAAAAAAAAAAAGAACATCAGCAGCAATTGATTTAATTGACATTAAATTCCGCAAGACATTCCTTTTAATTGCATGTTTATCTGATTTTTCTTAACTGAATCACGTCCATATCAGTTGAATTAATGGCAAGGCTGCCGCTGCATTAAGTATTTCGTATTTAAGTTCTCAACTATCTTAACTGGGGAACTCCTCTATTTATTTTCATCATTGCAACGTGTAGAAATTCAAGCGATGCGGCACAGCGGCGGACACAACGGAACCTGGAGGCAGGTTGACTTAACTAAAGAATTTGAATGTTTGCAATCAATTAATGTTCAATAAAATGTTTGTTCGTTTTATCAATTCCGCTTGTTATTATGTATATATATATATTATAATTTTTGCAAATTTTTTCAAAGCATTGTAAAAACAAAACAAAAAAACAACAACACGCTAACGCTTTTTGTAGTATCCTTGAGTTTTTTATTTGAAAGCATTTGATTTTGATGCCTGTTATTCTTATTTATTTATTTGGTAAGTTTTTCTTTTAACGAATTCCTTAATCGCACAATCATTTGTCCTTAAGAAAAGAGCTACTAACTAATATTTAGTTGACATATTTTCATTTTAATTATAACAGCATGTGCATGTGAAGTCTTTATTTAACACAAATAATTAAATATCTCTTTTCGTATCCAATCTTTGCAGAAATCAAAGCGCGAAAAAAGCATACAAGTAAGTGAATTTTTATTTACTTAATTAAATTCATTTAAATTTGATAGTTGTTATTTTGTTGCAGTCGAAAAAGATTTGGGATTCCTGCGGATTGGTTCACTGAATGTCCGAGTAAAGAAAACAACCGAAGCGTTCAGCAACTTCTTGGGAGTGGGCAATGGCAGTGTCCCGATGCCGTATGGACCTGGCGGAGCCATAGAAGTAGGTCGCCATCACCAGCGAACTCACCGTCACCCTCATCAGCGTCATCATCATCATGCCAATGGTACGACACGGGATCGACCTCCGAATCAGAGAGCATCGGTGACAATACCATACGGGTCGAGTAATATAGTGGGCTCCAGATCAAGTGTTCCAACCAACAGGAATATATATGACGCTGTTCACAAGTCTTGGGGCTCAGCGGACAATATAACACAACGTTCCGAGAATTTGATGCCACCACCAAAATCGGTTGATTACGTCTCAAAGCGCTACAGAACTTCAAAACGATCCTCTTATGCCTCCAATGCCACAGACTCACCGCGGGATTCCATCTGTTCATCCAATTCCAGCTCAAATCTTAATACCGGCTACAGCAGCATGCCCACAACCCCAAATCAAATACGTGCTCCAAAGAGTATTGGTTCGACACTCAACGTGGATTCGGACTCCGATTCCGCATGTGGCTTCGACTCAAACTGGTCTGTCAATGACGGAAATTCAATCAACAATAATGTATTAAAATCCTAATCATTGCATATTCCTTTATAAAGTATACCAATAATTCTTTGTGAGACACTATTAGATATAAGAACAATTGTATTCCAAGCGATATTCAGATTTAAATTGATTTGTTTTTGCGCAGACTATATAAACAGAAACTCAGTTGGCACATATGCGAAATAAATCGTGTTCTTATCGAGAGGCCTTAAAAAAATACAAATATATTCATGTGGCCGTTGCATATTGAAGCAAATATATTGATTAATTTTTTACAGAATATACATCATAAAGTAAATTGTTTTGATTTGGAATTTTATAAATGCGTTAGCCATCAAATGTTGAGCAGCTCGCTTAGTATTCGCATGGTATCGTGTGGTGTATTGACCTTATGTCCTTGAAGGCGAGGATCAGTATAGATCTCGTAATCATTGCCACCTGGTTCTGTTTTGTCGCCAAAGAAATGGATCTCTTTGAACTTATGGTGGGCTTCGATATGGCGCAGACAGAAGGTTTTGTCCCAACCGTGCGGGAACACATCGAAGCTTATCTGACCACCAATACTGTAAGTAAGATCGATGTCTGCGAACTCCTCTTTAAGCTTTGCAATCATTTTCTTTCTAATCTGGTGTTTGTCATCGTAGGCCGCAAACATGTTGCGCTCCTCCCGGGTGCATTGACGACCGATCGGGCAGACGTTCATCATTCCATTGCGGAACTCAATAAACGTTCCTCGTTTAATGGGTAATTCCAGTTCAGATAAATAACGCAGCACATAGTTGATAAATCTCTGTAAAGTTGACTCTCCCAAATGCTGTATAATGTTTTGTTTGCCCACTTCCTTGCCACCTTCTATTTGTACCAGGCCATTTTCAGGGAATATAAAGTCGAATTCATTCAGTATCTTCTTGCCATTTAGCTGCTCAAACATTTTCTCCAGATCAGATCCACCGACGATTCCAATCGTTGCCCGTGGTTTCACCTTTGTGTAAAAGAACTCCTCGAATTCCGGCTGCACCACCGAACGGGGCATGGTCAAGGTTCCATCCACATCGAAGAGTAGCAAAATATCCTCTCGTTTTTTAGTGGCTGTCGACATTCTTAAAACCTGTGACTGTTATCAAACACAGAGGAAAAGTCACCTGTGTCGCACAAAATTGACCACGTATGTGCCTGTAAAAGTTCGCTGGAATCAGCTGTTTGCTGGAACTGATAACAATTAATAGCCGGCAGTAATGTCAACGCTTCGTGTTTTCCCTATTTGAGCGCAATCAAAACTACAATTTATAAAAACTAATTTCAAACAATATTTTCTATTTAATTACAAAAATCGAGAGACGCACCTTTCATTGTGGCCAAATAATAAATAAGTGTGTAAAATTTGCTACGCGTTTAGCAACAGCTGTTCGTGTTTATTGCATGCCCAGCATGTATGGATTAATTAACATATGCATGACGGTGTGAGTAAATTAATACAAGTCGGTTTTAACAATATTAAGTTATGTTGTGCGTTTGGCTCTTTCTTGCAGCGATTTATATTTTTGAGTATTTATCATGGGGTCCACGATAACCGGGTATAAAGTTATTCCAATTGCTCCAACTATGCACGATACAAAGCCAACAAATCTCCACCCGCGTAAGACTGCCATTCTTCTGCAAGACAGAATTTGTTTAATTCTTAAATGTTTTTACAATTCACGATTATAAAACAAAAACACCTGCTCTTAATATAAATTGCCTAAAAAATACCAAACGCCGCCAAAAATATCGTAGCCAGCCAATAAAACATCGCACAGACTTTCGATAGCACAGCACGAACACCATCGATGACAGTGCATTGCGGGCGTGTCGTAGTTAGGTTCATTTCGCTTGTGTTTATTTTTATTTAATATATATTTAAACTAAATGTGTACTGCTATACATGTGTAAAAATGAATAGAGTTTATTTGTTTTTATGTTTAATAAGCGCATTGTGTTTAATTGTAATTCATGGTAAGTGCAATATCACCTGCACATCTCGCTGACTAAACATAGGGCGTTGCTGCTCAAGGCATGTAATGCATAGTTGTGTATGTGTGTGTGTGTACACATGTAAATGAAAATGAATTGGCTATTAATTCTTTAAATTTCAACGATAAATGTGTATAATATGTTCTGCACAATAAAGACTATAAATATAGCTGGAAAATATTGTGTGGTCACTTATCGCAGAATATAAATCAAGTTCTATAAGCAATTCTAAAGCTTCCTATACATGTGTGTATGTATATGTATTTGGATATATTAATTAATTTGAAGATATGCTTATTAGAAGTCCATTGCTTGCTCTACTGTTATTAATAACAATTAATTTTAGCACAACATCACTACGATGAACATAAAACCAGCAACATGATTTGGTGCACAAAAAGTGAGGAGGAACAGTACAAATGTCTTAACTTGACAGCGGCCATCGAACGGGACCGAGCGCTCTTTGACGATGCTTTCATGAATCTCACCTGCTTTATGGCATACAGCTCAGATGAATGCATCCATCATCTGGACCGCGAGAAGGCGCATATCACAACGTTGGATGCCGGAGATGTTTTTACCGCTGGCCGTTACAACTCCCTGATCCCAATAATGCAGGAGAAATTGGAAGGCGGATTCTTGAACTATCATTCAGTGGCAGTTATCAAGAAGAATACACTCCCCGATGTTACCGAGCTGCGACACCTGCGTCAAAAGAGAGTTTGCTTTCCCTGGGTAGGAAGTCTTGCAGGTTGGATCTTACCCATATACACGGTAATGGAACATATTGTCTGTTCAGAAACAAACATATTTATATGATTGAACTCGTTTTGCTTTCAGCTGCAACACTTTGGCGATATGGAGGTTGTGGATTGCAATAACCAGGTGAAGACGGCTGCCAACTATTTCAACAGCTCCTGCGCGGTGCACTCGCTGATTGACAAGTACAATCCCATCGGAGACAATTCTGACAAGTTGGTCTATTTAAATATTTGAAAACCGTTTATCTTATAGCACTTACGCATATCTTTTTCAGACTTTGTGCTTTATGTTCGGGCAAAATACCTGGACGCTGCTCGGCGTCTGATCCATATTTTGGATACGATGGTGCATTTAGGTGCCTCCTTGAGGCGGGAGATGTAGCTTTCTTGCGGCATTCGACTGTTTCTGAAATGCTGCAAACTATAGAGTTTAGTGAGTAGCTTGGCTTTTATTAGAAAATAATTTCTTAACTTAAATTATGTTTGCACTCTAGAAAAATTGTCGCCGGATACCTTTGAATTGCTTTGCCGGGATGGTAGCCGTGTGCCCATCTCTGACTATCGCCAATGTAGCTGGGGCCAAGTTCCTTCGGATGCAATTGTTACTTCCTCAGCTCGTAGTTTTCGGGATCGTTTCCGATACCAGCAGTTCTTGAAACGCATTGCTGAGTTGTATTCAGACGCTCTCCGTGAGGAATCAAAAGGCAATCAGCCACAGACTGGCGGGGGATTCAACACGTACGATCGCAACAACTTCAATGAGCAAGGTCGTAACAACCCATACGACAATTTCAACAGCCAATACGACAATGTCAACACCTATAATAGAAATCAGAACCAAAATCAAAATCCCTTTGAGCGGTTTGATGGCACAAATTATCGCAATGACCGACTGGACAGCAGTTTTACCACTGAACGCAATTCATTTGATGGCAACACATCTGTACCTTACGAAAAATTCCGTATTTTTGAATCGAGCAGATATGGAAGATCAAATCTGCTTTTCCAGGATGCAGCCAGAGATCTCATTTCCATATCGGAAGACGATCAGTCCTTCACTAAATATTTGCAAAAATCTATTGAATATATATACGGCATCCGGGAATGTCCCGTTCCAGCAATGACGATGTGTGTGACCTCTGAACCAGAGCTGGAAAAATGCATCAAAATGAGAGTTAGTTCTTTTTTCTTTATTTAATATCCTCAGTAATTTCACTTATATTCCTCTTGCAGACGGCACTCAAGGCACAAATTTTAAAACCAGAGCTTATTTGCAAAAAAATGCACTCGCATATAAACTGTATGCAACTTATACAGTCAGGAAAAGCTGATGTGTCTGTCTTTGATGCCGGCGATGTATACACGGGTGGATTGAATTATGATTTGATTCCATTCATGTCTGAGGTCTACAATTTGGGTGAGCCGGAATACTATGTAGTAGCTGTTGCCAAAGAAGAAGATCCCGACACCGAGCTAACGTATCTGAAGGGGAAGAACACATGTCACACTGGCATTAATATGGCCGCAGGCTGGACATATCCAATGGCATTCCTTCTATCAAATGGTTGGATACGACCTTATGGATGTGACTCGATACGTGCCGCAGCAGAATACTTTACCAAATCATGCGTGCCCGGCGCAATCAGCAGCGAATATAATACTGGTGTACCGTACGACAGCATGTGTGACCTTTGCCATGGAACCAGCTACAGATACTGCCGCCGGGATGCTTCGGAGGACTACTATGGTCATACGGGTGCGTTCCGCTGCCTCGTTGAGGGCGGCGGCCATGTGGCTTTTATGAAGCACACCACTGTAATGGAGAGCACGGGTGGCAAACGCAAGGAGTGGTGGGCACGGAATGCCTTAAACGACGACTTTGAATTGTTGTGCACGGACGGCACACGCGCCGAGCTACAAGATTACAAACGCTGTAATTTGGGCAAAGTTAGAGCTAATGCTGTCGTCACGCGTGGCGGTGTCAACTACAATGAGACACAATTGCACGCATACATCAACCTGCTAACCTATGCTCAACAGCTGTACGGCCGGAAGGATGTGGATGCCTTCAGTTTTAGCATGTTCTCATCGCCATTTGGGCACTATGATTTAATCTTCCAAGACGCCACGCGCCAATTGCAAGTTATTCCGGAGAACGAACGCCGCTACGATACATACTTGGGTAGCAATTATATGCGTGCACGTCGCATTACGGATTGTTATGCCGGCGCAACTCATATTACGTTTTCCATATTCTTGCTCCTAGCAAACGCATTTGCTCTGAGAATATTACTCTGATTACATGAGCCTGAATTCTCAATTTCTTTTCACATTCCAAATAGAGTAAAACATTACTCAGAATGACTAGTAACATTTCGAACGCCCAATACGAATCTCACACAAATGACAAACATACATATCTATGCGTATATATATAGTTGATCCATCAGCTAAATTTTTTTTACAAATTCTATTCTGTTCGCAGTTTTTGAGCTGACTCAAGTGCCTTAATGTTTTCTTAATCACTTTGATATTTCGAATTATCCATTGTTTATTACAATTTAATCGCCTTTAAAGTGTCTGATGCGAATTATACTATACACGAAATGTACAATAATTTAATATTAAGTCATAAAGATCAACATTACGAATAAGAGTGTTCTCCGTCCAATACCGTCCACAAAATTTACATTATACTGAATTTTACAAGCCATCCATATTATTATACACAAACGTCTGAAGCAAGTATATATTTATTGTATTGTTTTTATATACTATCAGAATAATACACAGACATAGAAATATAAAATAAAAACTTTTAAAACAAAACTTACTTTTAAAAAATGTCATAAATCTATACCATAAACCCATATAACAACTACAGTAACAACCATCAGTTATGCATATAAAATTGTATTGCATATTGCTTGTGGATGATCATCAGTATAAATATTGCGGGTTAGTTTTAAAATGAAATTCACCAATTGGTCAATGTTGACGTCTCTAATGTGGTGAAATTGCGTGTGCCATTGATTCGTTGGTATTGGCATTTTCTTCTTCTTTGCTTTCATTCAGCTGGCACTGACACGCGTTGGTTTTATTTGGGCTACATTTAGTACAACAACAACGTGAAAACGGAAAGTAGTTTTGCGACTGGTTAGACTTTCAACAAGGATACTGAGTGCCACATTAATCGAGTCAGCAATTCAATTACAACATGTCTATTAATTTGCGCACCGTTTACGCATTTGCGAGAGAAATGTACCCAAAAATTTCAAAGGAACCCATACAGTACGGAACAGCTGGGTTTCGCGGCAAGTGAGTTTACAAGTGGGAATATACATAAGCTTATCTACATACATAAATTACTTCATACATACAAATATTAATGTATGTATGCCCACCCACACCCATCTAAATCAACAGACACACACACACACATGCGTATGTACATATGTATGTGTGTGTTTTAGGGAGTGGTGAAGATGAGTAAGGCGAGTGCACTATTCTGGCATTCCAATTTATTTATAGAATTTCATTCTTTATCAATGGACATGCACCTTTAAAGGTACCCAATCACTACATATACATGAGAAATTGATTTTTGTATGATTAAACTCGAATATAGAATAGCAAAACATTTTTATATTAGTCATTCGTTGAATTTAACCTGCAATCACAAAAGATCGTTCGTGGTGGCGGCTTTTTTAAACATACGGTTGTACATACATACATACATATGCATAGGCATACGTGCATGCTAGAGTCTTCCATGAATGCACGAATTTGAAATGATAATCAAGACATCCGAACGTTGGCGATGAAATCAGAATTCAAAGAATCGCGTGTCCATCCATAATGCAAATAAAACAATGTCTGCATTTATCTTTATTTACTCATATGGTCTTTCTCTTCACTATATTATATGACTATAGTAATCGGATCTGCTTAAGATGAATGTAAACTTTATAAAAACTGTTGTTTTTCTTGAACAGAGCCGAGTTCTTGGACAGCGTTATGTTCCGTATGGGCGTACTCGCAACGCTGCGTTCCCGCTACCGAGAGGGTGCTGTCATCGGTGTCATGATCACAGCCTCGCATAATCCGGAGCCTGATAATGGCGTTAAACTAATCGACCCAAAGGGTGAAATGTTGGAGGCCAGCTGGGAGAAAATAGCCACAGATTTGGTGAACGTAAGCGATCAGGATCTGGAGCAGCATGTCGCAAAGATAATTAAGGATAATGAAATCGATGTTACCTCAAGCTCCTATGTCTACGTTGGCATGGACAATCGCTATCATAGCCCCCGCCTGCTAAAAGCTGTCGCGGATGGTGTTATTGCGCTGAAAGGAAATGTACGAGAATTCGGAATAGTCACAACGCCCATGATGCACTTCTTCGTGGTGGCAGCCAACACAAAGGAGGCCTATGGCAAGCCCACAGAGGAGAGCTATTACGAGAAACTCATTTCCGCCTTTGAGAAACTTCGCAATGGTCAGCTAGAAAATGGCAAGTATCGAAACCATCTGATCTTCGATGGCGCAAACGGCGTCGGAGCCAGAAAAATGCTGCAGTTCATCAAACGCATGAATAACTCGCTAGACGTGACAGTCATTAACCAGGGCATAGGAAACGGCAAAATTAACGAACAGTGCGGTGCTGATCATGTCAAGGTGCAACAACGACCCCCCGTATCCATGCCCATAGTGGAACCCTATACACGTTGCGTGAGTGTCGATGGGGATGCCGATCGAGTGGTCTACTTCTTCAGCGATGAAACGGGGACGTTCAAGCTCCTGGACGGGGACCGGATCGCCACTCTTGTAGCTGGCTACTTAATGGACTTACTTCAAAGCTGTGAGCTGGACCTGCGATTGGGCCTGGTGCAGACTGCCTATGCCAATGGGGCGTCCACAGATTACATTGTTAACGAATTGAAGGTGCCCGTTTCTTGTGTGCCAACGGGCGTAAAGCATTTGCACCACAAAGCCTTGGAGTATGATATTGGCATCTATTTCGAGGCCAATGGCCACGGCACCATTGTGTTCAGTGATAATGCTAAGCAAACTATTGGCGAAGCAGCCAAGACCAACCCCAATGCAGAGACTTTACTGCTCGTAATAGATCTCATAAATGAAACTGTGGGTGATGCAATCTCCGATATGCTATTGGTAGAGACGATCCTAAACCACAAAGGCTGGGACGTTAAGGACTGGATCTCTAGCTATACTGACCTGCCAAATCAACAGCTCAAGATACAGGTTCAGGATAGAAACGTCATCGAAACCGCGGATGCGGAACGTGTGTGTGTCAAGCCGGAGGGTCTACAGGAGGAAATCAACAAAGTCGTCTCAAATTATAAGCGTGGACGTGCTTTTGTGCGTCCTTCCGGCACAGAGGATGTAGTACGTGTATACGCCGAGGCTTCAACGAAAGAGGTAAGTGTATTTTCCACTTAAACCAATGGAATCATATTGATTTGATTATCTCTCGATTATAGAATACTCAGCAGTTGGCGTACGAGGTGGGACGATTAGTTCAAAAGTTTGCCGGCGGAATCGGACCGGAATTAGTCAACCCAAGCAATGCTCACTTGTAGTCAATGTCAATAGGAAAGGCTCGTGAAGCTAGATATATGTGCTTGCGCATAATCTCTCACAGACTCGCATTTAACCAGCGTGCTTAATTGATAGACTTTACTTAAGCAATAAACTTAAACACAGCCTTAATATATACACTATCAATCACTTACAAATGCATTTATAATATAGTAATATACGCATAAGTGATTCATTTGTTGTGTTATAGTTCTTTATTAGATTTTTTAATATAATTTACAATGATTGCACTTTTAAAAACTGTTCAAAGTGTCTGCCTTTTTGTGCGAGACTTTATCTATGTAATTTTTAAAAGCTGTCGGGCTTCCTAAATTATTAGATTCCGTTTTTTATAGACAGCTCGAGAAATTTTCAATTCTTGCCAGATTAAACGTAACCGCAGACTGTTATCAATATTGAACCGTGGTTAACTCATATTTATAAGACCGCGGCTTGTATATCCTGTCTAATTTAAAATTGTTTATGTCTTAATCGTAAATGTTTTTCGTATTATTTTTTATGTGAAATATACATACACACATGTATAACAAAAATGTTGAAAAAATGCGTTTTAACAATTTAATAATGAGCTTTTAAACTTTTTTACCAAGATGGAAATTATGAAAATATACAAATATACAAACATACGACATATACAAAAGGATGCACTTAACATATTTACTTAAGAACTGTTTAAATCCCCTTAATGTATGAATGAATGTGTGTATATTTATAAATAGGGTCAATTAACAATGAATGGAAACAAAAATGAAATATTTTTGAATACCTGTTACAAGAATAGCTCGTAGCATTTCTTTATTACGCAGGTTTTTTTTAAACAGCTGCGGCATTTAAAACAAATTGCTTTATGCATATGCTATATAAAAGCGAACTTTACGAGTGCTCAAATTAGTTCAACAGGAGTTTGCGAATCCCACTGAAATGAAGTTCTTCTTGTTATTGGCGTGTCTGGCACTTTACGTGGCCCACATCCAGGCGCAGCGCTTCTGCGTTGGCCGTCCAGGTAAGCACTTGTCGTAAGTTAATATATCCTCAATATATGCTCTGACTTTCCGACTTACAGTAACCCAGGTCTGCACTGGCCCTAGAGATGTTGGCCACAACCGTAATAGCGCCTGTCGCAATTTCGCCATGAGAGAAATGTGGTACTACGATGGGCGTAGACGTGCCTGTTTCAAGCAGAACTATCTTGGCTGCGGTGGCAACGGGAATCGCTACTGTTCAAATGCCGATTGCAGGGCCAAGTGCAGGCGTTAAACTGAACAGATGAAAACTACACGAATACCACAATAAAATGCTTGCCTACATCAATATATACAAAACCGTTTTTACTTAATGATTGACTGATAACAGATCAGTGCGCAGCCAAAGCCGTTAAGCTAGTAATTTCTTAGTGTAGTTTGGCAACTCCATCTTTCGGGCTATTGATGGCAACTATTTGTATGTATGTATATATGTATGCGGGTATGTGTGTTCGTATGTAGAGGCCAAACCATGAACCAAAAAGCCAAACCTCGTGGTAATCGGATGAGATTTTACCGAGTTTTGGGTGTGGCAAATTTTGAGCTATGTCAATATAAGTAATTTGAGTTTACCACTTTTACATAAATTTTGACCAAAAATATTTTTTATGTGTATGTTTGTACAAATGTGTGAATGTATGTATGTGTGTAAGTATGTATGTATGTATGTAAGTGTGTGTACGTACGTATATATGAATGCTTTCTTTAACTTAACAAAGTCAAAGTCTAAACTACTACTGCGCTGCGCCTTTAAATTAAACGAATTTTTAAGTGCTCTCCTCCTCGATTCTCAGAAATTTAAGTAGGCCTTGTTGAAATTCAACAAGACAGCAAACGTTGGGCCCAACGGCCAGTGGAGGAGCAGCTGGAGGAGGTGGAGCGGGTAAGTAGATATGTATATGTAGATGTATGTATGTAGATGATGTATGTATGTATGTAGATGATGTATGTATGTATGTAGATGATGTATGTATGTATGTATTTAGATGATGTATGTATGTATGTAGATGATGTATGTAGATGATGTATGTATGTAGATGATGTATGTATGTATATATGTATGCATGTATGTACATATGTATGTATGTATATATGTATGTATGTACATATGTATGCATTTATCTATATATGTATGTATGTACAAATGTGTGTATATATCTTTATATGAATGTATATACATATTTATGTATGTATGTTAGTGTGTATGTACACATGTGTGTATGTGAGTTTCCTCACTAAGCTGCGCCCAAATTTATTTAATTTGCTTTTTTAGTTTGGATGTAAGCATACATACTTATGTATGTTGTTATATGTGCGCTTCTGTAGGAGCGCAGCGGTAGTTCAAATAAGTTTATGCTTGATCTCTGTATTATTTGCTTTTAAATTTAAAAAAAAAGCTAACTCAGAAATGAGTGTGACCTACCAATAGAAAATATACTAGCAACGAATTATTTAAGAGTTGCACAGCGTGCTGCTATCGATTACTTAAGGTTATTTATCGATAATAAATCAACATCCCCTCAGCAAAGCCGTCATACTGCCCTGCTGTCACTAAAGTATACATTTTCTGATGCAATTTGCTCCATAAAATAGCGTAAATTTTAAATTGTTCTCTCATTCTTTGGGCGAAAATAATTCAATATGGAAGGCGAAGACGTAAGTTTCTCCGAAAATAGTGAATTGCGAGTGTTGGTCATAATGATATGTATATGAGGAGATCGTACATTGTGTTTCGTGTGTGTGAGGTTATGTGGCGCATATGGAGCTCAATTTACATTTGCATACATTTCACCAACTCTCCCAAACTTTTCGTGTGTACAAATTTGCTTACTCGTCCATTTGAACACTTGGGAAATGTATTTTAGGGTTTCGACCCCACTTTATTAAAAAAGAAGAAGAAGAAGAAGACCACTTTTGACCTGGATGCCGCATTGGGACTAGACGATGCAGCAAAAAAAGAGGATCCTAAAGATGAAGCAACCGTTGATGCAACAGCAGCTGAAATGGACGATAATCTTGACTTAGAAAGCTTCGGCAAAAAGAAGAAGAAAAAGAAGAAGCCTTTTAATTTAGATGAACTGGAGGGGGCGTTGCCTGATGGAGCGGACGACGTCACGGCCGCTGCAACAGAAGACCCTGAGGAGGAAGAGATCAATTTGGACATGGACTTTACAATGGCCAAAAAGAAGAAGAAGAGCAAAAAGAAAGACTTGGATGAGTTGTTCGCCGACAAAGTGGATGACGATAAAAGCGAAGACAAGGAGAACTGTAAGTTTGTCATTTCCTAAATGAAAAGTGTGCATTTCTAAAAATGTTCTTTGCATACTTTGCAGTTGAGGATAACAGCAGCACCTGGGCTGGTTCTGACCGTGATTACACCTACGACGAGTTACTGAAACGCGTCTTTGAAATTATTCTGGACAAGAACCCGGACATGGCTGCAGGCCGCAAACCGAAGTTCGTTATGAGACCACCTCAGGTTCTGCGTGTGGGCACGAAGAAAACGTCGTTTGCCAATTTCATGGACATTGCGAAAACTCTGCATCGCTTACCAAAACATCTGCTAGACTTTTTGCTGGCCGAGTTGGGCACAAGCGGATCCATGGACGGCAATCAGCAATTAATTATCAAGGGTCGCTTCCAGCCAAAACAGATTGAAAATGTGCTGCGTCGCTATATTAAGGAGTATGTCACCTGCCACACGTGCCGCTCGCCGGAAACAATATTGCAAAAGGACACGCGTTTATTCTTTCTTCAGTGCGAATCCTGCGGTTCTCGTTGCTCCGTTGCTAGCATTAAGTCTGGTTTCCAAGCTGTCACAGGCAAGCGTGCCGCCATTCGAGCAAAAACCACATAAATTATGTGTATATTTTCAATTTGATTTTTTATTGAGTAAAATTTCAACTTATAAATATACAAATTTGCAATTATGAATATTATGTAGCCCCATGAGACTGGTAGTAGTCTATCAAATTGTCATTGAATGCGATCTCCAGCTTTCGGGACTTCCCGTTGTCCACAGTAAATGAGATAACATCGAAGACATTTTTATCCCTAAACCTCTTTGGGCGTCCATATAGCAAGACATTGTTTCCGGGTAATATTACAGATCCATCAATGTATTCCAGCGCCTTGCCTAAAAGTCGCACCATGCTAGCTGATACCCTTTCGTACTGAAGTCCCGCGGTTCCTACCAGGGAGTTTGCTTCGTTGTAAAGACGTTTAATAAGTTCAGACTCCCTTGGCTTAACATAAATACTAAACTCCATTGTGCCAGTTCCATCGTCGATTATGTACTTGTAAAACGATTTGTTATGGACGCCCCGACCTGCGACAAACCCGTAAGCCAGGCAGGTACGATACTTCAGTGTGGTCGGATTGAAAACCGTGAACACTCCTTTATCGTCTGGGTCTGGGGACGATCCTAATATATCATTAACAAGCAATGGTAAATGCTCATGAATTTGTTGTCCATCCTTTGTTTCTTTTCGTGCAGCCGCATATGTGTTTACATTCTCTCTTGGTTTTCGTATGATAAAATTATCAAGCTGATCCTCAATATCGTCGAATGTCGGGCTTGTCATATCGAAAACAAGAACATTTTCTTTAAATAGTCTATTATATATTTTTTTTTAAATTTATGCTTCCATTGACATTCGTGTGCCCAGTTATCGACTTTACGTTCTCTAGATAATCGATATACTGCATATGCCATTCACACTAGTTCTGGTTCATCTCTGATACCTAGATTGATGCCAAACTGTTATATATGCAAGCAATTGTGAATGTGTAATTAAATGAAACACGGGATTCAATTAAATTGGATTATTTTATTATATTTAACCAATACGAAACCCATTTCAAATGATGTATATACATTTTAGTCATGATTCAGTGATATGCGCCATCCCTTGAAACGCAGTATTATTTCACCATCCCTCGTCAGCATTTTCGCATATTGTGAAATTGTAGTAAATATTAATTTTTTGGAAACCCAGAAAACTAAAAGGCATGTCTGGCGGTCCGGCAATAACGCTGAAAAGCCAACCAATAGATGGAAGCAATAGCAATAGTGGAAATGCCGCTGGCCAACAACAACAATCTGGGAATAACGCCGCGGCAGCGTCTTCCTCCTCGTCACAGAGCTCAGGTGGAACTGTGCCGCCAGCCCAGGAGGGTACACGCCAAAACAGCTTGCAGCGTATACAGCAGCGAAAGCAGAAGGTATTTAATCTGCCAGAGGCGCAGAAGCTGGCTAAATTGTCAATGTATTCTGCGTGCCAAGCCGAGGGCTGCCGTTGCACTGGATGGAAGACGCCACAGGAGAACAGGCATCGAGATGTCGAGTCTTCCTACTGTCCGGAGCTGAGTGAGGAGTGTCGCAACGCTAGTTGTCGCCATCCGCTGCGGTCTCACATCTCTCATCTGACTGAGATTTCAAGGACAAGCATGGACGACCTCTTGGGCGCAATCATTGACATGGAAAATCTGTTTATGTCCATGCAGCGCGTAGAGGACGAGGACACTAAAAAAGTGTATTTGTATTTGTTTAGGCTGCTCCGTCAATGCGTCCTAACACGTCAGCAGGCTGTTATTCGCGGCCCCTTGGGAGATCCTCCATTCGAGTCGCCGTGCATTACAAAAGCCGTACTGTCCCTGGTTTTCTACAAGTACAACCACTTGAACCCGACTGAGCTGCAGACCATGACGGAGGTGGCCAAGACATTCCTAAACTTCCTCAACCATTACAACTTTGAGTCGCCTTCGGTACGCCGTAGCGATGCCACTTTGACTCACGAGGACGCTTCAACCTATAAGATCAATTATACGCGCTGGCTTGTGTTTTGCCACGTGCCCGCCTTTTGTAACTCCTTGCGGCAGTTCGAAACATCTTTGGTATTTGGACGAACTCTTCTGCGAACTGTTTTTCAATATATGTCGCAGCAGCTGAAAAAGAAGTGTATTTCTGAGCGTGATCGCTTTCCCGAAGACAAGAGGTCGATCATCACGCAAATGCCAAAGTTCTTGGAAGCATTGAGAGCCGAACTGCTGAAAGATGATTCGCCCATATGGGACTCCAGTTACAGGCCACCAAATTCATTTGTCATGCAACAAAGGAAGCGTCATCAGGAAGTGGCACCCCCAGCGACCATTTCGACTGCGGGTGCCGCATCTGCTCCGAGCAGTAGTAAACGCTCAAACGTTGGAGAACCAGCCCATAAGAGGGCCAAAAAGGAGCCTGTCGAACGGGTTCCCAGGTAAGACTCCAAATAAAATACGAAAAACATTTCTTATGAAAACCTTTATTTTCGATTTGATCATATCTCAATATTAATTATATACTATTTCTAATTTGTGCAGCGAGAATTTGGATGACCTTCCAACCGATGTAGTTTTGCGAGCCATGAAATCCGTTTCGGAGTCAAAAACCACAAACAAAGCTGAAATCTTGTTTCCCGTGAATGTGTCGCGCGATGAAAATGTCAAAGCCGAAGAGCAGAAGCGCGCCATCGAGTTTCATGTTGTGGGCAACTCGCTAACAAAGCCCGTGGACAAGCAGACAATCCTTTGGCTGCTGGGACTACAGCTTGTGTTTGCGCATCAGCTGCCCGAGATGCCACGTGAATACATAAGCCAGCTGGTCTTTGACACCAAGCACAAGACCTTGGCACTAATCAAGGAGAACCAGCCAATTGGAGGAATATGCTTCCGACCATTTCCCACCCAGGGCTTCACAGAGATTGTATTCTGTGCGGTTACAATGGCGGAACAAGTGAAGGGTTACGGCACGCATCTGATGAATCACCTTAAGGATTACAGCATACAGCGTGGCATTAAGCATCTACTTACGTTCGCCGATTGTGATGCTATAGGGTATTTTAAGAAACAAGGGTTTTCCAAGGACATCAAACTGGCACGTCCCGTCTATGCGGGATATATCAAGGAATATGACAGCGCCACTCTTATGCACTGTGAGCTGCATCCAAGTATTGTGAATACTCAATTTATTGCTGGTCAGTTGGCTTGGCAGCATTTTTATGGGATTGACAATTTACAGATTTATTTTGTTCTGGTTTTCAGTTATTCGGAATCAAAGTGAGATCCTTAAGGAGCTCATTGCTCAGCGACACAATGAGGTCCAAAAAGTTAGGCCTGGCTTAACATGCTTCAAAGAGGGATTGCCATCTATACCAGTTGAATCTATACCGGGTCTAAGAGAAATCGGCTGGAAGCCACAAATGCGTCCAGTGCGTGCCTCCCGTCCCTTGGAAGAATCTACTGATCCGGAAAAACTGGCCAATTCTTTCCAATCCGTGTTACAATCTGTGCGCCAACACGCCACAGCATGGCCATTCCTACGACCTGTCACTGCAGCCGAGGTTCCCGACTACTACGATCACATCAAGTACCCCATGGACTTGAAGACAATGGGCGAACGTCTAAAAAAAGGTTATTATCAAACACGTCGCTTGTTTATGGCAGATATGGCACGTATTTTCTCAAATTGTCGCTTCTACAATTCTCCCGACACTGAGTATTATCGCTGCGCCAATTCGCTCGAACGTTATTTCCAAACCAAAATGCGAGAACTGGGCTTATGGGACAAATGATGCGACGACCCTATTTATATTGCTTGAACTGAGTAAATTAGTTACATATTATATATACATGAATATAACCATCTAGGTATTTCTGTCTCTGCGAAACTAAACGATGTGCACTGTTGTTTTCATTTTACACATGTGTCTACATTCAAGTTGTAAAACATCTTCCGACAGAAGTACCTAATGTAAAACTCTTAATTATTATTTATTCTTAGAATAGTCAATCTGAATTATTTACTGCTGTCAACATATAAATAATAGATCTTTTATGTTTATGTTCATATGTATAATTTCGAAAATTATGTTTTAGACCGGAACGGTTTTTGTATCGCAAGCAATCGCAAGTTTGTTCCCACAAATGATGATACGCTCAATCAAAACGATTGCGATAAACTGTAAACTGTAAAATAGACTTTTTGGGAATATGTTTCCATTATGTTGGCCTAAATTCACATAAAACTGTAAAACGGAAAGCTCAATGGATTTACAAGAATAAATATTGGAATACTATTACAAGTTAACTTAAAAATTGTCTGCAAGCAAAGGGAAATATTTTTCTAAAAATTAAACGGCAAACTAAAAGTCGGTCGCATACCACTAACTTGATAATTGTGCTTAAGGCTTAGGTGATATGATATCAAATCAGTTCAAGTTCGCTTGCTTTATGATTAATCCTATGCTAGTTGTCATAGAAAATTATTCTCTATCCAATTACAAGTACACGCCTATAAGTTATCAAGAGCACCAACAAGCATACGAGTATTATTTCTATTAACGCAATTGAACAAACCCTGCCGAATCCTTGCAAATAGTTTATCTATTGAAAAATATTACTCTTTCTTTACTTATAAGCGACATATACATATATAAACATATACCTAGTTTCATACATGATTTGTGCTCAACATAAAATTAACGTGTCCGTCTTAGCATTGATCAATACATATAAAAAAAAACCCGCCATATTGATTTTTAAGGGAAAGTTTAACATGGTTTTAAATTATTTTGCTCTGAATTTAATATGAATTATATGGCTTATTTATATGAAACATTTACAAAAAACATTTTTGATGTACAATTCGTGGAGTATTCTTGTAATATCTCCATTCAATTCCAGCTACTCGACACAAATTTAAAGTATAATGTTAACTTTAAAATAAATCATTTTAAAATAAGATCATATAAATCGGAATCTTACGCGAATATCCACAATGCGTGGCTAACAACTATTAATTGTGGTATAATGAGATATTGTGCATTCCTGGATAACAGAATATTTTCTCTTGCTGCGATCATTGAAGGCTGTAGGCTAAATACATAATTGGTGTTCACATGTTTAAGTAACATAATTAATAATATATATTTAAGCTCCCCACAGGAAACGCATACTACACACTATTTGACAGTTTTTGGCTATAGACACTGAAAATGATCGAAAATTTAACTAATTTCTGAAAGACACGCTTTAATTGTTCTGGGGTTTTCGCTTTTTATGTAAACAATCAGTTTTAAGTAAATTTATTTGTTGCCCACACTACTACTGATAGGTGATTTATTTTTTACAATTTTTGTTTTTTCTTTTCTTTTTGTGTTCAATATATGTACGTGTTGCTGCTAATTTTAATATATATGCATGTATTTCCATTTTCTCCATCATTAAAATTTGTTCTTAAAAAAGTTTAAATGCTAGTAACGCTTTGAATTAATTTATTTATGTTATGTTGTATGCCCACATTAAGTATAGTTGTAGGCCTTTTTTTCTTGTTTTAAAATATAAACATGCGAGTTGCGTTTGCTTTTATTAATGTTGGGAATTCCATGGATTTAATTGTTTCTTTCTTTAATTTCATAATTTGCGACTCCTAGAGTTTTTCTTTAACTTTTCATAGACTTATGCTTAATGTTTTCTTCACATTTATTACTAAATATATGTAGAGGTGTGTATGTTCTCACTATAATCATGTGCTGCATCACTATAGCCGTTCAGCATGCCATTTACACAAAAACCTATCTTATGGCTGCTGAACGCTTCTGATTGATCTTATGAATAGCAAAGCAACACGGTGGGCGGGCAAAGTGCGCGCAGGACGTCATGAGCGTTACAACACTAAGTAAAATTTTACAATTATTCTGTTTATGCCATTTCCATAATCGATTCTTCATGATGATAAGAGCCTTTTTTGTCGTCGATCGGTCGGTCGCTTGATTAGGTTGAATTCGGGTAAACTAGCTTTGCAATGAGTAGGACTGTTTTTAGATTTTGTAAAGTTAGGCAAGGGAACTCCACGCATGCGACATTATTGAGCTGCAATATTAATAATGAGGATTAAGGTCATGTTGTTGAAGGAACATATATGTGATTGGGTACTTACAAACTGCCGCCACCTGTTGCGTCTGCTCTGTAATTGTAGATGTGGCCGTCTTCGTTGTTGCGGCATTGGGTGCCGTGGTGTCTGTATTGTTGCCCGTAACGGCACCTCCTGCATTATTGGCAGCTTTCAGAGCTGCGGCTGCGCTGCCATTTCCATTGGTTATGTTGTTCTGGCGGTTTCCGCCATTATTGTTACGATTGTTGCTGCGGTTGCGAAAGTTGCCGCCGCCGCCCATGCGATAATTGTTGCGATTATAGCCAGGTGCACCGCCGTAGCCAGAATTCATGCCACCATTGCCGGCACCTCCGCCCATCGTGTTGCCATTGTTGTAGTAATGGTTGCGCCCTCGGTAGCTATTAAAACTGACACATTAAACATTTTTAGGAGACAGGCGAGGGGCAACCCGGCAACTTACCTGCCACGTCGGGTGGACGAGACTCCGAATGTCTCGGTATTCAATTTGCGCTCCTGACGCCAGTCATTCTTCTTGTTCTTGCTGCGATCCTGAGCCGCCTCGCACGAAATGTTGTCAAAGAATGATTTGGTCTTATCGTAGCCCACATGAACATCCTCATCCTCAGGCTCATGCTCACCAGCGCCAGTCTCATTGCCAGAGTCATCCTTCTTGTCGGTCTCCCCATTCAACTGTGCAAAATTAAAGAGTGGGCACAATTATGTCCGTGTCAAACAAATACATTTTGTGTGTTGTGTCGTGCATTGTTTTAAATGTTTGACATGTTTCTTTTTTTAACGGTTGAATTATTAAACTAAAACTTAAATGAACTGAAAATAATAAACAAAATAAAACAAACTTATACCTGATCAGTAGTGGTAGAAGTTGTTGTTGTTGTGGTTGTGGCTGTTGTTGTAGCTGTGGTTTTGTTGGGTTCGTCGCCCACCTTGAGTTTCGCCAGTTGTGAACGCAGCTCTTCAAACTTATTGTTTGCCTGCTCGAAATCAAAGTCGCCCTCAAATTTGATCTTGTTGCGAGGTTTATTCTGATTAGCCGATTGTGGACGATAACCCTGCTAAAAGTAAACAAAATAAAAGATTTAAACGTTAATATTAATGACTGCAAAAAAACAGCTGAGGAAAACAGACAGATCGAATTGGTCGCATAATTGTGCAAAGAATTAAACCATTTAATTTGGGTTATTATACAAATATTGTCTGTTTTCAGCTCTAAGAAAGAACAGAATTGTGTACATCTATATATATATTAATAAGCTATTAACCTAATTATTATTAACTTTAGAAAATGTAGTTTATTAACTGATTCGGCGGTTGCGTATGTTTTGACTTGTGGAAAGTATATGAGAGCTCCTACGATTTTTATATGCTACTTTCGAAAATGAATACGCTGTAGCTGCCCAATGACAACCAGATGGTAGTCAAATATACAAATTGCTATATATTATATCTGTATCATTCTCTTTGCATGTGCTGAACGGGACGGAATGTGGAACGGTTGAAATGTGTATTTACCTGATTGGGTCGCATTGGGCCACGAGCACCCATGCCGCGATTGCCGCGCATCATCATATTGTTCGAATTCTGTGGACCACCACGGTGCATGTTCCATGCGCCATTTCCTCCACTGCCACGCTGTTGGATGGCACCGCCGACTCCCCCACGATTACGCTGATTATTATAATTGTTGTTGTAATTGTTATCCATTTGACGGCCAGAATCACGGCGATCGCGCTGCTGCTGCTGCTGCTGGGGGTGGGGATGATTGTAATAGTCGTTATTGTGGTTGTGGTTATTCCTCTGCTGTTGCTGCATATTGGGTCCCCCTCTCTGCTGCTGCTGTTGTTGTTGCTGCTGCTGATGGTTTTGGCGCTTATGACCGGCATCGCGCGCATTACCACCGCCGAGAGCTTGCACAGAATTCTGCTGCTGATGTAACTGCTGCTGCTGTTGCTGGGAGTGCTGCTGGGTCAGGTCGGCCGTTGGACTGATAATGAGGCTAATAGGCGTTGTCGAACGCGAAGCGCTCGCAAGCATATCTAAAACGGAAACTTTACATATAGACGGGAACGTGCATATATGTTTATATATTAACAGTGTGTATGTGTGTGTGTGTGTGTGTGTGTGTGTAGGTGTAAGTGTGGCGCAAGAAATAACTTCAAGTAACATGTAAAAGCCCAAGTGGCAAATATTTCTGTTTGAAATTATTTAATGGCTTTTTGTGTGCTGCTTGCATTAAATGATTGCTGAACCTTACTTTGTTTTGGCTGCTGCTGAGGCTTTTGTTGCTGCTGCTGTTGCTGATTACCACCTATGTTCATGAATGGCCCTCCGCTGCCAGGTGCTCCGGCACCAGGAGCCAAAGAGCCCGGGCCAAGACTGGGAGCTCCCAAGGCGCCAAATGGATTTCCATTTCCAAAGCCACCGCCGCCTGGTGCTCCGGGTGCACCTCCACTGGCTCCAGCCATCGATGGACCACTGTGCTGTGGTTGCTGCTGCTGTTGTTGTTGTTGTGGCGCATTCATTGGGAAATGTTGTGGCATTACCTGGGGGCCGTTCTGCAATTGTGCCTGCATTATGGCCGGATCATTATGGTGCGGCAGCGTATGGTTGTTCACAACGCGAATGTCTTTGATGTCAGAGCCGCGAAATAGGATATAATCGTAGATCTGTGACTGCGGTGCTATTTGAAACTGGGTGTCACGGTCCTCCGTTCCAAAGGAGCGCACTGTTTACAAAAACAACACAAGCTTAGTTTGGGCGCAATTTCTCGTATAACCTCAATATGTTGTTAGGCATATAAATATGTATGTATATGTAAGTAAACTTTTGTATATATGTATTCTCCGTACTGTACATAAGTACAGACATACTTGATGTGTGGTGTGCAAAAATGCGGCAAGGCATGGTTATACAATTGATTGTTGAAAGTACAGTGCTTGTTTTATGCTATATTCATAAATCTTTACAAAAATATGATTTTGTGTTACTACTAAATAAACATAGTAATATGGAAACGTAATAACTTTGATTCTAAGATTGTATGTAATTTTAAGTAATTTGGCCGCATGTTTCTCTTAGTCCATTTTTATTACTGCCTTTACTAACGGTAGTTGCTGTAGGAAGCAATGCCACATAATCCGTTAATTGGCGCTGGCGCCAAAAATGGGGTTTGCCAGCAAATTGCAAACGAACACACACGTACAAATTGCTATCTGTCTACACATTTATTTTGATGTAAATGTATACATTTGTGCATATATGTACATGCACTATATGCATATGTATGTACATACACACAGGCATACATATGTATGAAATTTTGCGCGTGCATGGGGATGCAAAAGCAACACTGTACAACCCGAAGCTCTATCTGTGCCGACAGCATCTGAGCTTCGACAACATGACAAACAAAAAGCACAAGAGAGAGTGGGAGAGAGAGAAAGAGCTAAAGAGAGAGAGTGGGAGAGCGAGTTGGCTATTGCCGTGTGTCTGCCCGCTCTTTGCGCGATGAGCAGCATATTACTGTAAAAACTAACTGAAGCAACCAAAAACGTGAACAAAAAATTTTAAAGAAACCATTTTCTTTTTAGCATTCGCCTTTGCATTTTACCGTTTTAGTTTTACAGCATAGATATACATGCATACATATATGTATATACGAACGTATGCAAGTATTTCCACATGGATGAAGGAAAATAACACGAATGTGTAGGCAAACATACATATGTGTAAAGACATATATATATATATATATATATATAATTGGGATATAACTTACCACTCGACAGGGCAATTGTACACTCCTGTGGATCCACCGTATACAAGCGGCCTTCATATCTAATGTCAGCTTTCGAAATTAGGCTGATCTTCGAGCCCAACTCCGGTAATCCGCCACTCATGTTGGATTCTAACTGTATCACTGTATGACTCGCGTGTCAAATCAAATATTTTTTTCACCAATTTTTACGAAAAATTGTTTCTGCTTATGGCCGACAATTGTCGACGAATAGAATAATCAAGTAAAGCAAACAATTATAGCGAGCGCGACGTTGCCCCGTTTCCGAGCGAGTGTTGCCTGCTGCGCTGCAGTTTCAACCTTTCGACGTTGACAAGCACGCAATAACTTTCTATTTCCAGAGCAAATTTTCAACTTTCTATAGGCAGATTTTTAATACAATATAAATAGAGCACAATTTGAAAATTATATCAAATCAAATGGATAAATTAGTAAAAATGTTGATTTTTTTGCAATTCGTAATGTGGAAAATTTTTTCACCTTCCGTCTGCAAAAACCTACCCGTCGAAAGTGGAAGATGATCGAACGAGCAAGAATACTCGCTACCCAATGTAGTGTTGTAAAATATTCAGAGATGGGGCTGCATCATTTTAAATGATTCTTCATTCTTAAAACACATGATAATAAAATAAAATAAATAAGTAAAATCTATACGCATACAGAATTGTTAATTTCTTAACTATTATCTTCATGAACCAAGCAATTTAAATTGAATAATTTGCTAAATAATATTTTAGAGGGGACAACACTGGCGCATTCCGTGCAGCCCTGCGTTTGTCACCGCGTTTAACATTCAAAACGTTCGATTCCTAACAAAGCGTCGCTTTTATTTTGTCGATGGCATCAGCCTAATAAATACTGTGTATGAAGCGGCTCAAAGACTTTTTAATTACACAGAATCAATATGCCTCCACAACGCGAGCCAATTAGTGTGCGTACAACGCGACTCAATAATCTTATACTGGGTAAAGGAGTTGGCGCCGTACAGAAACCCTCTTCAAGCGCTTCAAGGCGCAGCATTGTGCCTGTAACCACTGTAAGTGCAGCTGTCGCAGAAGCCATCTGTCGGGAGGGATTGCTGGACGCATTCTGTCTGTTGTACAATGAGTGCGACAAGGAGACGCTGAAAAAGCGCGACCGTAATATAGCGGACTTTGTAAATAAATGTAAGTGTTCCCATTTAAGAAATGTGGTATGTCATTTATATGACTCCGTCTCTTTAGTTCGTCCTATTATTGAGGAAACCCGTCAGCTGCGGGTAAATGCCGATGATTTTGTCATCAAGGCCCTCATCGGAAAGGGCTTTTTTGGCAATGTCCACTTGGTGCTCGAACGTCAAACGTCCGATGTTTATGCCATGAAAAAGATTAAGAAGTCGATGGTGACCACATCGCAGGTGGAGCGCGATATAATGTCCCAAAGGAACTCTGAGTGGATAACCAATTTACAGTACGCCTTTCAGGTACGTTTAAACCAAACAGCCCCAAACTGTCTTTGTTTGAAATCCATTATGTATTTTCATTGCTTCTTCCAAAGGACAATGACCACTTGTACTTGATCATGGAATATCTACCTGGAGGCGATCTTCTGAGCTTAATGTCGCGTCACGGACCTTTTGACGAAGACCTAGCGCGTTTCTATTTAGCCGAGCTAACGTTGGCTTTGCACACGCTGCACCTTATGGGCTACGTTCATCGCGACATTAAGCCGGAAAACATTCTGATCGATCGCTTCGGTCACATTAAATTGGCAGACTTTGGAAATGCTGCTGCATTGGATCGTGACGGTCATGTCTTGAGTCTCTCGCCAGTTGGTACGCCGGACTATATTGCGCCGGAGCTGTTGCAAACCATATCAACCTATAAGCTGTCAAAGTCGATGCATGACGTGAGTGTTATTGTACGATTTTCCATTCAATATGCAACTCGAACATGAAATATTACTCAGAAAAAACATGTCCATGTAGTTTAATGCGTGTCTGTTTATCCTTATGATTCTCAAACTAATAAGTCAGCTATAAAACTATCTTAATGAAACTTTGGATAGCTGCCTATTGTTCAAAATTCTTGTTTCATTTGCGATTATTTTTAATACGTACTTTTGCCTGTAAGCTATGGTAATAACTTATTAATTTTCCCAAACAGGTTAGCTGCGATTACTGGTCCATGGGAATTATTGGCTATGAGCTTATATGTGAGATTACGCCGTTCCATGAGGACAACGTGCATGAGACGTACTCAAAAATTCTTTCCCACTGCGATGATAGCCTTCTGAAAAAGTTAATTAGCTTTCCGAGTGATCTGAAAATTTCTAGCAATATGAAACATCTCATCGGATCGTTGGTAACGAACCCAACGAATCGGCTTTCCTACGATCAAATTATTAAACATCCGTTTTTCGAGAGCATCCAGTGGAGCACAGTTCGTTCGCAGATGCCTCCCATTATACCCACTATAAAGTCGGATGATGATATCTCAAACTTTGAAGACGGAATACGGCACAAAGCCCGCCGAGAACAGCAAGCCAAAAAGTCATTGACCTCGAACATGAAGTCGAACGATTTTAGTGGCAAGGACTTGCCCTTTATTGGATACAGTTTCGTTCACATGGAAAATGATTGCAGTATATCCGATGTGTCGGACACAGCACGCACGGCTAAGCTGCAGGAAAAGCTGCGGAGTCTGCAGCAAAAGCTGAAGTCGCGTGAAACTGAAATTGTAATGCTGAAGCAGGATCTGGTAAGGGCCCAGCAAACTCTTAAACAGACAGATGGTAAATCGCAAGTGGTGATTGAGGCCAAAGTGGAAATTAAGAAGCTACAGGACATTATTAAGGAGAAGACAATGGAGCTGGCCAGCTGCAAGACCCAAATTAAAACTTTGCAGAGCTCAGCAAAAATTGATGAAGAAATGTGGTCAAAAAAAGAAGCCACAATCACAGACTTGTTGCGCCTGAATCGACAAAAGTATGAAGAGGCAAAAATCGCATCCGAGCAGAGATACGAGAAACAACTGGCGGAGAAAAAGCAAGAACTGGCCTGCACAGTACAAAAGTTGGATGCGCGTGAGCTGGAGTTTAATGCAAAAGTTGATGAATGTAAGCATCTGGGCGACAAGCTGGAGAACTATAAGGAAATGCTGAAGCAACTAAAGGAACAAAGTGTCAAGGCCGAGTCCAACCATGAGAAACAAAGGACTCAGCTAACAGAAAACTACGAGCAAAAGCTGTCGGAGCTGCGCCAAAAGCTACGCGAGTCACAGGATACTCACCGCCGCATGACTTTCGAGCTGCAGAGCATACGCAGTGAACTGGACGAGTCGATAAGTTCAGGCAAATCAAGCCAAGAGGCTAAACATGCCACGGAGCGTAGCATCGAAGACATACTACAGCGCCTTAACTGCGAGATAAGCGCAAACAACGAGCTGCGTGCGGCTAAAGCTTCCCTAGAGACTCAGCTGAATCTTGCGAAAAAGGAATGCCTGGAAGCACAAGCAGAGTGCCAGCGTTTGGACCGCGAGCTGCAGGTAAGGTCAATTTTATTATTTGCTTGCCATATGCTTTATATAAACCTGAAATTTTATATTTAAACTTGGAGCTACAGCATTTGAACTATCGATATAGTCATAATGTATGCATCCATTTCTAAAATTGATGTATTCTGTCCGCTGCTTCTTTAAAATGATTGTGTCAAAATTATTGACAAGTCATTAGAAAAAAATCAGAAGATAAATGGTTTTCTAGGCTACAACGAGAGTCTCTAATTAGTATACGTGATTAGGGCGTTTTCTAAAAATAGCAATAAATTTCTATACAGTATTCACTTAAAATTCTTTGATTTTGAACACAGCTCGCTGAGTGTCGTTGCAACATAGCCGAATCATCTCTCGCATCTCATGCCTCACCGTATGAAACGGCACCTGGTTCGCTGACTGAGCTGAATGCTATAGAGGATCAACTGCGTGCTGACCTAGTGGCCGCCAAGGATGCCGAATCTGTACAAAAGAGTCGTGCTGATCAACTGCAGGAATTGGTTACAAAGCTAGAGAGGATGCTCGAACGGTTCAATGAGCAAAGCCTGTCGCCAATGAAAGGAAATCCGGGCGCAGCGAACAGCGCCGTTGGCGACATGCTGGAGCGTCAAAATGAGAAACTGGAGGATAAATTAGCCGCGGTGCGAGAGCAGATGATTGTGGAGCGGCAGGCAGCACGTACGGCAAACTTATCGCTCTGGAAAGTGGAAAAGCAATTGGAGGAGGCGCTCTCGGAAAAGAAGATGCTGGCGCGGCGCATGGAATTGACAGAGGAGCGTGTCAAGAAAGCGCAGAATGAACGCGAAGAGGCTCAACGTGCGCTGAAATCTGCGCAGGATGAGTTTCGTCAGCGTGATGCACGACTTGATGAACTCAAGGCCGAATTAGCAGCCAGCAAACGCGATGTCTTAAAGGAACACCGTATGTGGGAGAAAGCCGAGGAGGAGCGCATGAAGTGCAAGTCTGAAGTTATTGAGCACCTGGCAAACGTTCATAGGCTGGAGCAGCAGGTCAGAGAGGTGCGCCAGAAGCTTCATCAATCTCAGCTACGTTGTGATGGCCTAGGACTAGAACAGAAGAGGCTGCAGCGTGAGCTGCAAGAGGAGCGGGATCGCAATGCTGCAGCTGGAGAAGGCACTCAGGCATTGCAGGGAGAACTAAAGCAGCTAAGTGACAATTTCCAGCGCCTAAAATACGCGTGCAGCATAACCGATAATCAGCTAACAGAAGTGGAGTCCATGCTGGAGGCAGAGCAGCAGCGAAACAAAACACAGCAATCCCAGCTGGATGCATGCCATGTGAAACTTCGCGAGCGTAATGATCAGGTAACCGAGCTGCGTAAAGAATTGAATGTGCAGGAGTCCGGCAAGCGTCAGGCCGAGCAACATGCCAAAATTCTTACAGTCGAATTGGAAGAGCTAAAGGAGAATCTTAAGCAGTTGCAGATGAAACTTATCACACAGCAGACTCAGCTGGTCGAACAGACGAACGCGCTGTTTGGCGCCCAAGAGCGCGCGGATCAGTTGGATGTGCAGAGCGCCAGTTGCCAGGCGCAGAACGCAGACTACGAGCGAGAGCTGCTCAGTCTCAAGGAGGAAAATGCTCGCATACTGAGTGAGCTGTTCCACAGTAAGGAGGAGGTGCTACATTTGCATGCCGAGGTAAAGAACCTGCAAACCGTTCAGACTGGACTCCACACTGAGATCGATGAGCTGCAGAATGCACTCACGGAAAAAGAGCAGTTCTACGTGCAGCGGGATATCAAAGCTATGGCAACGCTGGCTCAGCACAAGAAACTTATCGACTATTTACAGGTAATACATATTTGTAAAATTGTATTGTGTTTGTTCTCCAACCAATGCGTATTACTTGCAGCTTAAAGTCGAGGATTTGTCAGCCAAGAAGAAGAAAACTCTAGCCGACAAAATCTTTGGATCCAACAGCAATACCAAGGAGAACATATCGCCCAACGATGTGGAATCATCTATACTATATCGTGCTCTGAAAGAAGAACTGCGCCGAGAACAAAAGCTATCCAAGATGCTGCAGGAACAATTGGATCAGTTGAACGGTAAGTAATACAGAAACAACCTTTTATTATAACGCGCTCTATATTTATATTCTATTTTTCTCGCAGGAACTGCAACTCTGCGTTCGCCACGGAAGTCCTGCGCTGTTAATGGCGACACAGACGAACCCAAGCTGCGACCCGCTAGCATCGCCGCAGTACCCCGATCTCCACGTAAGCCGCCGACCACAGTGAAGCGCTCGGCTAGCCAAGCGGATGCTAAAAACCAATTGAAATCGCCGCAAAAGCAGACCGCAGACGATGTGTCACATCATCGATTTGAATTGGCCTTGCAGGAATCGAAAGTGGACGCAGCCACGTGCGTCAGTTGTGAGCAGCCCATTGTAGCTGGATCGCCCTACTGGCGCTGCAAGGAATGCAAAGATGTGGTGCATCGCAAATGCCGGGCCAATGTAACTGGCAGCTGTGGTAGCAAAGCTGAATCGACCTGCGATGAGGTTAGCGAGGGGCGGCCAGAGTCAAGTCGCAGCAGCCTGGAAACAGTAGACAGCGAGCATGACCACACGGGAGAGTATATAGGCACACTAGCTTACAAAGGCGTACCGGACTCTGTTGATGGCGAACTCATTGAAATTAATTGTGCATTCGAGGTGGTCGAGCAGAAAATATTGCTGTTTGGCTGCAACAGCGGCCTGTTTGCCTACAATGTGGACACACAACGCCTGTTGCATATTGCTGGCATCGATTCGGTTAGCTCTGTGTCCATATCAACGCGCTTGGCCAAGGCCATGATGGTGGGCGCAAACGGCGAGAAGCTATATCAATGCGACTATCGGCAGCTGGAGTCGCGCTGCCAAAGCGCAATTCCCTGTCAAAAGCCTGTACTAGAAACGTCGGTAATTGAGCTGCCGTTGGCCAATCGATCGAACAGCGAAAAGTGGAAACTTGTGCAGATATCAAACGAATCTGAAAATGCCCTCGACTCGGTCGCCATTGCAGCCACCTCGACTCGCATTGTCATTCTCAAGTACGATCTAAAACTGCATAAATTTAAGCCAGTGCGCGCATTGGACACGGCCACGGCCGTAACATCGATTTTCTACACACGCCATTCGGCAATCGTCAGCTCGGACAAGTTCTACGAAATCGATCTGGATAACTATGCGGCCGAGGAGTTTGTCGATCTAGCGGATAAGACGCTGCAGCATACGGCCAACTGTCAGCCCTTTGTAGCCGTGCGCATCTCGCGTCAGGAGTTTCTGCTTTGCTTTGCCGAGTGTGGAGTGTTTGTCGATGAGTTTGGCTGTCGTTCGCGTCCCTACGATTTAAATTGGGTCTACGCGCCAACGGGCTTCATATACCGTGAACCATTCCTCTACGTGTCGCACTACCAGTACGTGCAGATAATGCGACTGCATCGCTCCTACAGCAAGGAGGTAGCCAGCGGCGCTAACTCGGAAAACAACGATGGCTCAGAAATACAGCGCCTTTATTTGCCCCATTATATGCCCACGCTGCTGAGCTCCAGCGGCGAACGAAACATTTATACGTTGTCCATAGAGAAGCAAGCGGGCTTTCAGCAAATATATCACCTGGATGCATTGCGAGCATTCAAGCATAAGTTAAACGTATCCATGGAGACAATGTCATCGGTGGCAACGTCCGTAACGATCGGTTCGACAATGACAACGGATAGTGTATAAGGTTTACTTATTTATGAGTCTGTCTCTAAATAAATACATGTGTTTGTATGTAGAATTTAGCACAGATTTTCCTAAGCCTCTAAGCCCAAATCATTATATTTTATTTTAATATTTTTATTATGTGTTTGCACGACTAAATACATTTTAATACATATGGCGCCAAGTTTGAATGTCTGCTGTTGTAGCACCCTGTGCACGCCGAAGCTTTACTACTGAGCCACCCTGTGAAACATAACAGTTTTTTTGTTTTCGTAGGCCGGTAGAATGAACGGCAGCATCTAATACACGACAGCGAAGCTTTTATTATCCAGCACAGTAAAAGGCCGCGAGGCGCAGGGCACGGGTGCCACATTTTGGGAGCTCCAGACCACACATACACACAAACATACAAATGTATTGTTATTGTGGCAATTGATGTCAATTTATGGCAAGCCGGTTGTTGAGCGTATGTAACCCAACGCGATGTTTAAATCAGAACGAAAACAAAGCGCGCGCCGCGCACTTGCTAGCACCACAAACGCGACGAGGGCTACGCCTGGCAGAATGTCGCTGTGTCGGGCATGCTTGGTCCTGCTCAGTGCCGAGGATATAACATACGATTTGTACAAGGAAAAGGATTTGGCGGCCAAGTTTATTGGTTGCATGCGAGCTGGAGACGGACTGCGATTTTTGGGAGCGCCACTCGAAGAAGGCATGAGTCCTCAGATTGTGCTTAGATGCATCTGCGATAGCTGCTACCAACTGGTGCAGAGATTCTATGATTTTCAACGTATGTGCGAGGAGTCCTTCAGTAATTTCGAAAAACTCCTGTCGGAAGTCAACGTAAAAGTTAACGGAAACAAGTGCAATCAGGAGGATATACCATCCGAGACGATTAAAGCCCCACTGGAAGAAGATGCACAGTCCGGAAAATTAATTGTTCAAGTTCAATCGACTGAGGTTTCCGTCGTCATGCCGGAGTCAATTGAAGACATTGTGAGTGTTTATTCAAGAGAACACATATTGATACATATGTACAAACTTTTTGTTTTGTGTTTATGCATGTATGTATGTCCTCAAGTTCGTAATAATCTAATCACATGTGGTTGATTGTGCATCGAGCGCGTTTGAATGTATAACTGTTAACATGAGCGTATGTATGTACAACTGTCTATTGGATACGGAAGACAGCACACATATACACATGTGCATATGTATTGATGTACACACTTGTGTTTATGGCACGCTTATTTTATTAGCGTGAGAACGTGGCAACATAATAAGAGTACGCATACATATACGCTTACACACAAATTTAAAAATTTATCTAAATATGTGTTTATATGTATTACGCGGTTGTCATGGTTACGGTTTGCATATTGAAGAGCATTAACAAGTTTTGCGCGCTTATTAAAGGATTCCTTGTACGACCAGTGTTGTTAAATATCTGGACATATACATACATACAAACATATACATCTACATACATATGTATGTAAGGGGATGAGCTTGTGTGTGTACTAGGTATTATTTAGTCGATCACATTTAGCAAAACCACTTGTTTATTTATTAGTTAAATATACATATGTATAAAAAATAAAAAAAAACTTGTTTGGAACTAGAATACACACATATTTGTATATTAATATGCATACAAATTTGAGTATGCATATAATTTGATTTAATGATCTAAATTGGGAAAAGTTTGCGGAATTTAAATTTCATTCTCTCTCTTAACTACAGGAAGAAGTATACATAATCGAAGATAATGCTGTCAAACAATCTCTTGGGAAGGAAAAAGTTGCGATCTCTTCACATCCAGGCGTTGCGAAGCGTCCTTTGGGTCTCAGGCAAAAAATAGACTGCAACATTTGTGGACGCGGGTTTTACAAAATGTCTCTTTATGAGGCGCACATGCAAAAGCATCAAGGGAAGCAGCCTTACAAATGTCCAGTCGAAGAGTGTGGCAAAGCGTATTCGCGAGAAAACTTGCTGACCGCGCACTTACAGGAGGTTCACCAGAACCAGAGGACCACATATGCCTGCACGCAACCGAACTGCAATAAAGTCTACAGCGCGCTTCGCAGTCTCAACTATCATTTACGGCGCCAACACTTTAAAGATGTTGAATCCGACAGCTCCAAGTACATGTGCGAAAAGTGTGGCAAATCCTACTGTCGAAAGGCTTTGCTCACGCGCCATCAATGGGTGCACAGGAGCAAGGGCGAATACACTTTTGCCTGCAAGTGCTGCGAACAGCGCTTCTACACAGACCAAAATCTAAAGGATCACTTCCTGAGACGTCACAGCCAGAAACCACTGTGGCGCTGCAAGCGATGTGGACGTATTTTTGGATCCCGTGTTGCCTTAGCCGCTCACACAAAAAGTCATACAAAAGCGAGTCGATCCTTTGGCAGTAGTATAATCAATTAAAAATGAGCAGTTCTCAAGTGGCAGATACCTCAATTCGGATCCATTGACACAAATAATCAGTTATCCGCTTTTATTTTCATATATATATATATATATATGATTTCAGTAACTCTTCAAGCTAACTCAACTTATGACAATTTAAAAAGTTAAATCTTTTGAAATACTAAAATTTTTATATATATATATTTATCGAGTCGAAAAAACTGCTGCATTAAAAGTAAATACATATATGTAGTGAGTGGAGTGGGTATCTGGGAGGTTACTATAAAATTAGCTAACATTCACATGATGGCCGGGCCTGCACAAATTGCTTGAAATCAGTACACAAATTGATGGCAGTAGCCCGCTTACATACTTCAAAAATCATTTATAAAAAAACAATTAACTAAATTTGATGCTTAAGCTTAAAGAAACAGACGGTCTGAAAATTACATACATATACCATTACATTACATATAATTAATTTGCTGCAAAAATTAAAAAATCCAATAGTACCTATCAATGAAATTCAGTAGAAATGCAAATGTACCAAAACAGCATGAACTAATATAAAGGGTGAGATGTGGGGCGGGGTGTAGGTGTTGCTTGCACCACGCATACAAATGATAATAAATACGCCGCAATATGAGCATAGAATGAGTTTTGGAGCCGCCGCCAGTTGTTGTTTTTTTTTTTTTTGGTGTTTAGGTATCCTTGTGCTTCTCATAGAAGGCATCTAGGTATTTTTTGTACTCATTTTGATCATTCCACATCATCGCGGCCTGCGCATTTAGTGGACTTTCATTGTTTGGTTCGCCGAGGAGCGATTGTATGGACAACAATATGGTGCGCACATCGTACAGCGCTGACCACTTGTCTTTGAGTATATCTAGACAGATGGCACCCTGCAGATCGACGTTGGGATGAAAGCATGGTGTCAAGAATTTAACCACAGGCGCGGCATACGGATAGGAATTTGGAAAGTCGAGCGACAACCGATATGTCTGGCTCGAGTACACAGTGTTTATTGGGCCAGCAATGGTGCCGACCCATTTAAAGATGTTTTCGCCGTCTGGAAATGCCGAAATTCCCTTCTCGTTGGCCATCATTAGGTTCATGAGTTCTTTGTGCAGTCTGTGTTCAATAAAGAAATTATTGCAAATCATTTAGCAGCCGAACAAGCATACATATAGACATATGTATGTATCAAAATTTGGCGCCTTACCTTTTGCTCACAGCGTGATTGTCTTTGATAGGCAGCGAGTCATCGTTGTGTTTGCTACTGCCACCAGCACCACTCTGTTCAGGGCTGATGTTTTGTGCCATTGCGTTGCACTCTGGGAATTTAGTTAAGTTGTGGAATATGCTAAAAGTGTCACTATTTATACTGCAATGTCAATTTTGTTAATGCGCGTCTGTTACTTTTGAGAATCTTTTTTCACTAAAACAAAATGGATGGAGGCAACACAGTGTTGATTTGAGCGTGCGCAGAGTTGTATTTTGTGTCAGCTGAATAATAAATAATAGCCTTCTCTATAAGTGAATAAAAAATATATATAAAAAAATCCATAAATATTGTTACCCATAAGCTGTATATTTTTGTTATGAAGTTACAAATGTCCTAGATGGCTAATAATGTTTATTTTCCTTTAAGCTTTGTTTTAGCTAAATTTATTTTTATGCGCCAAGTGTTGCGATATTTCTGAATTATGCGCTCATCTCTAAAAAGAAATAACTTTGTTTAATATAAGTAAACAGGAGTTGCTTGATTGTTAAGTGTTTAGGTAAGAAGGCTTTAATGAATGGACAAGTTTGAATTTTCATAAATTATATGCCACCTAGTTGCTTTGACTAATAGGTAATTAATTTGTTTCTCCTAAATCTAGCATATGCAATAATATATTCTTGTATCTAACGGATACAAATGATTCTGGCTTAGATCTGTAAATCTGTGAATATATAGGGCCAAGCGAAACTTTGATGAATGTATCTAAGCTAGATAGCCTGTTATTAATTTGTTGTTACTTTCTGCAGTTCCAATAAGAATTGCTTTACTGGAAGCGTTTTAAATGGAGGAGAACAGCTTGATTTATGGATTAGAATTACAGGCGCGCGCTCTTACGCCGCAATACGGCGAGGGCAACGATGTGTGCTTTTTTATAGCCACAAACTCTTTGAAGCCTACCAATCAGTTGCACCTTCTACAATATGACGAGGAGCAGGGCACCATACAGTCAAAAGTGAGCGTAAATTTCGCGTTAGCAGCTTATACATTTACTTATATATTTAGTCTATCCTAATAGATTTTTGAACATGCACTGGGTGAGGTTTGGAAGCTGAACAGCTGTCCGTACGATGCGCGTTTGCTGGTAACCGTGTATAACGTTCAGAAGGGGGCGCAGGTGCTGTCCCAGGCGGCACTCTTAACGTTGCCGGCTGACGGGCCAAAGGATGCCGCTGATGAGCCAATTAAAAGTGAATACATACCTTGGGCGAAAATTGATGTGTTGGACACTGCCGAATTGGGTGAACGCGTAAAGACGGTTGAATTTCATCCCAGTCAAGAACAGACTCTAGCCTGCGTCGTTGGCAATAAATTGGCTGTCATGCAACGCGCGGAGGCATCCACTCGCGTGGTGGCCGAAGTCAGTAGCAGCAGCAGCGGAGCAAAGCACATGTCACCATTTACCACTGGCAAATGGTCGCATCATCATCAGGGACATCAATTTTTGGCCTTGCACGATACTAGCGTGCGCGCATACGATGTACGCGACACTCAACACTGTGCTTGGAGCATAGAGGACGCACACGGACAGTTTGTTCGCGACTTGGACTGCAATCCAAATAAACAGTGTCATCTGGTGACCGGTGGCGACGATGGATGCCTTAAGGTATGGGACTGTCGCATGGTGAAGGCTCCAGTTTTTGAGCGCAGCGATCATTCGCATTGGGTCTGGTCTGTGCGGTTTAACACTTTTCATGATCAATTAATACTATCCAGTTCAAGTGATTGCAAGGTGCTTCTGACCTGTGCCGGCTCGGTTAGCTCAGAAGCTCCGGGTACTGAATCTGGCGAGGCGATTGCAGCCGGCTCACAGGAACGGCACAAAGTCCTGTCAGATGGCTTACTGCAAACCTTTGATCAGCATGAAGACTCTGTTTACTGTGCAGAATGGAGTAACGTTGATCCTTGGATTTTTGCATCGTTGAGCTATGATGGACGCGTTATAATCTCAAAAGTACCGAAACAATATAAGTACCAAATAATTTTCTAACCTATTCCTTATACATAATATTCCACTAGCTTTTATAAATACTGTATCATAAATACATTACTAGGCTTTAGGTTAAATAAATCTAAATATGAACTAATGATTAGCCAGTGTCCTCTGACGTACAATCGGAGGAGTCATTAGGATTTGCAGTCTCCACGGAACACACACGTTTTATGAGTTCATTTTCAATCTCGACTGTTCCATTTTCGATGGCCTCCTGCATTTGCACATACTCGATCGTGGCTCCGCTCTTCTTGGGTGTTTGCTCCACGGCCGGCTTCGGCTCTGCTGTTTCCGCAATCTGCGCAGGCTTCGCACTTTCTGTTTCATCTTCCGCCTCTTCGGCCAGGCTGCTTCGCTGAGGCTGGACTTCCGCATATATAGCGGGATATTGCTGCTGTAGTTTCTGCTTAATAATGCGCACTTTACGAAATATGTAATCCAGATCTTTTTTCATTTCACTCAGCAATTTAACGTGTCGTTTAAATTTCTCATTTGCGTTCTTTAAACGACTTTGGGACAAGGCATTGCAGTTCAGCAGCATTTCATTCGTCTTCTCAAACCGCTGTAGCCTGAAAGTTGTAAACGGTATTCATTCATTGTGACATCATTTTGATTTCCAGCATGACTGCAGTTTCTTGCATGCCCACCAACTACATTCTTTGTTGTCTACTCACATTTGTTTTTGTGCTCTTATCATGGTCTCAACATCACTCTGATTTACCATTCCGGAGAGGCCTTGAATAAATGCTTCGGCAGGTGTGCAATTGTTAAAACCATAGCCATTGAAGGACTCTAAATCTGGTGTAGTATCCGCGTTATCGTCCATTGCATCCGTAATTTTTATCTCGGACATCAAGCTGGCAAACTCGGGGATACTAACAAAACAAAACATAAACATGCATTTATTCCTGCATTGTAATATTTTGCTATGCAATCGATAACTATAACTAAAAATGTTATCGATACATCGCGACTACCATTTGAAATCACGATTAAATGTGATTTCGAATTTACTGTGACATCGGCGGTAGAATTGTTATTATACTTTAAATTATCAGAGTAAAACAGTAAAAATTACATATATATTATTTTTGCATATTATTATTTCTTTATATTGTGCAGTAAATTATTTTTAACTCCTTTATTAATTTACTGCTGCATATAAAGAGTTACCAATAAATATAAAAGAAATAGTCTTTAGCCTTCAAGCGAAGCTGTCACTTGTTAGTCTTGCCAAAATTAAAACAAAGAAAAGAATCTTATTTGTTGCAAAATGCGAATTTTTTTTAAATGCGCTAAGCCACTAAGATTAATTGTTAACAGATGCATTACAACGCCGGTTAATCTAAAAAGTTAGTGCCCTCTATTAATAACATTTTAACAAATGTTACGTGTTTTGGGTGGCCACACTTTGAGTAAATTTGCTTGTCAAACAATTAACCGACTGTTTTAATCTCATTCGCCTCAAAACCATTAACTAGCTATGAAGCCGGCACCGACTGTCAAATTGAACAATGGCTACGAAATGCCCATCTTGGGTTTGGGTACATATAATGTAAGTTCTTATTAAAGCTTCATATATATATATATACATATAAATATATATACAACAACAGGGAAATACTAAGTTTGATTAACTAAATTAAAATAATATAAATTCATTATGTTTGAATGAGGATTGGTTAAAGTTCAAGAGCTGCACTAAAATTCTTACTTGCAGTCGAAGAACAATGAGGGCGAACTAGCTATAAAGCACGCCATTGACATCGGATATCGGCATATAGACACCGCCTATTTCTACCAAAACGAGGCGGAGGTGGGCAAGGCCATTCGCGATAAGATTGCTGAGGGTGTGGTCAAGCGTGAAGATATTTTTCTAGTGACAAAAGTGAGATCTTGAATTGGAATTGGAGACATTTTCTACACATCTATCATTGGTACTCCTTTAGCTCTGGAACATACATCATGATCCCAAACACGTAGAGGCTGCGTGCCGCAAGCAGCTATGCAACTTTGGCTTGGACTATATAGATCTGTATTTGATGCACATGCCGGTGGGCTACAAGTATATCGATGAGGAAACGCTGATGCCGAAAGACGAGAACGGAGTGCTTCAGCTGAGCGACGTTGACTACTTAGACACATACAAGGCCATGGAGCAGCTAGTTAAAATTGGCCTTGTTCGCAGCATCGGGGTGTCCAACTTCAACAGCGAACAGCTGTTGCGTGTGATAAACAATTGTGAGATCAAGCCGGTCACCAATCAGGTAGAGTGCTCACCAGCGATTAACCAGAAGCAATTGGCCGCATTTTGTAAACAGCACGGAGTCACTTTAACTGCGTACACGCCACTTGGCAAACCCAAACCGGACGAACAGAAGCCAGAGTTTCTGTATGCTCCCAAAGTGAAGGCTATAGCTGAAAAATATAACAAGACGCCGCCACAAATTGTACTGCGCTATTTGGTGAGTGTAGACGTTACGTCGAAATTTAGGATTATTTCCTGGTCTAACAGTCTTGGGAAAGGGTATAGTTTATAGACTTCCAAAGTCATCTAAAGCTTCGGTAGTACAGCTTTCGGCTTTGACAATAGAACATTTGTGCCGGGCACAAGATTCGAAGCCGCATTCCTAACAGCTTGAATGTTTTGTTGCAGGTGGAGCTGGGTGTTCTACCCATTCCGAAGTCATCCAATGCCGGTCGCATAACTGAGAACTTTAACATCTTTGACTTTGAACTGACCGAGGATGAGAAATCTGTGCTGGATGGTTATAACACGGGCGAACGAATGGTGCCTTTGAATTTGATCAAGGGTCAAAATCACAAGTACTATCCATTTGCCATTGAGTTTTAAAGCAAAAGCTTAGCCAGTGCACATGTAAATAATTATTAATGTGTTAAATATAGATTGCAATTAGCATATGCTTTTCAATGGTTAAAATTTCCTTGTTTGATTTAGTTTAAGCTGTTTGAAAGCACGTTATTCATTCGTTTTGGGATCAAAATTGGTAATCAAAAAAATTTCAAATATTGTATATAGAAGTTCGCTTGTTTTTATATGAGAACATTTTCGTAATGATACCGGCACGCTGTTTGACCACATGTGACGACGATGAAGAAGACAACTCGAGGGTGGCCCTCATACTGGGCGACAAGCCAGTTTGCGGTGTTAAGGCCCTGCTGATGGCCCCAAAGATCAAGCTGAGCAGCGGCTACGAAATGCCCGTGCTGGGATTTGGAACCTATAAGGCAAGTAATGCAACTACAAATCAATCAGTTCCTTAAAGCTTGTTCCTTTTTTCATTGCAGATGAAAGGCTATCAATGCGTGACTGCAATCCACTGCGCTGTGGAGACAGGCTTTAGACACTTCGACACGGCGTTTTGCTATGGAAACGAAAAGGAGGTGGGCGAGGCGATTCGAACGCAAATACAAATGGGGAATGTATCTAGGGAGAACATATTTCTCACTACCAAGGTAAGTCGTCGTCGTCTTTCTCTGAGAATCTCTTTTAAATTCATTTATCCTTCTCCATGTACAGCTCTGGAATACGCACCATGACCCGCGAGACGTGCGCCGCATATGCGAAAAGCAGCTGGAAGCCCTCGGCTTTGATTATATCGACCTGTATCTTATGCACTTTCCAGTGGGCTATAAGCACATGTGTGATGAGATTCTTCAGCCAATGGACGGCAATAAAGTTCAAACGAGGTAGGTCGCCCGTAATGTTGGTTGGGAATTGAAACGTTTAAATTTCCAATGTGATCCAAAGCGAAATCGATTACATTGATACCTGGCATGCCATGGAGGAGCTTGTCAAGCTAGGAATGGTGCGCAGCATTGGTGTCTCAAACTTTAATATGGAGCAGGTGCAACGCATCATACAGTGTAGCTCATCAAAGCCGGTTGTGAATCAGGTGGAGATTTGGCCAGGCTTCATGCAAAAGGATCTGGTCGACTACTGCCGCTACAACGGCATCGTTGTTACGGCCTATGCGCCGCTTGGTCAGCCGGACCGTGAGATGCACTCTCCAATTTACTTCTTCTCCGAGGGAATGAGACGTCTCGTGAAGAAGTACAAGCGTACTGCGGCACAAATAGTGCTCCGCTACTTGGTAAGCGCCAAATTACAGCCTATATCCATGGAGAGTATAATTTTGAATCTCTTATTAGGTTGACTATGGTGTTGTTCCCATACCCAAAGCTGGCAATCCTCTACACATTAAGCAGAATCTAAACATATTTGATTTCCAGCTAAACGAAGCAGATACGCGCGCTTTGCGAGGCATTAAGCCTAAGGACCGGTTAGTTAAATTTGATGAAGTCAAGGACCATACTTTCTATCCGTTCGAGAGAGAGGAGGAGCGAGATCAACAGCCTGAAGAGTTTGAGCAGGAGGAAATACTCCCAAAGAGGGTAACGATACTGCCCGCAGAGCCCGCTGAGGGTGAAGAAGCTGAACCACCGGTTGAGTAGATACATGAATGGGACAAGCAACAAACTGCAATCACATGTTCATCTAAAAATTTATTGTGCAAGATAAAAGTGGTGTCAAGAAGCGGATGAATGAATCATTTTTGTAGTGTATGCATTTACATTTGTTTATGTATATACCTAAGATAATCGGGGGGTATTATCACAATAATGTGAAACAACCATCGAAACCGCCAACTATTAAGCTTTTAGTTTAACTTTAATTTTTTCTTACACATCAGTTGTTTGAATCATTTAAAACCCTTTGAAAGGTCAAACAGCAATAGAGTAGCTCGGATAGCAGACGGATATATAAAAGCAGCGCGTCCAGTACCCCGCACTATATAAATCTTGCTCACTATAAAAAATACAGGATTTGGATGATAAGCGTTCAAAACTTGCACTAGCAGGGAAGGAGTTATCATGTATAAAGGTCTTATATACCCTATGCAATATTCAAACTTAATTAAAAATTAAAAACAAGCTGAATTGACCTTCTGCAGTTTATCTTTGTTTAATAATTTGTCAGTAAAGATAGGCTGTAGATAAAGATAAGCCAACAAGACCTGAAACTTGGGTGTCAATTGCATCCTAACTTTTATATCTTCTCGTTCTTATGCTTGGCCGAAAATAATGCTTCGATAGTGCTTTATGGCCCATCTGACGAGTCAACAATCATTATGATTATAATGACGGCCCGTAAACCGAACCTGAGGGCATATATAAAGCAGCTCACTGGGAGACTTCAAATCAGTTCTTGATATACAGGCGCAAAATGATCAGATTGTGGGCAATAGTAGCTATTCTAGCCTTGGGCTGTGCTATGGCGCAAGAAGCGGATGAACCCAAGTGCGGAGCTTGTCAGAGCGGAAACGATGCCCTCTGCGTTACGGAGACTTCATATTACAATTGCTTTGGTAAGTGGAAGAGGATATTTGAATGGACATTTGCTGATTATCCGATTTTAATCAGATGGTAACAAATACGGAAATGAGATTGAATGCGATGACGGCTTCGTTTGCACCAATGCCGATTCAATATGCGTGAAGAAAACTGAACTCGAGGAACTCCCTGACTTAGTAAATGTGTGTGGCGGCGGCTCCAGCGGCTGCGGGGTTTGCTCCACTAATCAAAAGTACACCTGTGTCAGCAAGAATCAAGCCGGCCGTTGTATTAATGGCAAACTATCCGCCGTAGTTAATTGCAAAGAGGATGAGATATGTGTGGCTGACATTGGATTCACAGACGTTTCCGTCTGTGTGCCACAGTGTGCGGCGGACTATGTAAGTAGCTCTTAAGAAAGTTCTGTGCTTACGTAATTTTATAAAAATTTTTTGTAGTTGAAAAAGTCGCCCACCTGCAGTGAGGATGTTGGCTACTCCACAACAACTGCGGCGCCAGCCTCAACGATCAGTCCAGCTGACCGAGTAGCCATCTGCACGCGGGAATCAAGTGGAGTTACCACATTGTTTTTCTATGCTTATGCCGATTCGACATGCAAGTCCGCAGTGTACTGCCAGAGGAACAGTCTTACCAGCACCGATTGGGTTACCTTGACAAGAACATGCCCATCCTCCACGCCGTATTTCGATACGCGCACCAAAAATTGCGTGGCTACCAAGCCGGCTAGTTGTCCCCAATAGTCCCAATAAGAAATTTCAGTTCCATTAACATTTGCTATTCAATTCATGATGCTTTAACTCGATTTATATAACAAAAGTTCTTAGAATACGGGTCACATATTCATCAAAATATACAATATTAAATACTAATTCAAAATGTAATGTTTAAATTTGTAATGAGTTCAATATCTGATCGATTTGATGTAGTAATTAAAAGTGGGAGCATTTTTGCAAATAAAAACATTTAAAATTACGAAAGAACGGCGTAAGTTCGGCACGTGGAAGATTAAATAGCTTTGCCTGATCAGGCCAGGTCAGGTCAGGTCAGGTCTTTAAGACAATCCAGAATACAGAAATCTCGAGCTCTCCTTTAACCGCACAATATCTATGTATATTATTTATATTACAACTCAATATCTACATATGTATATTATTTTTACTGAACACATACAAAAACGATACGACCCATGATTATTAGGAAATTATGAGTTTGGTCTATTGATCTTAAAAAAAATAAAGGCAGCTATTATGTATGTTGTGATTCGATTCGGATTGAAGCGGAAAGGCGGGCCTATGATGGGTTTCACGACAATCGCTTTAAATTTGAGAAACAAGTTTACATGAAATCTGATAGATGAACATGGCTGTATCGACATGTCTGTGTGTACTGATCAAGGATATATATAGGGTCGGAGATGTTCTCTTGTATGCGTTACATATTTCATAACAAGCAATAAGTTACTCAAGGATTGCATTACTTACGATTTACTTGGCCCAAAGATGTTTCCTGTATGACTCACAATTGGCTTTCTGCTGCTTATCATTTTTTATACTGGTTCACAGAGTGAAGAGAGTATATATATCTAAAATGGAAATGTATATCTCTATAAATTGAATTCTAATTTTGCACTTAATACAGCTGCTGAGCTCTACAGATCTATCCAAATATATCGCATGCGCCCACTACAGAGGCGTGACGAATCGGAAAACTGTATATATCTTAAAAAATGTAAGATCATATTGGGCCTTGAATGGGTATAGCTCGGTTGTCTTCAACTCTTAAACTCTTTAATACTTAATATTTCGCCAGTAAAGATAAGAAAGAGATGGCTATTAATAAAGATAAGCCATTTCTGTATTCTTGGGAAAAAGACAGGGAACTTTGGTTGTATAATTTTTACAATCTGTCGTTGTTATGCTTTATGGTCCATTTGACGAGTCAACAATCATCATAATGGCAGGACCCATAAACCAAATCGTAGCAATACAAACTGAAGGCTATCATTTGAGTATATAAGCTAACTTAGTGGGATAGCTCGAAACAGTTCGTGATATGCAGCAAAATTGAAAAGTCGAAAAATGATCAGACTGTGGGCAATAGTAGCTATTCTAGCCTTGGGCTGTGCTGTGGCGCAAGGAGCGGATGAACCGAAGTGCGGAGCTTGTCAGAGCGGAAACGATGCCCTCTGCGTTACGGAGACCTCATATTACAATTGCTTTGGTAAGTGGAAGAGGATATTTGAAAGGACATTTGCTGATAATCCGATTTTAATCAGATGGTAACAAATACGGAAATGAGATTGAATGCGATGACGGCTTCGTTTGCACCAATGCCGATTCAATATGCGTGAAGAAAACTGAACTCGAGGAACTCCCTGACTTAGTAAATGTGTGTGGCGGCGGCTCCAGCGGCTGCGGGGTTTGCTCCACTAATCAAAAGTACACCTGTGTCAGCAAGAATCAAGCCGGCCGTTGTATTAATGGCAAAATATCCGCCGTAGTTAATTGCGAAGAGGATGAGATATGTGTGGCTGACACTGAATTAGCAGACCTGTCCGTCTGTGTGCCACAGTGTGCGGCGGACTTTGTGAGTTACCCTTAAAAGATTTCATTGCTTACGGTATTTTATAGGAATATTCCATAGTTGAAAAAGTCGCCCACCTGCAGTGAGGATGTTGTCTACACCACAACAACTGCGGCGCCAGCCCCAACGATCAGTCCAGCTGACCGAGTAGCCATCTGCACGCGGGAATCAAGTGGAGTTACAACATTGTTTTTCTATGCTTATGCTGATACGACATGCAAGTCCGCAGTGTACTGCCAGAGGAACAGTCTTACCAGCACCAATTGGGTTACCTTGACAAGAACATGCCCATCCTCCACGCCGTACTTCGACACTTACATAAGAAATTGTGTGGCCACCAAGCCAACTAGTTGTCCTATCCCTTCAACTGTTCCACCTGTGACTACTGCTATACCTGACACTACAACTGTCTCCACGGCCGTTCCAACTGACAGTACGGCTGTTCCAACTATCAGTACGGCTGTTCCAACTGACAGTACGGCTGTTCCAACTATCAGTACGGCTGTCCCAACCGACAGTACGGCTGTTCCAACTGACTCAACGACTGGTGAAACTGGCACAACGGCTGTTTCAACTGACAGTACGGCTGATTCAACTCAGACTACGGCTGTTCCAACTGATTCTACGACTGTTTCAACTGACACAACGGCTGGTGAAACCGGCACAACGGCTGGTGAAACCGGCACAGCGGCTGTTTCGACTGACACTACGGCTGATCCAACTCAGACTACGGCTGTTCCAACTGATTCTACGGCTGTTTCAACTGATACAACGGCTGGTGAAACCGGCACTACGGCTGTTCCAACTGACACAACGACTGGTGAAACTGGCACAACGGCTGTTTCAACTGACACTACGGCTGATCCAACTCAGACTACGGCTGTTCCAACTGATTCTACGGCTGTTTCAACTGATACAACGGCTGGTGAAACCGGCACAACGGATGTTACAAGTGACATTACGGCTGGTGAAACCGTCACAACGGCTGATCCAACTGGCGAGACCAACACTACGGCCTAGTTATTTAACTTGCAGTTGAAGCAAGTTTTAAAAATTTCTTATAGCTAAAATCATTAACATTTATTCGATTTTTGTAACAATAATAAATACTGCTCAAAATATGTTGATTAAAATTGAAGTATCTTACATATATGATCGATTTGATGTAACAATTAAAATTCTTAGTTTATTGGCAATTTCTTTAGTAATACAATTTAATGTGTCAGCAAAAAGAATGGGTTAAGTTCTGAATTCTCTCGGCCTTAAGCCCCAATAGAAAACATTTCTACATATATGCATGCATATATTTGCGTACGTCATAATTTCTAAATATGTGATTAGAATACGATATTCACGTTTTCGACCACTGTCGGCTGATTTATGGCGCGGGCAGATGCGTTGCGCCTCAGTTTAAGTTCTTACATACATAGAAAATAATCTTATTTTATTGCTAGTTGTGCGGCATGGCCACACACACACACATAAACATAGACATATGTACATACATGAGCGCTATACAATGAAAAGTTCTTATTTAATGATTCTTAATATTTCATCGAGACAAAAGCAATATGAAATGTTGTCGTTGTTGTTGTTGGTAATGCTGCAACCTGGCTGGGCGACGCGCCTTCGCTGGCAGCGATTGTCGCGGCAATTAAATATTAAATCAAATGAATTGCAGAAAACTGCAGAGCTGACACTGAATGACGACGAGCTGTAGTCTGCGGTCTGTGGCAGAGGCCGTTAAGGCGGCTGTGACTGAGTCTATTTGGCTGGCCACAACTAAATGCGCAAATGGAAATTATGGCCATTGACGACGCACGATCTGCCTGGCACACTATACGTGGGCAGCGGAGAGTGTACAAACTGCAAATAGAAACAACCACATTATTGAATGTACATATAGGATTATTTAGAGAAGCAAAATGATGGATTGCTGATGCCTGCTGGTACAGACCTTTGGCACTTTTTGCGTTGTGGCCATGTAGCCGACACAGAACGATTGCGTTGTATGACTCCACATCACCTCGCCGCAGCTCTGTTTCGGATAGTAGAGCAATGTCAGTGCACCGGCATAGAGATCCTGCTGTTGTGGCAGTAGCGGAGAGTCCAGGAACTTCTGCTTAAATGTTTTGTGCAGACTGGTTACAGCACAATCACTGCCAAAGGCGCCATTGCATATCTCTCGGGCGAGCAGCGTTTTCATCAGATACTCACCATTGCCCGTCGTGCACGTAGCAATGGCCAGTTCATCGGTATCCGTGGCCCAACAGCCGGCGCCGTAGGTCGCTGCCTGGCCCACGCGACCTGGTACTTTGAGTAGAATGCCACCGGAACTGCAGCCGGCTGCAGTATTGCCGGAGCCATCAACGCACACAGCGCCGACGGTGTCCAGTGCGGCCGTTAACTCCACCTCGTTGCCTGGCTCGGGCACTGGCTCTTCGACGGCCTTGCTGTTGCCGACAACTATATCGTATTTGCTCTTATAATGATTATAATGGAATTTCGCTTTCGATGAGATCAGCACGTTGGGATCGACCATTGCACAGCCCATTTGTTCAGCAAACTGCTCTGCCCCACTGGCTGCCAGAACCATCGGTGGTATGCGTTCCAGTGGCTGTTGATCCGACTGTCCGTCACAAATGCGACGTGCTAGCTGAATGGGATTCTTGACGCGGCTTACATTGGTGCATGCCCCAAAATTGAGCGTGGTGCCGCTCATAATGGCTGCATCGCACTGCACCGAGCCGTCCAAGCACAGATTGGAACCAAAGCCGGCGTTTGTATGGCCACAGTTCTCCAATCGCATTATAGCTGCCTCGCAGGCATCGATGGCGCTGCCGCCGTTTTTTAGGATTTCTGTAGCCCGTATGCATGCCTCTTTGATGACGCGCTGATATTTCGTTTCGTCGATGCAATTTCCAGCTCCTGAGAGAAATATGCGTGTTAAACTCATAAATAAAGTCGCATCATCAATCAAAACGAACCTGTATGCACCGCTACGAAACCAGCCATGTTGTTGTTGTGTTGTTGCTGCTAACGCCAAATGCACTTGCGTTTTGCGGCCTTTGTTTACGACGGACGAATGCTATTTTAGTATTTGTTTGTTTAAACAATTTTGGAAGCTGAGACTGCAACGACCGTTTGCCAAATGCGCTAAAATACTGATTCAATCATAAACGTACTAAAATACTGAGGAATGTGCTTTACAATACTGGTCTAAAAGAACATTAGGGGTATCCAAAACTTGTTATATTTCGTTGATTAAATAGACGAAAAACTGTTGATTGCAAGATTTTTTATGTATGAATATGCATTGGTGTACGCATGTATTTATATTATCTTACTTTGAGTGCAGCTCAAGTTTAAATCACAATTTTAGTAACTCCTCCTGTTATGCGTTAACTTATACAAAACGTATTTGCAAATGTTGCCCTCCTCCGCGATTCTCATGAATTTAAGTAGGACTTGCAGGTCTTCATGCCCTGCTAGGAAGTGAAGTGATAATACAGTGTGCGTGTGTGTGTGTATTTTCATAAGTATTTATTATTGCTTATATGTTTGTATGTATGTACTAACCTATGTGTAGAGGTATGCATGTGTGTATTTATTTGTGTGCATAGCAGTAAGTGCGTATGTTCTTGACGTATGTATGTACTTATCGCTACATTTGCATCTATTCAAATAGTCTTAATTCTTAAATTAAATAACGTTAGAAAATTAAGATTAATATAACAACTCGTTCGGTTGCGCAGATATCGTTTGTTACGATTTTTTGGTATTTTTAGTTGAATAAAGTGTGGTATTTTAAGTGTTTCCCTTTCCTGGTCACATTCATATGTGACCGTGATTTTTGCAATAAAACTAAGTATTTGCAAATAAAAAGAGTAAGCTTTATTAATTTAAAAATGTAATTAACCTCTGTAGTATGAAATAGTACTTGAGATATGTACCCATGTCTCTAACCAAATTAAAGATCAATTATACATAGCAAGTGCAAGTGAAATGTGAAGAAAGTGATTGTTTGTCCAATCCGAACAACTGTTTGTGTGTTTGTGTTTATTGTGTGTGACGTCTGGCTGCACTTGTTATACACTAATACCAATTAAAATATGTAAAAGAAAGGAAAAACAACTGCAATATTGCAACGCAAAAAGTCAACAGATTTTTCAGCAAGTTATCCCACATTACTCTACTGCGCGAGTCTTTAAAACACGCATTTAATAAGTACCTACGCATTAATAAAAATGGACACACTCCCATTAAAAGGTAGCAGAGAGGCTGCAGCGGAAGGCAACAACTACATAACCGCATATCAAACAGTCATGAAAAAGGTACGTAATACTAGAGTATCAGCCTCTATGATATTTGATACAGGCTCGAGCGAACTGTATACGAAATATGTGCTCATACATAAATTATTTGGCACATTTGAGGGGCGGAAATGGCTTTGTAAAAGTGTCTACGTGGGTGTCTGAGCTAAACAGCTGAGCAGCCGCCGTTACGCTTTGCCCTGCCCTTTGCCCATGCACGAAGCCGAAAATGCCACTTAATCTTATCAGTATCAGTGCGTAAACAAAGATCTATTATGTTGCCCAAGCTCTGTTCATGGCTGGAATAATGTTCATGCAAAACGCGAGCCCAGCACAATTTATCGATATAGCCGAATAGCCCGATTTATTGCTGTACTCTACGATTTCACAGTCAAATGGCCATAGCACAGGAAGCGGAGAGGGCGATCATCCGCTGGCGCCACATTCCAAACTGTCCTATGCGGCAGCAACCACATCACTGACTGCAGCCACAGACGATGAGGATATGATCGACATCACGCCACGCTCCAGTCCAGGCGAACTGATCGTTGGGGCTGGCGGCTATCGTCGCGAGACTGCCACCGAATCGGATACGGAACGCGACTTTGCGCCAAGTCAGCGAACAATACACCATCATCAGCATCAACATGTGCCAACTCACAGCGCCTTCGGAGATCCCATGGACGGTGAGTGGCCAAGCGGAGCTATTTCAACATAACATATCTATACGAGTGTGTGTCTTGATTTGTTAATCTTACTCACGAGCTCGTGGCCGGCGACGTCACATCAATTGTGACTGTGTAGCTGTACTTACGTTTATAGCTTTTATTAAACATATGCGTGTCTGTATGTGTATGCGGGCTACTACTCGCTTTCATTTAATTCATGTACATTTAAATAGTAGTCAGACATGTGCACAATTCCCAGTATAATACAAATAACATTCAATTGCGAGCCGTGGGTTTGCGCCAAGTCAATAAGCAATACTTTTCATGACACAGCTTTTCGATGAAGTCTTCAATTTTTTGAATCGAAAAATCAATTTTAAATTGTAAAAATTTGATTTTTATTCTGTATTCACATTCACCTGTGGCATAAAATACTAATTGTTAATAGTTTACAGCCGCTGATCGAGATCCGAAAATGTTTTAACGGTCATATAGTCGTCAAATTCAAAATGTACCCAATTAATAAATGACAGTATTATTTATTTTGCGCCCATGTACACCGCTTTAGGAGCACTATCGTTCTATGGCTCCTCGGACGTACAGGATGACATACCTGGCATTGGGCAGTACGAAGATTTCCACACCATCGACTGGCAACGTGATATCGCTCGCGATCGTATGCGGCATCGTTACATAGTCAAAAAGCGGCAGGATTCGTTTTGGGATTTGATCAAGGTAAGTCACATGCAAATAGCTATTTGCAATCTAAAATAATGCTTTGTTTTTATTCACAGGGAGCCATAGATGCTGGCTCCGGTTGGCTATGCGTTCTGCTTGTGGGCATAGCAGCGGGCTGTGTGGCGGGCATGGTTGATATAGGTGCCAGCTGGATGTCTGATCTGAAGCATGGCATATGTCCGACCGCGTTTTGGTTTAATCGCGAGCAATGCTGCTATCCAGCTAAGCAATCTGTCTTTGAGGAGGGTAACTGCTCCACGGTGAGTTTTCATTTAAAATTTCATAATAATATCACATAATAACTTTCATTTTAGTGGAAAACATGGCCCGAGATCCTTGGGCTCAGTCGCACAGGCACGGGACCGTACATCATCTCGTATATTTGGTACATTTTATGGGCATTGCTGTTTGCTTCACTGAGCGCGTCGCTGGTACGCATGTTTGCCCCGTACGCCTGCGGATCTGGCATACCGGAGATCAAGACTATATTGTCAGGCTTTATTATACGTGGCTATTTGGGCAAATGGACACTGCTGATTAAATCGGTGGGCTTGATGCTCTCTGTGTCGGCAGGTTTGACGCTGGGCAAGGAGGGACCCATGGTGCATATTGCCAGCTGCATTGGCAATATATTTTCGCATCTGTTTCCCAAATATGGACGAAACGAGGCCAAAAAGCGTGAAATTCTATCTGCAGCATCTGCCGCTGGCGTCTCGGTGGCTTTTGGCGCGCCCATTGGCGGAGTGCTTTTCTCTTTAGAGGAAGTGTCCTATTATTTCCCACTGAAGACCCTGTGGCGTTCGTTCTTCTGTGCGCTCATTGCAGCTTTTGTCTTACGCTCACTGACACCATTTGGCAATGAGCATTCCGTGCTATTCTTTGTGGAATACAACAAGCCTTGGATATTCTTTGAGCTGATTCCGTTTGTCTTTCTGGGCATCATGGGCGTAAGTAGCACACTAGAGTATTATCTGTATATTCCTATATCTAACTTGTGTTATCTTTTTAGGGTGTCATTGGAACGTTCTTTATAAAGGCAAATTTGTGGTGGTGCCGCTACAGAAAGTTCAGCAAGTTGGGTCAATATCCTGTTAGTGAAGTTCTGTTTGTCACATTGGTCACTGGCGTAATCTGCTATCCGAATCCCTTCACGCGCATGAACATGAACGAACTGATATTTTTATTGGTTAGCAAGTGCTCGTCTGGGGATCTCACCAATCCCTTGTGGTGCGTATAATAGTTATTCAGATTATCCTAAGTTAACTCATCGTGCTAATTATACTATAGTGACTACAAGCGAATGAACATCAGCACAGGAACCAGCTTTATTGAGGTGACTGAACCAGGTCCCGGCGTCTATCGTTCCATTTGGCTGCTCGTGCTGACATTTATACTTAAACTGGCCCTGACAATTTTTACATTTGGCATTAAGGTGCCATCGGGTCTGTTTATACCATCCCTGTTGTTGGGCGCTATTATGGGACGCATTGTTGGCATCGGCGTGGAGCAGTTTGCGTATAGTTATCCCAACATTTGGTTCTTTACCGGAGAGTGTGCCGACAGCAATCTGATTACACCCGGCTTGTATGCAGTTGTTGGTGCCGCTGCTGTACTCGGTGGCGTAACGCGCATGACTGTCTCCCTGGTGGTCATCATGTTCGAGCTGACTGGTGGCGTGCGTTATATTGTACCACTGATGGCGGCTGCCATGGCCTCCAAGTGGGTGGGCGATGCTCTAGGCCGGCAGGGAATATATGATGCGCATATTGCGTTAAATGGCTACCCATTTCTCGACAGCAAAGAGGAGTTTGCGCATACAACGCTCGCGGCAGATGTCATGCAACCCAAACGCAATGAAACATTAAATGTCATCACACAGGATTCCATGACGGTAGACGATGTTGAAAATCTACTTAAGGAGACAGAGCACAACGGCTATCCAGTTGTGGTGTCTAGAGAAAATCAATATCTAGTTGGCTTTGTGCTGCGCAGGGATCTTAATTTGGCTATTGGTGAGTACATGGCTATTCCATACAAACCGTTATACTTAATGCTACTTTTACGGGCAGGTAACGCAAAGCGTCTAATCGAGGGCATTAACAGTAATTCAATAGTATTATTTACGTCCACGACACCCACGCAAAATCTGGGCCCGTCTCCACTTAAACTAAAGAAGATACTCGACATGGCGCCTATCACGGTGACAGATCAAACGCCCATGGAAACTGTCGTCGACATGTTCCGCAAATTGGGTCTGCGTCAAACGCTTGTCACACATAATGGGTAATATAATAATAGTATGTGTGCAAATATTTTCTCTAAACATATTAACTGTTTGCAGTCGCTTGTTGGGCGTTATAACGAAAAAGGATGTTCTCCGCCATGTTAAACAAATGGATAATGAAGATCCCAATACTGTGCTCTTCAATTAAGTTGAATTTATTAGCCAATCAGCAGCTAGGCAGATGCTTAGTTATTATTATTATTATTATTATTACCTGTACTACGCAAAACCAACAAAATTTTATATGATTAAGCCGAAAGTTGAGCACGAGAATAGTGATTAGTAAATTTACGATCGGAGCGTCGAGCGTGAGAGATTTAGCAGAATTGTGTGCAGTACTAATACATATACATATATATGTATAGTATATATTAATAGGCATATAATATTACACATACATGTTTGTCTCGTTAATGTTAATTGTATAATTTATTGAAAACAAGTGCAAATGTTTGCAACATATTCATTAATTTCCGCTTTGTAATTATGTCATTGTAAACGTATTCAAAATAATATTTTCTATTTTCTACATATATTTTAATTATAAATGCCCATGTTATTTTTATATACCTATGTACATCACGCGCATGTTGAATGAGTGTTTGGACTAAGAAAAGTTTTTTATGTAAAAGTATGTAAGGAAATCGAGCAATTTTTAAGCTGGCGGCACAGGCAATGGAATGAATAGAATGTTTTTACTTGAAAGAAAATTAAGATGAAACTTCTTTATGTTTTGCATTTTATTTAAAATTCATATTTACATATATATTATATAAATACATATATCAAAATATTGTGTTTTGTTAGAGATCTGTGAAATTTTAATCTAAACTCGTGTAAATAGCAGCATTAAAAGATGATGAAACCATGAATAAACGTAAGCGCAGCTATGTATAAAAACAAACTATATTTAATCAAAGCTAAAGTTATTTGTATTTGTAAATATGTACAGTCCAGATTATCTGTAATTCAGCATATTGTATTAGTCGATCACGCAGCACATGATATTTTTCTAATGCTGTGTAGGCCTTGCGTTTAACTTTAACTTCACTTAGAGCAAGAAAATATGGAAGGTGTCATTTAAAATTCATTTTAAAATTTGGAAATTAGCAATATGTTGACTGCTTTGGGGAGATTGGCAACGGGTAAGAGCAGGATATACGCGCATATGTAATGTCAAGGCGACTAATTTGATTTTTTAAAGCATGTCCTAAAATTGGCTTCAAGGGGATAACTCAAGGAGGACGTCACCCATATGGTCAACCGTCAATGGTTAAAAGCCCCCTGGAGCAACAAGGTCTCCTACACACTGGATCGGTATTCTACAAGGAAAAATCTAAGGGCGAAGGCAAACCTGAAAATGCGGCCAAGACCCCATTTAAGTGCGATGACTTAAGTAAGTTGTGTCCAGATCCTTGTGTCGATGATGAAGTAATGGATGCAATTGCTGAACACGTCGGCGGTAAATGCGAGAGGGATCCCTGCTCCAGGGTCAGAGAGCCTTGTGAGTCATATGTCAAGGCACATATAGGTGGGACGAAAAAACCTAACAAGAAAACGTGCTCCAATAAACCGACTGACTCCAATAAAACAGAGACTAAACCCATTCCAGCACCAACTGCCTCGGGGAATAAGCCAGAGACTAAACCCATCCCAAAACCAAATGCCTCGAAGGATAAGGACCCTACCTCCAGTAAATTACAAACTGACGCAAATAAGAAACCGACTACCTGTAACAAAGAAAAGGCTGCCTCTAGTAAAAAACCGGATGCCACCCAAAAGATTGCCCCCAGTAAGAAACCGATTGCCTCTACTAAAAAACCGTCTTCCTCCAGTAAAGTACCGATTGACTCAAATAAAAAGGCTAGCTGCAAGAAAAAACCGACTGTCGCCAGACAAATAAAGGATACCTCCAATGGCAAACCGACTACCAATGCCAAGACCCCCGCCAAAAAGAAGTAAAATGTAAAGCATCAAAACGAATAATCAAATAATACAGCCAACAGACAACCAAGCAATTTGAAAAAATTTTCATTATTCCAATGCCAAGAACCCCATCAGAAAGTTAAGCACCAAAATTAATAATTAATTAATATAAAGACATCCTTCCAATCAATTTGTATATGAGTATTATTCACTAAAATTGTTTTCGATATAGAATATCTGAAATTCATTGCCATAAAGACCCGTGATTAACCAGCAGCCATTGTCGCTGATGCGAATGAATTGGCCACGACCGCGCAGTACGCCCTTGACGTGGCCACGAGCTCCATCGCTGATCCTGTAATACTCCAAGGCACCGTCGCTGCTGGGACAGTAGATGATGTTGGCATCACGGCTGCAGGCGATTGCGTTCTTAAAGGGCAGCGGAATTTGCACAATTAATTGGGCGGTGCCCTATTAGGCAATAATATAATATAATAATTCCGCAGTTTCTTATATCTATACCTCCTCCTCGTGTCGCATATCGTGATAGTAGGTCTGTCCGCTCAGATCGCAGCTGACCACAATTTGGTGGTTATTCATTTCGGTTTTCTGCAGGGTAGACACCATGAACCGATGCCTGCGCAGGGCAAGCAGCTGCAGCTGCTTGTTGGATCTATCGGCAGCTGGCTGGCGGCTTGTGCTCCAGCAGCGATAGACGCCGCCATTGTTGCTGCCCAAAACGAAATCGTCCAGGCCCAGCGACACCATAGTTGTTAATTCCGTGGCCACTGAGGCTGGCAACGAATATCTAAAGAGCACATTTAGTCAGGTAAACTTTTCTATGTCTTTTTACTTACTCCCAATCCAAGGTCATTTGCTTGGCCACCAGCCACTGCTGCACCGTGCCATTGGCATAGCAGGCGAGCAGACGCTGCTCCGTAACCCAATCCAGTGCCACGGCAGCACCATGTGTGGAGGAGACGCTGTGCAGCTGTTTTACTTCCACGCTCGAGTCACCGCCAGCACGTGACTGCTCGTATAGCCAGACAAAGAGCTCGCCATCCATGGTGGCGCCGGCAAACATTTGCTTGTTGAATCCATTGGTGCACAGGCTGCGCAGGCAGGATTCGAGGGGCAGAGCTTTGGCCTCCGAGTATACCACAAAATTGCCATGGGACATACGCTGCGGCACGAAGAGCTTCAGCTGCTGCTCCACATGCTCACACCAGTCGTCGTGGGGTGCCACCGTCGTAGCCACCAGCACGGGCGCATTGTTTGTGTGCACGCACAGCCAAGTGGCCAATCCCTGCGAGTTCTCCATGCTGCCCATGGTCAGCTTCTGGTAGGTGTGCACCTGCAACTGCTCCTGCAGCGTGCACTGACTCGACTGCTGATCCTCCATGAGTGGCGTGGGCTGGCTTAATTCCTGCTCCACCAGTGGACATATCTGCCGCAGCCATTTGGCCAGGGCACGCTCATCGTAGTCAACGTTCTTACTGCTGCAGCACTGCTCTGTTTGTGTGGCCACATGCTGCTTCTCCTGCGTCTCGGTGCCAGCGTCCAAGCTAGGCGGCGGCGGATCCGTACCCGTACAGTTGTCCACCAAAGCATTTTGCTTCTCTATCGGCTGGGTAGCCGAAAATTCGATCACCGGAGAACTATAATGGGAAAGCACGTCCATGCTGCAAATGATTTAATATTGAACGGACACAACAGGAGTAATTCGTTGGCATAGCAACAGTCAACAACTGGGAAAGGAACCACCCCTGAAGGACTTAAGCGGCAAATATACAATACGAAAACAACATATATATTAACATATATTAATATTGTCTTTGGTCGATCGCTCAGTTTACAAAACTAATTTCTGCCTCAGTTCGTTAGCCGAGTTTGCCGCTTCTTGAAATCCACATTTTGTTTTGATATATTTTCTAAATTTTAATAAATCAATTTCATTTTATATTCCTAATAGCCCGATCTACTGAAAATATCACAAGTCCTAGATATTTTCAAATAGAAGTTGCGGGCTAGATTTAAATTTATTTTTAAATTCTCTTCAAAAGTTTCATTCTAAGCTGAGCTCGTTAAAAGTTATCGATAGATATATTTATCGTACTTACAATACTTAATTCGATTTAGTTACATCTTATCGATATAAAATTAAAATGTTTCGATAAGTGTTCTTACTGTATTTTCAACACTAAATTCGCTTTAACGGGAAACGGAATAGAAGGCCTTGACTGAGCAGAAGATTGAAAAATTCTCATAAAAAATAAACTTTCATTTGCAAACGTGGTTGACTCAAGTGCAATTAATAACTAAATGCGAAATTAAAAAAATACATTGAAAATATATTAAAAACTAATAATAAGACCCGTTCTTTTTTCAAGTATAAAGGCAAAATATTTTCAATATGTTGATTTGGGCAAGATTGGCTACGGGTAAGCGTAGGAATTTGGCACTTGTGACCTGTAAAGTTTACTGAGCTGGGTTAATTATTTAAAGCCTGTGCCAGAATTGGATTTAAGACAAGTCAGCCAGGAGGGTTAAGCCCGCAAGGGCAGGCGGCAAACGTGAAACTCTCATTACAGACGCGCACACTTCATACTGGGCGCATGCTCTCCGCGGATGAAGACGACAAATGTAAGACCGATGAGTCCTTCTTTAAGCCCTTGTGCCCCGAGGATGACAAGAAGGAAGTAGTTGCTGAAAAAGTAAGCGGTAAGTGCCAAAAATATCTATGATGGGCGTCCCCTAAGTTATTTGTCAATGAACATTTAGACGGTGGAGGAAAAGATGATACTTGTGAAGATGAGGCTGGTAAAGGCAAGCCGGGCGGCGAAGGGTCTGGAGCAGCTGCGGGACAGTTGCTTGGCAAACGCCGCGAGGGCATTATCCATGCCGTTATTGGACCCGTCATTGATGTTTATTTTCCGGAGGAGGTGCCCGAAGTGCTGAATGCCATGGAGGTACAAGATGCGCCAATCGGTCGTCTGGTATTAGAGGTAATCGGTTCATTCAATACATTCGTTATTTTTTACTCAAAAAGCAATTTAGGTCTTACATCATTTGGGCAATAATGTGGTCCGCTGCGTCGCTATGGATTCTACAGATGGTCTAAGGCGTGGCCAGAAAGTTTTAGATACCGGATATCCCATTCGAGTGCCCGTGGGAAAAGTGGTATTGGGTCGCATTCTGAACGTGGTGGGTGATCCGATAGACGAGCGCGGCGAGATTAAGAGCGAGTTTTACTCTTTCATTCATAATGAAGCTCCGGATTTGATTGATTTAAATGTTAAGCCGGAGATATTGGAGACAGGCATCAAAGTAATCGATCTCCTGGCACCCTACGTAAAGGGCGGAAAAATTGGTCTCTTCGGTGGTGCTGGCGTGGGCAAAACGGTGCTAATTATGGAACTAATCAGTAATATTGCCAAATCGCACGGCGGCTATTCGGTGTTCGTTGGCGCCGGGGAGCGTACACGGGAGGGTAACGATCTGTATCACGAAATGATCGAGACCAAGGTGATTTCTCTTGAGGACGACAGTTCGAAAGTGGCGCTCGTCTATGGCCAGATGAACGAGCCGCCGGGAGCGCGCAGTCGTGTGGTTTTGACTGGTTTGACCATTGCCGAATACTTTCGGGACATCGATGGACAGGACGTATTGCTTTTCATAGACAACATCTTTCGGTTCACCCAGGCCGGCTCAGAGGTGTCTGCGCTATTGGGTCGAATACCCTCCGCCGTTGGGTACCAGCCCACGCTGGCCACCGACATGGGCATGATGCAAGAGCGTATTACCAGCACCAAAAATGGTTCGATTACATCCGTTCAGGCGGTCTATGTGCCTGCCGATGATTTGAGTGATCCGGCGCCGGCCGCCACGTTCTCCCACTTGGATGCAACTACTGTGTTATCGCGTCCGATTGCCGAACTGGGCATTTATCCGGCAGTGGATCCGCTTGATTCTACGTCTCGAGTTCTCGATCCCGACATTGTGGGTGATGAACACTATAATGTCGCCCGAGCCGTGCAGAAGACATTGCAGGGCTACAAGTCCCTGCAAGATATCATCGCTATTCTGGGCATGGACGAACTCTCTGAGGAGGACAAACTAACTGTGGCACGGGCTCGTAAAATGCAACGCTTTCTCTCTCAGCCGTTCCATGTGGCCGAGGTATTTACTGGTCATCCGGGCAAGTCGGTGCCTGTAGAGAAATCAGTGGATGGTTTTAAGCGTTTGCTAAACGGGGAATATGATGACATACCGGAAATTGCATTCTATATGGTCGGCGACATAGACGAGGTGCTGGCCAAGGCAAATCAATTGGCAGCTAGCATGGCTCCCGATGGACCTGCCAAGCCACCAGCCAAAGATGACAAAGGAAAGAAGGATGGGGAAAAGGGTAAGGCGGACGACAAGGAACCCAAAGCAGAAGCTAAAGCGGACGCTAAAGCAGAAGCTAAGGATTCCAAGGAAAAGAAGCCCGAGAAGGGCAAAGATGACAAGGACAAGCCCAAAAATGAGCAACCAAAATCAGAAGCTAAGAACAAGAAAGATGAATCAAAAGACAAGAAGGATGCATCAAAAGACAAGAAGGATGCATCTAAAGACAAGAAGGATACACCAAAAGACAAGAAGGATGAACCAAAAGACAAGAAATAATAAATTTTGTATTATGTTTGTACAATATAATTGAAATATCCATTTCCTATAACAAGTTTACCGAAGAGTTATTTGTATAATGTTAAAAAACATGCGACAAGTAAAAGATTTTGTCTAATCCTTTTTAAATATAAAAAAAACCAAGTTATAATATAATTAATAATATTGACTAATTACACATACAAAATTATGTGTTTATTTATTACAATTTTAAATTTAATGTTGCGCGCAATTTATTTCGCTCCGAGCTATTCGAACTGTTCGGACTGAGCTGTTCGAACAGCTGATTTGTTTTCGGACTGAGCTGTTCGAACAGCTGATTTTGTTCGGACTGAGCTGTTCGAACAGCTGATTTCGTTTCGGGCCGGCTAAATTGTTGTGGTTACGTGCAAAATGTTGCGTGCCTTTCATTTTCGCCTTGGCACACGCCTATATTCTGTGAAACCAGCCAAGAAAGATGCAAATAAATATACAGACACAATAAACCTGCCCAGAACGCGATTTCCGACTCGCTTGAGTGCGGCCAAACGTGAGGAACAGGAACGACAAATTCTCGACGTGAGTTTTTATATCAAGAAGTCTTCACAGATTGTTCAAATGTACCAAATGCTCCTTTGCAGCATAAGATTGCGCCCGCCTACAAGTACCAGGAACAGCACAAGCGTAAGCCAACCTTTGTGCTGCACGATGGGCCGCCCTATGCCAATGGGCAGCTGCACATGGGCCACGCCGTCAACAAGATACTCAAGGATATTACGTTGCGTCAACGTGTGGTACACGGACAGCAGGTTAACTACATACCCGGCTGGGATTGCCACGGATTGCCCATTGAGCTAAAGGCAACCAGCTCAACGGCCGGCGACCAGAATGCGTTGGACACACGGCGGAAATGTGAGTGAATGTGTTAACAGGTTGCAAACTTGTGTAACTTCTTGTCATTGCAGCGCGCGCCTTTGCCTTGGAGGCCATCGATTCGCAGAAGGCGGAATTTCGTAGCTGGGGCATACTGGCCAACTGGCAGCCAGAAGACATCTATTTGACCTTCAGACCCGAGTTTATTGCCAACCAGCTGCACATGTTTTATAATCTCTACGAGCGCGGTCTTGTCTATCGAGATCTGAAGCCCGTCTACTGGTCACCCTCCTCCAAGTAAGCTACACTGCCACCACTCTAAAAGAATTGGTTCCCAAGTGCTCTGTTATTTTTTAAAGAACTGCGCTGGCCGAAGCGGAACTGGAGTATGATGCAAATTTCAAAAGCCCCTCGGTTTACTTGCGCTGCGCGTTGAACGGCTTGTCGGCGATTGAAGCGGCGCAGGGCAAACAAATCTATGCGCTGGTCTGGACCACAACGCCTTGGACCCTGCCCAGTAATCAGGCAATCTGCTATAATAGCGCGTTGGATTATGTGCTGGTCAGGCTGTTGGACCGCGGACCAAATGAGCTTTACTTAATGGCGACAGCACTCATTGCAGATTTTGAGGCCAGCACGCAGCTTCAGTGTGAGATTGTGGAGCGTTTGGCTGGCAGCGCCTTAAGTGATTGCAGCTATCAACATCCCATTGACAAGACCCAACCAAATCTGCCATTTTTTGACGCAACTCATGTGCAAGACAGCAAGGGAACGGGCCTGGTGCACACGGCACCTGCGCACGGGCCCGATGACTTTCTGATTAGCCTAGCCAAGAAATTGCCTGTCAAGTGTTACGTCAACGAGTCGGGCGTTTATACAGAAGAGGCGCCTGCATTTCTGCGCGGTCAGTCGGTGCTGGCGCAGGGCAATCCCCTGGTTTTGCAACACATAGCCGAGGACGTTGTGCATGCCTCGCAGTTTGAGCATTCCTATCCGATTGACTGGCGTACCAAGCAACCGGTTATAATTCGGGCCAGTGAGCAGTGGTTTATAAATACAGATAAACTAAAGGCGCCTGCAGCTGCTGCTTTGGAACAGGTGGATATCTATCCGCGCGCTAATGCCGAGTCTAGTAAAAAGGCGCTGTTGACGCAGCTGCACAAGCGGCCCTATTGGTGCATATCCAGACAGCGTGCTTGGGGCGTGCCCATACCCGTGTTGTACAGACGAGACAACAATCAGGTGGTGCTAAATGCTGCTTTAATTGAGCATCTGTGTGGCTTGTTGCGCACCGAGGGCTCCATGGACTTTTGGTGGTCCAAGCCGCTAGAGGAGCTGCTGCCGGCTGATCTCTTAAAGAAACTGGGCTGTGAGGCAAATCAGCTGATCAAGGGCAACGATATATTTGACATATGGTTCGATTCAGGCAGTACTTGGTCCGCGGTGCTAAAGGAGCAATCACAACAAGTGGCTGATCTTTATCTGGAAGGCTACGATCAGTTCACTGGCTGGTTTCAGTCCTCGCTCTTGATGAGCATAGCGGCACGCAACTGTGCGCCCTATAGGTGAGTATTTTTTAATTAAAAACTATCTTAAATGTGCAACTAACTCTTTTTCTTTTGTAGGGCTCTCTTTGTGCATGGCTTTACGGTGGACGAAAAGGGCCACAAAATGTCCAAGTCACTGGGCAATGTCATCTCGCCCAAGCAGATAACCAAGAAATATGGCACAGATGTGCTGCGTTGGTGGGTGGCCTTCCACGGCACCCAGCACATGTCCATCACGGTCAGCGATAAACTGCTGCAGCAATCGGCCGAGAATCTTAGCAAAGTGCGCGGTACACTGCGCTACCTGAACGGAGTCGTCAATCAGAAGGAGCACAAGCTGTCCGATCCCACGCTGAATGATAGCTATTTGAACAAGTATCTGTTACACAACTTGTTGGGCTTTGAGCAGGAGGTAAGTCAACAATGCAACAAACAGAAGAGCGATTATTAATTTATTCATTTTAATGCCACAGATCCAGAAGCTTTATAATGGCTATGAGTATAATCGAGTTGTGGCCAGCATTCAGAATTTTATTGCCAACCAGGTGTCAGGCATTTATGTGCATTTGATCAAGGATCGACTATACTGTGGCAACAACCAGGAGCTGCAAGCCATTCGCTACACACTGAGCCACTGCTATAGGCAGCTTTGCAAGGCACTGTGGCCCATAACGCCGTATCTAATCGAGGAAAGCTGGAGCTACTTCGATCCAACTGGCAGCGCCTTTTACGAGGAATCAGTGCAAGCTGATAAGGATTGGGAAAATGTGCAGGCCAACCAGATAGTAAATGCAGCATTAGATATTAAGCGCCTTGTGAACCAACAGGCCGGCGATGTCAACAGCTGGCATCTCGCAGTGAACATCAAATGTGGTTCACCGCAACAATTGGAAATGCTCTCTGCATTACATGGCCAGTTGAATGTGCCCATTGCGAACTCGGAGCTCTGCGAGATTCTGCAAGTAGGCAGTGCCACGTTGCAGACTCCGTTGGACGCTGCAACGGATGCAGCTGTGGTTACGCTGCAGACGCTCACCGCGCCGCTTTGTCCACGCTGTCGGCGCTATAGCGTCGTCGAGCCCGAGCAGGAGATCTGCAAGCGGTGTTCGGGCATTCTGTCTAATAAGAAATAGTTCTATATTATTGTTTTTATAGGTCGGTTGCGTAAAAGGTAATACATTTTATATTTAAAGATTTCTAGAAACTCTGTAAGCACTTTAGCAGCGTGTCGCGTACTTTGAGACGCGTCGTTGGCTTGCCGCCACATATAATGTGAGTTTCATTGTCCTCGAACTTGATCGTGGTGTCTTCATTGATCAGCTGCAGCGTGAGATTGCCGCCGCTGCGATCCATTTTGATGTTTGAGAAACCATCCTGAGCCAAACGCTTCATCAGTGCGTCCACATCGATGCTGCCATACTCATATTTGACATTCTTAAGCACATCCTCTTTGGAGGGCGCAGCGCTCAGGCCACCGCTGCTTGTAGTGGGCTCATCTTTGATGCTGTCTGCACACGGCTGGATGCAGTGCACCTTGTCTTTCACCTGCAGCACACCCGTGAGTGTGGATAGCGAGACACCAGCCACAACCTCACGTGCCAATATCTTCTGTGCGAGTTCTGAGGCAATGTAAATGCGATCCAGCTTGCGTTTTAGTGGCAACCTGATGATCTCTCCGCATTTGAAGGTAATGATTTTCTTGTCCGGCTGTTCAATAAACAGATTGGCCGCCGCGGGATGTGGCTTTGTGTATGCTTCCGGTATAACCAGCACATTGGGCTTTAGCTCCTTGATCAGCTTGTTGGCCTGCTGGTAGTTCAGTGAGGTGTCGATGGGACAGTAAAAGGCTTTCATAGCCAGCGGCTGGAATGGCGCCAATACTTGCAGGTATGGAAAATCAGGTTCCGTAAATATAATCGAGTTGTTTGGATTATTACCCCACATTTCAATGAAATGCACAGCATCACCGAAACGCAGGCTAGGATGACCGCAAAACACAACACAGGGCTGACCCCAGAAAAACGGGAAAAGATACGTTAAGCAGTCAAATTTGGATTTACGGTAATCTCACCTGTCTGAAGTCCTTGCTGAAGCCCTCAGAGAAGACATGGTTATAGTGCTTCAGCTTGGAATTGCGCAGGTAGAAGGCGTGCGGAAAGGGGTCATCGGGCAGATACACTTTGTTCTGCTTGGCCGAGCTCAGCCATTCGGCCAAAATGTTGGAGTATGCCAGCGAACTGTCCGCCACTGGCGATATGAAGAACATGGGCACATTGTTGAGACCGGCATTCTCTAGATTCTGCGTAAGGCACTCAAACAAGTCGTAGACCACGCCCGATGGGTAACATGGTATCAGAGCTGAGCCGTTGTTACGTATCGTCAGTGCCACGTTCATGCACAATTCGCCCAGCTTTGTGTCTGGATTAACTGTTGGCGCCTGCGTTAAGCCGGTCATAATCAGTACATCGGCATGCTTGAGTGCCGACTGATTGATGGGACGCGGGTGCGTTGTTAACGTCGAGGAGCCGCTCACGTAGCAAATCTTCTCATGCGCAGTACTCAGCACCCAATTGCTGGAGCCCAGACAGTAGCCAGAACTGACGGGAGTTGCTATAAAGGCGCCCAGTATATCCAATTTCTCATCATAACCCATGATGGTCACTTTAGATAGACTTCCCTGGACATCCTTTAGACTGAAAATAGTGCGCCACTTCTTTGCACGAAAGGCTTCGTTCAATGGGCTGGGCAGCAAATGAAGCTTCTCCTTCCACAGACGTGCCGTGCAGGCCTTTGGCGACACTTCAATGTAATCCACCAGCTCTTCGAGAAAAAATCGGCCAATCTGTAGCGTTGGCTCCGTTGCGTAGACCTTGCCTTTGAAGCCCGTGTTCTCCGTAATGTACGGCAGGGCCAGCATGTTTAGATAGTTTGAGATAAGTATGACATCTAATTCACTAAAATCGAGCATTTTATCCATCGGCAAATTGAACTCCGGCACCGAGTCCACAAACACTCGGCCGCAGCACTCCTTGAGTTCACCATCCATTTGAGGATCATGGTCGCTGCTGGGCACAAAGTTCGGCAGATTAGAAAGCTTCAGGCTTTGGACGAAGGGTAATGGCAGGAAGTTTAAAACTGTTTGCTCTGTCAAGCCGCAGTCCAGCATTATGCGGAGTCCCTTGAATGTGATGATGTAGCATGGTTTTGCTAAGTCACCGCTGAGGCAGTACTGCAATGGTATCATTTAGATTAATTTACATTGTCATTTCCGTTGACTTGTTATTTTAGGTTTTACCAATCTCATCCCGATAAAGCACTAGCCGCCGTGACGACGCAAGGCAAAACGATGAATGTTAGCATAGCAGATGACTCTCCATAGCTTAACATGTGACAGAAATGTTAATAACAGCGAGAGCTAGTACAGCTAGGAAAAAACGCTATAGCTCGCTTATTAGTTTAATACATGAAATATTTATTGTACTAAATTAATTTACTGTAAAAGTGTGTTAGTAACTGTTGCTTTAATCGGTTACTAGTTTATAATGAAACCGGTGAAAATTGATCCCTACAGCTGTTAATCCATCGTTAGATTCATTACAGACCGACCGCCAAAACAGCTGCTTAGCCGAAATTGAATAATGCAATATGGCAACGCTGTACACGCGTCCGGCTGCCGGCGTCTATTTAAAAAACAACCCAAAACTAAAGCAATATTCGATTTTATTATATTTATATATTATACAGTATGTCTCAGCAAATACGCGTTTTACAATGTGTGGAGTGCAGTTTATATCAGGTTCGATACTAAAACATTTTAACAATAAATGGCCCTAATGTCCGAATACGTAGGTGGACATTGTCAAGAAGACAAACAAATGGGAGTGTAAAGTTTGCCGCTTTAAACAGATGGTACACAAGGAGTTCTTTCGTGGTTCTGGCGCTGAATGCCGTGCAAAGGTGCAACAGCTAAACCTGGAGCATGGACAAAAGCAACAAGCCCAGGAAGAGCGTAAAATCTTGGAGGCGCTTCAAAATGTGGAATGCGACAGTTTTTCTGATGCGCAGCTGCCGCCATCTCATCGCATCAAAGGTCCAAGCAAATGGGCTGATTATGTTGATGAACCCATTGCAGAAAATCGGTTTGCTCCTAAAAGACATTCCCAAGAACAAGACCAGGATGAGCCAGGTAATATTTCATTACCCAGAAAGCAAAGTGTTTCCAGAAAGCGTACATCTCAAAACGAATTCGTAGCGTATAAAAAGGAGTCCTCAAAATGGCAAAACTTTTTGTAAATAAAAAGGCACGCTTGTTTAAATTGTATAGGTATTTTTATTAAAATTTGTTTTTTGCTTTTTTATTATTTGAAACGCGTGGAGGCAGTTGAGTATATATAGTTTATGCTTATAGAGGATCAACGCCTCCACGGCTAATCGAATACATTTTGCATTAATTTCTACATAGTGTAGAAAGATGCCTTTAATTATCTTGTTAAATATTGTTAGTTGAGGGATCCTATTTAATGCTATTGCTTTCAAATTGGGCAATATGTTGGATACAATTAATGAGTGCCCAAATGTAATTAGTGTGAATGGAAATTGTTATAGTTATTGATCGTATTTTGTAACGCAATTAGATTGAGAAAAAAATTGTTATTCATATTTGTTGACGGCTACATATTCCTATTGATGAATTGCTTAGCACTTATGCCGTAGCGGGAGCAGTTGGGGTTGTATCCTTCTTGGCCACCTTCTCATCGGAACCGGTCTCTTCGATGTCGGCGGGATCCGCGTCGGTGCCGGATGCTCCAGCCTTGCCTGATGAGCGACGTCGTTTGCGATTGATGCGCCATGGACGCATCGGATATTTCATGGCCGGCAGCTGATCCATGCCAAGAACTTTAAACATCTGACGGAAAGCAATGTAACGCAGGAATAACTGTGACGAGACAGTGAGATCTTCGCGCTCCTGCTTGGTGAGTTGCTGCAGAGCATCGGTTGGATCCTTTTCACACGGATCCAGCAGCCCAGGCCCATTGATCAAAAAGCCCGAAGACAAAGCCTCCATAATGCGACGCAAGCAGTCGCCGGGTGAGATGGGGAAGCCAGCCGATGAAATAACTTTCTCCACAAGCAACTCCAACGACCACTGTGGCAGTGACTGCCACGAAGAAACGCGCTGGCAAAGATCACGTAATATGCGAATAACCATCACGCACGATTGCAATCCGGTTGCACGTGCCTGGAACCATTTGGCGTGGCGCAGATCGGCGAGTGCCTGCAAAAGAAGCAAAATATATATAAATATATAATTCTGGTGACATAAGGTTATTATGATTGAAATGCTTTAGTTTATTATTAAGCATTACGATCCTTGAATGGATAACGCACCCGCAGACACGGCTCGCGTGGCAAAAAGTCAGTTTCGGCACCTGTCGAAGCCGATGCAGCATCCTCCGGCTTGCCGACACCCTCGCAGGATTCGCGGAGCAAAGGTGATGTGAGTGTTATCTTAACCGCGACCACTTCATCGAGCACTATTACGGCAGCCTCTTCGGCGTTCACCTCGACGCGATAGTTGACCTGTGTGTCACCTGAAACGGAAAGTTTTTAGCCATGTGTTAGTTTCGATCGGTACTGGACAATAGAAAAAAAGAAGCATTAACAAGTTTAACTACGCGAAAAGTTCGGCTTAGAAAAGAGACAAACATTGTTGAGTAGATGATAGATAATTCCATGTGTGGGCCCACAAACTATTTATATATACAAGACATGAAGATGCACATCTGATAATCTCAAAAGCAAAATGTAAATGTTTGTTTCTTCCTACGTTCCACGGATAACGAATTCCGCTCTGTTCCCAGCAAACATACATATCACCAGTATATATTTATATATATATATTACAAGTATTTAACGTGTTCTATGACTTGCGTGCTGGGATCGGACCGGGCAGCCGGCGGGGCAGCCACCTCCACCTCGGCCTCGTAAACGGAATTGCAAACAAGAGTCGAAAATTGAAATGGAATTGCAATTCCACTTAGAGCGCGTGGCTGGCTGTTTGGTTAGTTTTATTGCCAACAAAAAAAAAAAAAAAAATAATGAACATAAATTAAAAAACATTGACCGAAATTTTTCGTTTATTTGCGGATTGATTGAATGACTAGCCACGCTCAGTTCACTAATTAGTCATCGGTCAGGTCAGCATTCACCGTTCGCAACACAAATTTCGGTCGCAATTTTTCGTTAGCTTAGTTTTCACATAGTTATACACAATCAAGTTTGATACACACAAAACGGATGCTTGCATAGGCATCGATATTTTCTCTATTGAGGTAGGTGGAGATGCCCATTTTACAGGGGCGCAACAATTTTGGCTGATAAATATTATATAGATATATGTATACCATTATAGGATAACACACACATATACTATATATTCCATGTGTCTGTACCATCATCAAAGCGCCTTCTATGCGTCTGTCTGTGTGGATCAATCGCATTGCTTCAGCAGGTCGGCTGTATATACATATATATTTATATTTAAAGCTGCCTTGAGCTTAATATAATATATTTCAAAGGACTTTATTTACACAAAGTTTCTTCGCATTGGAAGTGGAAACGGGGAAAAAGAGTGGATTTCTGTGCTGTTGATGATTGATTCTATGATGTGTGTGTGTGTGTGCGTGTGTATGGCTAGTACAGTAGAACAACAACAGAGCACAACAGAGCGAGCACCCAAACTTTGTATAAATATATTCCTTTGGTTCAATTGTTTGTTTTGATTTGGTTAAAGTTTCATTGTTCCACACATATGAACTCTTCCGCAGCCGCTTAGCTAGCTTTAGCTTCCGCCAGCGTGTAGAGAGTCCAGCAGAGTACTGCTTGTGTTACCATTACGATTATGAGATATCCGTTGATTCGATTTCCACCACCAGCAGTAGCAGTAGCAGTAGGAGTAGCAGCAGCAGCAGCTTGGAAAGCTATAGACGGCTAACAGACACCTGAGTGTGAGTAGTGTGAGTGGATAGCATCTCAAGGCTAAGGGCTCAAATCTTATCCTGCAGAGAGAGAAGCTGAAAACGGCAAATACGTTTTTATTTTTTATGGCTTGCTAGTTTGGCTTTTATTAGGCTGCTGTTGTTCGTTGTTTCTGTTCGTTGTTGGTTCTGGTCGTCAACAAAATTTAAATCCGCCACGGCAACAACAACAACAGGGCTCAACAGTAGTTCTAGTAGCAGTAGAGTATGTACATACATTAATAATTTCACTTTTTCCACACAAATTGCGCATCGCATACGGACTGAATTTTTGTTTATATTAGTTATCACATTGTGTGCATTCGTAATTATAATTTGTATATTTGGATTGCTTTTCTAGCATCATTGCGCTCCGAAATGTATTTACTCTCTTTTTGGCGAAATTCACATTCTGTGAATTTGGCCAGGCAAAATGAAAGTTTTGGATTTGCTGCTTTTGATTTTTGCAATTTGTCGCGTTGCTTTATTCGACATGGATATGTCTTGGAGTCACATCGGGAAATACTATTGATCATCGCATAATAATATTTGATACCAATATGTACATCATTTTTTCTTTTTTTCTTCTTTCAAACAAGTCTTATATATGGGAATGTTTAAGGCATAAATTTATTTGTGTTGCAGTGTAATTTCATTATTTATGTGTGCTGCAAAATGTAATTAGCCTGCACGAGGCCGCGAAATACAGTATATGGAAATAGGATATACGAAATATACCTGATATTTCGTATAATTTTATCTAATATATACTCTACTTTCATATATTCTATTTCATGGTGCCGCCTACACCTTCCTCTCTTCTTAATCCCCCACACATTTTTTAAAAGGAATACCCCATTTAAAATAAAGACATATTTCATTGTATTTTCCCCTAATGCACATGTATATCTATTTGCATTTCAGATATTACTACTAAATGTCTAATAACGATCTTCTACCCAAATTTAACAGAACAACTCGAACTACTTCGACGATTCTTTGAAGTAAGCAGGTAAGTAGCGATATAAACTATATTCCACAGTTGCTTTAAGTCGATTTCTATATGGATTCTTCCAAACCGAAGAACAACTATGTTTTCTTGCGTTATATTTCTATTCATCGATCGGACCTATTTGGGTTGTACATACATTTCCTGTGCATATTGTTGTGAAACACGTCTAATTAAGTCAATCAGTTATGTACAGTGTGAGCGTGTGTGGAGAGCCTAAGACATATCCATGGTAAATTTAGTTTTCCCGACTAGAGGAATTCAGATAGCTGCTTCTTCTGTTTATAGCCATTTCTCTGGAAAAAGTTTTTGCCCCTTGTTTACGGGCAGTGCAATCAATATTCACAATGGACACCAAAATATATATAGATGTGTATATATATCAAGGGATATATTTATGCATGTATATGTATATGGTATATATGTCGCCGAATGCTCTGCAACTTACCTGCCACCTCCTTAAGCTTGTCGGGCAGCACATTGGCCACACGCTGCAGCAGACTTGTCGTTGGCTTTTCCGCACAGAGGACAACTAGCTCAACAGCTGTGTCGCCATGGAGCAAGAGTCCCTTGGCCAGGTAGCCAACACGCATGACGCCCTTCAAGATGCGTACCACATTTCCGCCATTGTCGGCATCCTTGTGGAATGAGAATATCTGGTTATCGCGCCCATCCTTTTCCGAGGCCTTATCAGCCTTCTCCTTCTTAGCGGCCGGTCCACTCTCACTGACTGCAGCAGCAGGAGTTGGAAGCTCGGCCAATGCATCCGAGACGAGTTTAAGTGCACGCTCTGTGTGAGACACAATGCGCTGTATAGTCTGGAGTTCTTCCTCCTTGGGATAGATTTCGGCATGACGCGCAATGGCGTGGCGATCGTCGGTGCTTTCCGGACGACGCACGTTTCCGCCGCCAGGCATCATGCCAAAGTGTGGCGGCGGTCCATTGCCCATGCGTCCAAAGCGCTGAGCGCCTGTGATATAGATGATTCGTTATATATGCGGAAATTATGTTATGTTACTAAGGCCTTACCTCCAAAGCTGCGTGACATCCAATTATTGTAGTCATACTCTTCATTGTATTGACGATTGCGCTGTTCGTCCCAGTAGTTTCCCGCCTCGTGATCATCGCCACGGTGCGAGGACATGAGTGCACGCTGCGCACGAGCCTCGGCCAGACGACGCTGACGTGGTGTCGGCTTAAAGTCAACAACCAAATCTGGCTGTACTTTGCGCTTGTATTGCAAGCGATGGCGACGTCCTTTCATGTGCATCTCTTTGGCATTCGGATCGTTGAACTTGCAGTCGCATAGCTTACAGTTAAAGCTAAGTATCTTGCCCTCATCGTCCTTGACTTCCTCAATATACTCGCCACCGACGGGCTTAATGTTGTCCGTATTCTCGCCCATCGAATCGTCCAGATTCTCATCCATGTTATCAGCTGCTGCTGCAGCAGCATCACCGCCGGCGGCTGCCGCAGTTTCGGCTTGATCAGACTTGCCTGCTGCGGCTGCAGCAGCCGACGCATTTGGCCCGGCAGCGGGCACAAAGTTTATCTTGCCCATTTTTTTCGGCTCCTCGGATGGTATAGGCTTGCCCAGCTTCTGATGCAGCTTGACCACTTTCTGGTGTTTGGCGCCACGCACATGGGCCGCATAGGCATCGGTGCCAGTGCAGGTGACATCGCAAAGTTCACAGTGATAGTTGTTGCCACGGTTCTGGGCGCTGTTGGTGGCGCTTGCCTGCATTTTAAGCGATGCCTCACGCTTCTTGTGCTTCTGGCCTTCCAAATGTTCGCGGTACGTTTGGGGGCCGGCACAAGAGATTTTGCACACCTCGCAATAGTGCAGCTGCTGTGGGCGCGGGGGAGCCTTTGGACGTAAGCCCCGTAAAGCAACAGCGCCGGGAATCGTGGGACCCATCTTGCGCTGATACCAGCTATTTCCGCCGCCGTTTGGCTTCTGCCCTGGGTGCTGCTGGGCCACATACATGCTGGCCGCATTGTAGAGCGCCGTATCATAGCCACTATAATTATTGCCACCCGCCACATTTGGTGGTGGCTTGGCTCCACCATTCGATTTGTCTATTTTGCCCATGCCCTTTTGTGCAGAGTTGGGATTCTTGACGGGCGGCGCCGAGTAATGTGTCTTGCTAACTGCTGCGGCTGCTGCTGCCGCTGAGGCCGTGCTGTAGCTGGCCGGCGCTTGCTGATAGAATGTTTTGGTGGCGTCGTACGATTGCATGGCACTCCGGTAGTCACCATAGCCGCCATAGCCCGCAGCACCAGCGCCGGCGCCGGCCGCTGCATACCCGCCCCCGCCCTGGCCAGCAGCCACAGCAGCATTTTGATATGCGGCCGCATTTGCATATGTTGCATTGGTTACGGCCGGGTAGGTGACCTGTCCCGTATTGTACTGGGTACCGCCGTAGTTGAACCCGGCATAGTTGTTGTTCGCCATTGCCACGCAATTGCTGTAAAACGAAAGGAACATACAAGACAAATTACCAATCAATGCAAATCAGTTAACGATCCAATCGTCCCTCTCGACCCAAAGACAAATCAGTTCTTACATTTACATTTACTTCCTATTACTTTCTTATTGCTGTGCCAAATATTAGCTTTGACTGTATATTTATTTATTTGTGCCTGTCGAATAATAGCCTGTTTATATCTGTTAATAGAATGCATGAAAAAGTACTTTTAGTCACGTCATGTTTTTCAGTCTGCCAGAAAGGAAACCCCCACCATTTTTTCTCTATCGATTTTTCTTTCACAAGTTTTAATGCATTTTTCGTAAATGCAAGCAACACGCACGAATACCCATCAACGTATTTCATATAATACAATTACAACCACATAAAAATACCAATGTTAAAAGAACAATTTGCGCACTTAAATTACCTTAAATTTGCTGAGCTGCTGAAAATTTTCCGTCTATCAACCGGCGACAGTAGCGATGTGTATATGAATATCGCACAACGTCGATAACTAAATTTGGTCACGCCGCTGACGGCGAGTTGCCAGGAGTTGTTGTGTGTAGTGCTGCCAGCCGCGGCTTCTGCAAAGTAGTTAAATATAATGAAAGAAATAATTCAATAAGCGTTCTGAGCACAAATTGGCAATGAGCAGAAGTGCTAGTACTTGCTATTGAGATAACTAAATACGTTTAAAACTACAATTGTTGCCAGCTGACGCTTATTTGAAAGTTGCCACATTAAGCTAGAAAACAGCTAAATTGGCAGCACTATTGTGTGCAAAAAATGTATATTGCTATCGATAAGTATTGCAAAGGGCAACCATTAAAAAACTAGGTGGCAGCGCCTTAGATTCGCGCCGAAAACAAAACGATAGCCGCAAAAATATTTATTTATCTTGTGAAATTTGTGTTAGCGTGTATTTATTGTGTGTTTAAATGGATGAAAAGCGATATATAAAGCGCAAAGAAAAGGCGCGCATTGATGGAAATCGCGAACAACTGGCGGTAAGCTGCAACCAGCTGGGCGACTTCTATAATCAACTGGGAAAGTACAATGAGGCGGCCAGAGAATATAAACAAGAAGCAACCATATACGCCAGCATGGGCAAGGAGCTGGAGACGGCGAAGGCAAAACGCATGCTAGGCGAAATGTTCACGCTGCTGTGCGAATACGACGCGGCCAAGGATCACATAAATGACTATTTAAGTGAGTAGATGCTGCAGTTTACTTTTCTATCTGACTAAAATTGTGTTTTCTGACAGAGATTGCCAAAAGACTGCAGAACAAAGTGGAGCAGCAACGTGCCTATGCCACGCTAGGGCGGGTCCATCTACTGCACGGACAAAGCCTGTCCGACAGCACGGCCTCAGGTGCCATGGAACAGTTGAAGCTGGCGGAAAAGAGTTTCCTGCGCAGTCTGTTGCTCGTCAAAGAGTAAGTGCTGACCCTTCAAAGTACTACCATGTCATAATCTATTTTGTAGGCTTTCAGGTCAGATTTCGAAATTAGAACAGTTGGACATGCAAGCGCGCTGTTACCTAAATATCGGCGTTGTGAAAGAGCACATGGAGGAATTTGAGGCGTCAATCGAGTACATTGACAAAGCCATTAAAATCAGCAAAACTCACGACTTGTTCGAGCTGACCCACTTGTGCTACATTTCGATGAGTCTGCTTTACAATTGCAAGAAGAACGACGCAGCGTCGGCGCTGCGCTACTGCAATATGGCGCTGCAAGTCGCCAAACGACTGCCGAATAAGGTGAAGAAAATCTGCGAGACACTTATAACTAAATCGGAAATTCTGATCCATGCCGGAGACTTTGCAAGCGTTAAGCAAATACTGACCAAGGCCTACAAGAAGCATACGCCCGATGAGAACGATCGCGCCAGCATTGAGCGCTCGTTGCGCGTGGTGGTAAAGATATGTCAATGCCTTGATGAGCTGGTGCTGACCAGTTCCGTCGACTATGGCAAGCTAAAGGATCTGTATGAGAAACTTGGCGACGGCTGTTGCCATCTCTTCAACTATGAAAAGGCGATCGTCTATTATCAGAAAATGCTGGAGTGCGCCGAGCTGAATGAGGAGCGCGGTAAAAGCCTGGTGCCCATCTATGTTAGCCTCTACCAGACATACAAGGACAACAAGCAGTACGATAAGGCCTTGGAATATTTGTGGAAGGAGTTTGAGCTAAATCAGGATGTGCCCGCAGAGGCATTCACAACACTCTGCAGCATTGCTGAAATCTGTGAGCAGCAGGCACAGCCCTTCTGGACCGTTCATGATGTGTATCAGAAAGCGCTACGACAGGCAGCCAAGGCAGATGAATCGGTGTCTACGAAGCTAGAGAAGATTGCTCTGGTGCGTTTACACAAGCTTCAGCTAAAGCATAAAATGCATGTGCTAGCTGAAAATTTGGAGGCAGAGGCCAGCGCCAAGGGCATTAATCTGGCCGAGGAGACTGTCAAGCTGGATGAGGAGGATGATGCCGATGGCGACGTGCCTGCAGCGCTGCAACAAAACACACCCGACTGGGTTGACGATATTGATTTGGATGCACTCACCGATTCCGATGCCAGCGATCTTGATGAGACTGACAAGCCTCGCCCACAGCGCGTCACACGTGGCAATCGTACGCTCACCATTAAGCGAAACAACAAGGGCGAAACGCAGCTGCATCAGGCCTGCATAGCTGGCAACCTGGAGCTGGCACGCCGACTCATTGAACAGGGCCACACAGTAAATGTGCGCGATCATGCCGGCTGGCTGCCACTGCACGAGGCTTGCAATCACGGCTATCGTGATATTGTTGAGCTGCTGCTGGACAAGGGAGCCACAGTCGCAATTAACGACAAGGGCGGCACGAGCTGTGATGGCATTACACCACTTTACGATGCTTGTGCCAATGGCTACCTGGATGTGGCCGAGTTGCTGTTGGAGCGTGGAGCTGATGCGACTGTGCGCACGGACTACAATGAGACCTGCATTGAGGGCTTGGACAAGTGGCGGACGTCGAAACAGCTGATTGAGGGCGAACAGGCGCAATATACACAGCTACGCGAAAGCCTGCTACGTACTCTTTCTAAGGTTGGCATTTGCAGCATGCAGCATGCGCGTCCCTTGACCAATGCCAATGCTCGGCCAGCTTCCAGTGCATCGGCCTCATCAGAAGCCGAAGAGGAAGATGTTGAGCTGACGCCACGTTACAGACACGCCATGCCCATGCTTAACCGTTCCGCCAGCTCGGCCAGCAGCCCGCGTGCGCCATCAAGCGCTAGCAAGGAATACCGCAACGTGATGGCGCAGCTGAAGCGTCCCAATCGCACACCCGCCAATTACGATGAGCCGAGCAGCAGCAGCAGTACGAGCGCCAACGTTAAGCAGAAACGTGTAGCCCTATTAAATGCCGACGAAGTGGATGCGGACAGTTGGCTGGTCGATGATGTGGGACCAGAGCGTAAACGCAAGCGCTACAATTCCGGCAGCTTGAGCAGTCGCGCAGTTGGCGCAAAGGAGAATCTGCACGACTCGGCGCTGGCCTGGGAAACGGAATTTCAGGCCACGCCGCCTGAACAGGATGCGCATCAAGTGCTAATCGAGGCAGCCAATTCCAAGCAGCGCCAGAAGCAAATGCGTAAGCTAACGCTCTCGCGTTCCTCCAGCATGAACAGCAATCACAGTGGCAGCAACTCCAGACAGTCCAAACAGCAGACATCGCTGCTGGACAGTGGCTTCTGTCGCTTTCGTAGCGAAAGTCCTTTGGGCAGCGGCGAGGATTCCCTGGATGGCGCATCAGTGATAAGTTTGCGCACGCACGCGGAACCGGATTCCACAACCTGCAGCGCGCAGAGCGGCGGCATACAGCTGCTCATCTCGCCCACCAAATTGTCGTCGCCTATTAAAGTGCAGGCAACGCCTGTGCTGGCCACCACAGTGTCCTTCAAAGTCAAAGTACAGGACGAGCTGCTGCTTGTGCCCGTCGAGCGTAAGAAGCTGCAAGACGTCAACATGCGCTGGCTAGCCGAAGAGACAGGACGGCGTTACAATAAGTGAGTCAATTCGAATTTAGAAAACAAAATCTAAATCTAACTATCTATCTATCTATTTCAGATTAACTGGTCTAACGCCTTTGCTGCGGCTGAAAACGTCTGACGGCTTTGCATACGAGGATTCGGATGCTGTATGCGTCGCCCTTGAGCAGAACATGCTGTTGTCCACCATTCTAGATTGGAAAATATCACCGCTCTCGCAACGCTACGAGGAGATGTGCCATCAATTGCACAAAGGTATGTGCATATATTATATATTTAATATAGCTTCTCAACTATTTATTTTGTACAGGGGTCGATGATAAAATAAAGCTACTGCTGGAGCGTTCACAAAATACACAAGCACTGGAGCTGGCTGGTCTTTGGCTACGTGAAGCGCAAACGGAGCCGGTGTTCAAGGCATTGTTGCACCAGGCGCGTCTCACGGTGCTGGATTTGTCCTGTAACTTCATTGGCAACGAGGGCTGTCAGCAGCTGGCCAAGGCACTGCCGACATTGCTGCAGCTGAAGACGCTGCGCTTGAGGTGCAATGCCATAAGCAATGCGGGTCTGGATGCTCTGCTCTGCGGGCATGACATGGACAAGCTGGATAATTTAGAGGAACTGCAGCTAAGCCAAAATCCGCTGGGTAATGCAAGTCTAAGAACACTGCACAGATTTTGCGCGAGTGGCGCTGGGCGAGCTCTGAACAGCTTGCATCTGTCGCAGTGCGAGCTAACGGAGCTGCAGGACTTTGATTTGGCCTACACGCAACTGACCACCTTTGACATTAGCTTCAATCAGCTAACGCTGCAGAGTGTGCGCAGGTTGTCGGAGCAGCTGAATAGCAGTCGCTTGGAGAACTTGAATCTGAGCTACGTGCGCTGGCCCCTTGATGAGCAGAGCGGCTTTGCGCTCGGTGAGCATTTGGTGACGCTGCTCGAGAGCGGCACAAGTGAGAGATTTGTGCGCTTGGAATTCGCCGGCTGTGGGCTGATCGATGCGCATATTTATAAGCTAACGCAGCAGCTAAACAAGGCGAAACAGCTGGAATGGTTGGACATAAGCGATAATGAGCGTTTGAGTGGCGCTGCCCTAGGCTACGTGCTGGACGAGCTGCCGCAGCTGCGTGTGCTCTTGGCCACGAATTGTATACGCCTGCTGGACGATCTGCGATTACAGAAGTTGGAGCAGCAGAAACAGTTGCCCAAGCGCATGGATCTCAGCATAGATGAGCAGACATTCAGCTTGGCAGGCGCCTTGGCCACATTAATAGACATTTGGCAGCTGAAATGGGGCGACAATGCCAAGGTGCTGACGCCCAAGCGCAAGAAGGGTCCGCTAAAGCTGTACGTGGACGAAAGTGATCTGCTTTGGTGCGCTTGATTATGTTTTGTTATTGTGTTTAAAGTCCCAATTGTTTATACCTGTTGACATATATTAATATAGCAATAATCTAACTGTAGACCCGAGGGGACAGGCTCTTGATAGTATTCTTATCTAATCAGCAAGTGCTTTTGCATGCCCCAGTTAAAGTTGGCGATTTGATGCTTTCTAGCTGAAATTACAACGTCTTATCTGGAACAATATGTATTATAGAACCTCTATCAAATTGTTTCGAATCCTCGAACAAATTTTCAACAGTTTTCTATTTTTAAGTACTTATATATATTTTTTATTAATCTTTTTTGTGAATGAGGACTGCAGCGAGGATGATTGTGGACATGACCTTGCATTTAGTTGTCTTATCTGGTAGCACCGCCCTTGGCCGCCTCGTACATGTTCCTCGAGATGATGAGGCGCTGGATCTGAGAGGTGCCCTCGTAGATCTGATAGATCTTGGCATCACGCATAAGCTTCTCTACGGGATAGTCGCTGTTGAAGCCGTTGCCGCCAAAGATTTGCACAGCATCGGAGGCAATTTTGTTAGCCACATCGGCGGCATGGCACTTTGCAATGGACGCATAGTAGCTGTTGCGGCGGCCCTGGTCAATTTCCCAAGCAGATAAGCGCCACGCCAAACGCGACGTTTCCACGCCAATAGCCATATCGGCCAGCATAAACTGCACGGCCTGGTGATGGGCGATGGGCACTCCGAAGGCTTTGCGCTCTAGAGCATACTTCAGGGCCTCGTCCAAGCAACGCTGGGCCAAGCCGACGGCACCCGCTGCGACTGGTGGGCGGGTCTTGTCAAAGGTGCCCATGGCAATTTTAAAGCCTGCACCCTCGCCAATCAGAACATTCTCCTTGGGCACACGCACATCCTCGAAGGTGATGCCACGCGTGTCAGATGCACGCTGGCCCATGTTGAGCTCCTTGCGGCCAGGCGTCAGACCAGGTGTGTCGCGTTCAACAATGAAACCGGTAAAGGCTTTGCTGGGCGGGCACTTGGGATCGGGATTGGTGCGGGCAAGCACAAAGTACCAGTTCGCCACGCCGCCGTTGGTAATCCACATTTTCTGACCATTGATAACATACTCGTCGCCCTTCTTCTCAGCGCGCGTCTTAATGCCGGCCACATCGGAGCCAGCACCGGGCTCTGTGACACAATAGGCAGCCACCAAGGGCTCCGCTAATAGACGGCCCAGATACTTCTTCTTCTGTTCCTTATTGCCCGACAGTATCACAGGTGTTTGCTATCGGATAAACCAAGCCATTGGACTTAAGTTTATATGTATGGAAGAGTGTAAACATTTTAACTTACGCCTAGGCCGCTGGCCTCCAGGGCAGTCATAATGCCGGTGCAGCCATATGCCAGCTCTTCCGCCGTCAGGCAGGTGGTGAACACATCCAGATCCAAACCGCCCAGCTCGGCAGGTACGTGATTGTTCATCAGACCCAACTCCCAGGCCTTCTTTATGATTGGCCACGGGTACTCGCCTGTCTTGTCGTATTGAGCAGCCACCGGGATGATCTCCTCACGCGTAAACTTACGCGCCAGCTCCTGGAACTGTTGCTGTTCCTCGGTCAGGGCAAAACACGGACCCGTGGGCGACACATGTGAGACGGCGGCATATGTGCGGCTCGCCACCAGCTGGCGCAGTGCAGGAGCTGCGAGCTACAAGCAAATACGACACAATTAAATGCGGAATTCCGTGGGTCCATAAGTCCAATTGGGGGCAAAGTACAATCGCATCAGATAAGAAGCATAATCTGTGCACCGTTTTTTCAAAATGTCTGCCAGATGATCTGGCACTCTGTGGAGTTGCAAGATAAGTTGGCCCACTTGATACATACCTTGTTGAGAAAAGCCATGGTGCAGATAAAATATTATGCAGCTATTGCAAAATTGCTATATTCAATTTTGCATTTATTTGTGTTCGCGTTTAATTGAATCGCGCTGCTCACTCGCTGACGTCTCGTGGCGAATTGAATCAAACGGGTATTTTGCTGCTCGTAAAACAACGCAGCGCAGCCGGCAGCGAGTGTGAACATTAGACCCTCTTGCTCGCGGCGAAAAAAATAACAGCAACAACAATGACAATGACGAATTCGCTTGCTCGAAGCTTGCGTTGGTGGAGTGGAGTCAACAAACTTTTGTTTAGCTGCAGCTGTAACTCTGACTAAATATTAATAAAAGCATGTCGAATATCATTCGCCTTGGCACACTAGCCGAGACACACCCCCTTTGAGATCCCAAGGCCAACACAGCGCACAGCAACAAAAGCTTTGCGTGGTAAAAAGCTCTGCAAGAAGCGCGCATAATTTGAACATCTCATAATTTTAAAAGCATACGTTCAAGCGCTTTTAAAATTAGATCAGAGGCTATGTTAAAAATAACAACATTTATATATATATATATATATTTAATGCACGGAAGGGCGCCCTTTTACTGTTTGTGTTTAGCTGTGACATACTTGGAAAAACAAACAGAAGCAACAAGAAAAACGAAAAATAAATCAACTGTTTATTGTACTTCGTTGCCAGCAGCTCTTATCAGGCACTGCAGCAGCAGCATCACATAAAACTTCGGTCCGGTTAAAGCTTCCGCTAAGCCACCAAAACCCACCCACAAAAAGCGCGCACGATTCACAACCGAAGCCGACCACGGCGGAACGAAGCTGCGCGGTGTGGGGACGAGGACAAAGACGTGGTGAAAGTCCCGCCACATCTAAGGCAAAACTGGGATAGCTGCTGCCTTGGCTTGGCCAGTCATTTGACATTGCTCCTGCGTAAAGGTTGTCCACGCGCAAAGCAAAACTAATCCGTCGTCGAGCAATTCGCCTCCATCCTGTTTTAGTGTGCGTCTCTGTGTGTGTGCGTGTGCATGTGTGTGTGAGTTGTTTTTAACACACACTCCCACTTATGGGTATACATATATGTACCTAAAAAAAAGTTAAAGTGAAAAGTTTCTCAAGCGGTTAACCGAGCCCGTAATCAAACAAGTGCAAATCGTTAAGTGCTTTTCGCCAGGCAGGCTAAAATGGCTCAATTTGTGACTCACATACAGCCAACGCTGATGGAGGCATCGCAAGGTCATATGCCGCACCATCATGGCCATCAGGTAGGCGTGCAGCATTCGTCGCATTTGCCACACAGTGGCCATAACATGCCATCGCCACCCACGGGCCACAATCATCACCAGCACCAGCATCAGCACCATCATGGAGGACATGGAAACGCGTCCTCGCATCAGCAAACCCAATCGCAATCTCAATCGCAATCCCATCAATCGCATCATCATCATCCAGAGCAGCAGCAGCAGCAGCATCACAAGAAATCACATCATCCGACGGGTCATGCCAATGCCAAGGCGCCAATCCATCAGAGTCCGCCAAAGCAGGTGTCTCCGCCGCCTGCGGAGCATGTGGGCCACTACGAATACTTTCAGCATCAGCATGAGCTGGCCTTTCAACATGTTGGTGCCACGCCCGGCACCAGCAGCAACAGCAAGCAGCACCATCACGATAAGCATGAACACTGCCCCACAGGACACCAGAGTGCGGTGAGTTTCAGGCTTACATCATTTCTGCCCATGGTCGCATCATGTGATCGAGTTCATATTGCGAACCCTTAAGCTAAGCTTATTCTAGATTGTTCTGGTCTAGTTCATGCTCCTACATGTGTTTATGCATGCATATATATGTATGTATGTATGTGTGTGCCATCGAATGACGCAATCGCAATCCTTGAGCTGGAATAACAGAATGCCAAATGAGTCATCGACCATCTTTCGCTGTCCTTGTTGGCCATTAAACGCTCCATGACGACTCTATGGCGTCGCGGCGTCTCCCAGGCATCATTTACTGTTTATTAAAAAGCTTCAAAATTAGACAGACCGCCCTTCGCGCCTTCAGTACCAAACCCCGCCCCCCGCCATTACCCTTCGCCGCGCCCCCACACCACATTTAACTGCAAGAGCCATGCCCCATTTACACGTTTGCCTCCCCGCCCCGCCCCCTCGGTTAATAGCAGCCCCCCTCATCATCCTGTACTCTCGAGAGCTTTTTTTTTGCTGTTCTTCTGTAAATTCTGTGTTTTCGTACTGTTTAAAAATAAAACCAACTGGCGAATTTCTCTTTGTACTCTCTTCGCAGCGTTCTCTAGCCTCTGGCAGAGGGCTTCGGGCGCCAATCGAAAATAATTTAGAAAACGACTCAAATCGCTCGCTGTCTGTTGTTCTTGGTGCGGTCTCTGCGTGTGTGTAAATATTCCATAGAAATTTACTGAAAAATTATAAGCGTATGTGGTTTTTAATTAACAAAATCCCAGCGAAATGGAGACATTGAAGAAACGCTTTCCGTCGCTGCAGAGTTTGGGCGTAAGTCGCTGCCAACTTGGAAGCGTTTTTATGTAATATATTTACCCTGTACCCAAAAACTATGCAGTTGACCCAAAAATATCACACTGTCAAAAAAAAAAGAGTAGAAAAAAACATAGCTCTTTGTGCGAAAAATATTTCAATATCTTTTTATTTTTGGTGCGTATGACGTGTACGTTGGCGTCGCGTCGCGTCTGTCTGGCACGCGGTGCAGTGAACTATCTACATATAAGCTTAGGGGGAGTGGGGGTGGAGAGGGGTACGCCACCCCAGGGAGCTTTTCACTAAATTGGCGTCTCACTTATTTGTGGTGCGTTTTTAAAGGTCGTCAAAGTTGTGCACAATTAGCTTGGGCCATGTCCCGTTGCCTCTGCTTCTGTCTCTGCCTCTGTCTCTGCCTCTGCCTCTGCTGCTGCCTCTGCTTCTGCTGCCGCCTCTACCACTGCCTCTGCTTCTGCTGTTGTTGTTGTTGTGGCTCTTGTAATTTCATATGCCAACAGGCGATAGCCTCAGCGACGCCAACAGCATTTTTGAAGAACCTGAAAACATATTCCAAATTTCGTCGAAGACCAAACACTCTTTTAAGTGTCTCAAATATTTTTACAATTTTTTAAATAAATTTAAAACCAGTTCAATTTGAAATCTTACAAAATTGGAAAATTAGAAATTTTCCTAGTTAACACACAGTTATACATTTGCATGAAAGTCGGATAGTTTTCATACAGAGAACATCTTAAAAACGTAAATATAAAAAAAAATACATTTTATTTATTTAATATATGTCTTATAAAATATGTTTTAAGATGTTTTTTTTTTTTTGTAAAAACTTTCAAAATCGAAAATTAAAAAGAAAAAGAATTAAGTAAAAATTGTTATTCAGCAAACAGTTACTCCTATTCCTTATAGGAGCATATTTTAGGACAGATCAAACAATAGGAAAAATTAGTTTGTTCATTTTATTGCTGATTCATTTTCATTTCGAACTGGACTTCAAATATAAATAGTTACATTAACGGGAAAACTTAGATCATAATCTGCTTAAGAAGAAATTTAGACATTTATTACAATGTGTTGTGTATAACCCTATTTTATAGGAGTATAGAGTATACGTATATATATATTTTGGAGTACCAGCTGACATGCAAACATGCAATTTAGTTCAGTTTCGAGCCTGCGTTTCCAGCTCAACCCCCCTCAAGCTCCGAGGACTCTGTAAACGAAAACCCTTTGCTGGCCAAAAGAAATAAGTCAATGTTTGGCCAAGCGATAAAGGCTGAACTGCAGCTTAAAGACACCCTTAAGCGGGCTAAAGGCCATTAATTAAATTCCAAAATGTGCGTCACACCTTGCTGCCGCATGCCGCATGCCGCATGCCACATGCCACATTAGTTACCTCCCCCGCCGCTTAAAGCAGAGCAAGCACTTTACAATTTGCCCTGGTCACGATGCAATTCGAAATGCAATTTTATGCAATCGCTAGGGGTAAGCACTGCTCCAGTGCCACAAGAGGGTGGCTTCCCTTCTGTCTACCTAATTTGTAACCCAAGCAACAACAACAACAACAACAATGGGAAATTTGATGGCAATAGCAGAAATTGTGTCGTTCCTTTGCTTGGCTTGGCTTACTTGGCTACGTAAAACGTGACTGGGATTGCATACGCATCTGATTGGGCTCGTAAGGGTGTCGGGTTTTGGGGTTGTTAGTTGGTTTCTCATTGGATTTGTCCAGTTCGAATCTGGAAGTAAACAAAATCCAGTCAGATGTCGCGACTGCGCCAGCCAGCGCTACCTTGGAAAGTGACCAACCCGCAACCAACTGTGGATTGCCTGTAGTTTCCGTTTACGCTCAATCAACAAAGGATCCTGGTGGGCAAGGACCTGCTTGTGTGTTTAGCTTAGTAATGATTCTATATGCTCGGCTAATTAGTTGGAATTTACTCAAATTACTTGCGCAGTTGGGTGCGCCGGGAAATAATTGAAAAGCTAATTAGGTGCCGAGGGAATACTTTTCATTTGAGACAGGCTACTATTATATAAATCCTTGAGGACCTTACACTTCATCTCCCAATGCAATTATCCTTGAGAACGTCAGTTATTCAAATTTCATTTTTCAATTATGTTTCCCAAGGCAATTTTTTTTATCAACGATCTCAAGTATTTTGCGTCCTTCTTTAATCTTCAAAGAGCTTCCGAATCTTTTGGGATGATAATGAATTCTTTGTTTGTTGCTGCACCCGCTGCACGTGTCCGTGCTGCACCGCTTCCAAAGGCAAATGTCAACAAAGCGAGACGCACGTGCCAAATGGGCGGCTTACGCTTCCGCTTCCAGTAAACCACCCTCGGGTGGTGGCGCAGACGCAGACCGTGTGTGTGAGCGCTTCCAATTGGAATGTGCAAGTGCGCAGGTCCTTCGAAAATCCTGGCGATGCCGACAATTTCAACCACGGCTGGTAGGACTCGTCGTGCCCAGTCAGCACGCATCCAGTCTGGAGTTGAACATTGAAGAAAACGGCAGCAAAAAAGCAAACGCTCCTCAGCGTGTATTTAGAAGCGACTGTGTTGAACAGAAAGGAATCCAATCAGACACACCAACACAGACACAGTCACACTCACAGTTACAGTCACAGTCGCGCATAAACGTACACTGACACACACACACACATACACACACAGACACCATACACACCCTCGCACACACATGCACTCGTGTACATAAGGCTTACATAAAATCTAAGGAAAAATCGATGCGAGTGCATTTAAAATTCAACCAAAGAAGGTCTCAGCTAGTGAAATTTCTTCGCGTTAAACTCGAATTGAAAAGAACAATTCATTAGTTAGCCGTGTGAAAAAATAAACTATGACTAATCAGTGACGACATACGCGAGCTGCGCTTACACAATATCTCTATACTAGATATACGAAATACCACATAAGATTGAAATTCGTTTGATATTTTCCAATTGCAAATCGGTGTACGCAAAATGGTCACTGAAAATGGAGCTCAGGTAATGATAAACCAGTTTATTTCATTTCATTTGCAGCGTGCATTTACTTTTCGCCCAGACTGTCTGCGACGGCCATGTTGGCGTCCATTTTGCATTATCGATTTTTCAGTGTCTGGATTGAAAATTTGCTGAAAAAACGCAATTAAATCTAATTAGCAAATCGGTTTGAGCAAGGTTTATATTAAAATAAGCTTGGATTCTATAATAACATTTTAATTGACTGAAAAATTTTATTGATTTTGCTAAATCCAAAACTTGCATTGAAATCAAATCAAATTGCGTGCCATTATAATTGTATTGAGTGAAAAACAATATGCTATAAATAAATAACTAAGCATTGTTAAGAGCTTGGGCCTAGAAGAGCATAAGCACAGCCCGCCCTCCCTCCCATCAATCCGAACTGGGCGTGGTGCTAAGCTGTGCGTGCGTCCGTGTCCGTGCGTCCGTGTCCGTGTCCGGGCCCGTATCCGAGCTCATGCCCGTGGTGCAAGGTAATGTAGATTTAGGTTAAATTTAATGATGACATGCGACTTTTGCGCCACGCCGCAAGATGTAGAGAAAATCCATAATATGAGTCATTTTTCTTGTCACCTTTCCTGCTCCCAACTGCAATAATGGAAATCAAAATCCATTTGTTGCTCCCTTTTTGTAATTTGCACTCAAGTTTCGAGTAGGACCAAACATGTTGCCACTTGGGCGACATTCTGCTGCACAAGTTCAAAGGAAATCCACTTCAAGGCTTCGCCCAACTTACTTTACATCAAGCATTCAATTTACACAACTTGAGCCTCGTTATACAATGCCTGACAAGCACCTTTGAACTTTGGGCCCCAATGTCTGTGTGTGTGTGTGTGTGTGTGTATGTTTGTATGTTTGTCTGTGCTTGTGCTGGCCCCTCATCAAGCTGGGCAAACAAGGAAGCAGCCAGCGCCGAAAGACATCCTTTAGAGTTGCCTTCCATGTATGTACACATATTTGAACAGGCATACGAAATGAGTTTTGCGTTGGCCCAGCCATGAAAAGGAGTCGCTCACTTCCGTATTGATAGACCGTGTAGAGCCGGCTGTGTGGCCGGGTGGGGGTTGGGCAGGCGAGCCTTCCTTCTCTCTGCACTGCAGCGACAGCTTGGGATCCGACAGGAAATGGCGGCTCGGAACTGTGGGTGCCGCCTGCGGTCACCTTAACGGCGTCGGTTTTGCTTTCCAGTGCGAAAACTGTCCAAGTCGAAGCCGCCTTCCAATTGCACTTTCCAATGCCACGGCATGACGTCATATTCGATACCGAATTCCAGGCTGCGCCAACCCCCTCCCCCTCCCCCTTCCTCCCTGCTATTGCTGCTCAGTCGAGCAAAAGGAAAACATAAACAATTTGTGGGTGGCTATGAAAAGGGGGCAGCTGTTGGTGCAAAGCCGAATTACACCTGCGCATTGTTAAAGCCGACGTTGACCCCTCGCCTTGACCGTTGTTTAGCTGAACTTGGCCTGCCCCCTCGCGACGATAGCAGGTGCACAGTTCACAGCGAGCGAGCTTCAATTGCGCAACGACTGTAACGGGCATATTACCTGTGTTATATGCAGCATGGCGATCAATAACAGCCCTAACAAAGCTCATTTGATGAATACGCAGCTGTCACGCAACTCGCAGTTGGCCCAGGGCACCCGGAAGCCCCCCGAGCCACAATCAAGTTCAAGTGATAAACGTTTAATCAATAGTTAAATACTTGTCATAAGTCTAGGTGTACAATTTTCTATATTTAGTTACATACTTAAATACACTGCTGACTTATTCAAAATGAGCGTACGGGTTTTTATGCAATCCCTTTTGGCCCGACTCCCAGCTTGACAGCTTCCTATCTACCATTATTGGGCTACAAATATTTGTTAAGTCCTTTCTCCTTGTCTCCATGTCTTCATAGAATTTCCATATTATTTATTGCACTCATATTGAATATTCATTTATAATTTACAGGGCGATGGCAACACTTCCTTCCTGCGTGCCGCACGCGCCGGCAATCTGGAGCGCGTGCTGGAGCATCTGAAGAACAACATTGACATCAATACCAGCAATGCAGTAAGTTAAATCTTGAGGCAATGTTAAGCCCATGTCTCTGATCGCTTTGTGGTGTCATTGCAGAACGGCTTGAATGCACTGCATTTGGCTTCCAAGGATGGACACATACACGTTGTCTCGGAGCTGCTGCGACGCGGCGCCCTTGTGGATAGCGCTACCAAGAAGGGCAACACGGCTCTGCACATTGCCTCGCTGGCGGGTCAGGAGGAGGTGGTGAAGCTGTTGCTAGAGCACAACGCCTCCGTCAATGTGCAGTCGCAGAATGGCTTCACGCCCCTCTACATGGCCGCCCAGGAGAATCACGATGCTGTTGTGCGCCTACTGCTGTCCAATGGCGCCAACCAGAGTCTGGCCACGGAGGATGGGTTTACGCCACTGGCAGTAGCCATGCAGCAGGGACACGATAAGGTTGTAGCCGTGCTCCTCGAGAGCGATACTCGTGGCAAGGTGCGCCTACCAGCGCTCCACATAGCTGCCAAAAAGGATGACGTCAAAGCAGCTACGCTTCTACTGGACGTAAGTAAATGCTGTTAAGATTACAACTTTTAAGATTACAACTGGATACTTATGCTTGCACTGGTTCTACAGAATGACCACAATCCGGATGTGACTTCCAAGTCGGGCTTTACGCCGCTGCACATTGCCTCGCACTATGGCAACCAGAACATTGCCAATCTGCTAATCCAGAAGGGTGCCGATGTCAACTACTCGGCCAAGCACAACATTAGTCCTCTCCACGTGGCTGCCAAGTGGGGCAAGACCAACATGGTCTCGCTGCTGCTCGAGAAGGGTGGCAACATTGAGGCCAAGACCCGCGATGGCCTCACACCGCTCCACTGCGCTGCCCGCTCCGGCCACGAGCAGGTTGTGGACATGCTGCTGGAGCGCGGCGCTCCCATTAGCGCCAAAACCAAGAACGGTCTCGCACCATTGCATATGGCCGCCCAGGGCGAGCATGTGGATGCCGCTCGTATTCTGCTCTACCATCGTGCACCCGTTGACGAAGTAACCGTTGATTATTTGACTGCTCTGCATGTGGCCGCCCACTGCGGACATGTGCGTGTGGCTAAGCTCCTGCTGGACCGCAATGCCGATGCCAATGCACGTGCCCTCAACGGGTTCACGCCCCTGCACATTGCTTGCAAGAAGAACCGCTTGAAGGTCGTCGAACTGTTGCTGCGCCACGGCGCCAGCATAAGCGCCACCACGGAGAGTGGCCTGACCCCGCTGCATGTGGCCGCCTTCATGGGTTGCATGAATATTGTCATTTACTTGCTGCAGCACGACGCCAGTCCGGATGTGCCCACTGTGCGTGGCGAGACTCCATTGCATTTGGCTGCACGCGCCAACCAGGTGAGTCATTCAAATATGATATTTACTTAAAATAACTGTTACAAATTATTGATGTGAACTTATATCGATAACGTATTAATCGATATCTTACTGAGCTGGAATAATATCGATAGCATAGTAATTGATAGCTTACTTAGCTTCTGTGTATTTTATTTTGTTTAAAATGCCAAAACCGTTTATTTGAAAATGTTTATTCATTAATTTCAGACGGACATCATCCGAATACTTTTGCGCAATGGCGCCCAGGTCGATGCACGAGCTCGGGAGCAGCAAACTCCGCTGCATATCGCCTCGCGACTCGGCAATGTGGACATTGTGATGCTGTTGCTGCAACATGGCGCTCAGGTGGACGCCACCACGAAGGATATGTACACGGCACTGCATATTGCTGCCAAGGAGGGTCAGGATGAGGTAAAAGATTTGATTGCCAAAAAGATAACGGATCACATCGACACCGTCTACCTGATGCAATTGTTTTGGATACGTCATCAGGAGTTTTTCATTTGAAATTGGCTTTTAAGTTTTATTTTGTATTGTACTTGCTTTTGTTTCTGTTACGTTCATCGAGTATTACGAGTATTGTTGTGTCTTTTGTTATTGTCTCTTATGTTGGCCATAAAAATAAATGTGTCCACTTCTTTAGTATTATCTTGGTACTTATTATTTCGATTTTGTATTTTTTATGATTTTAAGATCATCTACTGTATTTAGTTTAAGCTCATTATCTGAACAGGTAGCTACACAAATGCACCGTTTCGACTTCTAGCGTTATCGAAATGCATCGCATCAATCGATAGGCGATACTTATCGATACAACAAATCGCACATTGAAACACTAGAAATGGCGCACTTAGAAGTACGCTCGCTGTTAATTTACATATATGTTTTTACTTGTGTAGGTGGCCGCTGTGCTGATTGAGAATGGCGCCGCTTTGGATGCGGCCACCAAGAAGGGATTCACGCCACTGCATCTGACGGCTAAGTATGGGCACATTAAGGTCGCCCAACTGCTGCTCCAGAAGGAGGCGGATGTGGATGCGCAGGGCAAGAATGGCGTCACGCCTCTGCATGTGGCCTGCCACTACAACAACCAGCAAGTGGCACTGTTGCTGCTAGAGAAGGGCGCCAGTCCACACGCGACCGCCAAAAATGGACACACACCGCTTCACATAGCGGCGCGCAAGAACCAGATGGACATTGCCACCACTCTGCTGGAGTATGGCGCTCAGGCCAATGCCGAGAGCAAGGCCGGATTTACGCCACTGCATCTAAGCAGCCAGGAGGGACATGCCGAGATTTCCAATCTATTGATCGAGCACAAGGCTGCCGTCAATCATCCAGCCAAAAATGGTCTTACCCCTATGCATCTGTGCGCCCAGGAGGACAACGTAAACGTAGCAGAGATTTTGCAGCGCAACGGCGCCAATATCGACATGGCTACTAAGGCTGGCTACACGCCGCTGCACGTGGCCTCGCACTTCGGCCAGGCTAATATGGTGCGTTTCCTGCTGCAGAACGGCGCCAACATTGACATGGCCACCAAGGCTGGCTATACACCGCTGCATCAGACCGCCCAGCAGGGCCATTGCCACATTGTCAACTTGCTGTTGGAGCACAAGGCGAATGCCAATGCCCAGACCGTCAACGGGCAGACGCCACTGCATATTGCACGCAAGCTGGGCTACATCAGTGTGCTCGATTCTCTGAAGTCGATTACCAAGGAGGATGAGGCAGCCACTGCGCCCGCTCAGACCGAGGAAAAGTATCGCGTAGTGGCGCCAGAGGCCATGCACGAATCCTTCATGTCTGACTCGGAGGAAGAAGGTGGTACGTACATATGTTGCTTTCATATTATGTTATATTTGATTTTTCGAACACATCCATCCTCCACTTGTCTGCCAGCACTCAGACTAACAGCAACACCCTAAGTTATGACTAGTTTTAAGCAAAAATAAAAAACCCGAAAAAATACCCGCTTTTATGTGTGCCGTCAGGTGACACAGATTGGGAATTGGATGCTTGCTACGAGTTTGGCATTGGCGGCGATTGTGCTAACCCCAACCGCCACAGGCCAAACCCTCATGCCTTTCAGCCGTATTACCAGGGCGACTATCTGTATGTGTCCAGTAAGTGTCAATGAACGCTGCAAGGCCAATTGTAAAATTCGTATTCCTACATATTTTGAAGAGTCGACTGCTATCAAGTGCACCACCCAATTGGCAATGATTGGCAACTAAATGGAAACCAAATTAACCAGCACTTTATATGGTTGCTCGCATAATTGTATAAATTATATCTTGACGTTGTTGTTAACACAAGAAACATCAGATTTGCAATGTTTTTACCTGGGCTGCAAACCACAAATTTAGTGGCCGAAGGTTCGAGCCAACTTCCTGCCTTAAGGTTTGGTCTGTTTTTCCACAACTTCAAGCGTTGTCAAAGATTTTCAGAATTCATATGAAATAAATTAATTTTTAATTTATAATTACCCGTTCTACTGAAAATATTGCATGTCGTACATATTTTCACATAGAAGTGCGGGTTAAATTTGATCTCTACCCAAAATTGGCAATCCATAATATATAATTAGATAAAGTGTTTTATGCCGAGTCGGGGCTGAGTCTCCCTCAAAAGCGTTTTATTTTAAGCCAAACCAGTTTTGCAGTCGGTTTGCAGCCTCGGTTTTTTCATCCCTTCAATTTGTTTGATTTATTTTGTGTACTTTACAGAATGAAATCGTAAAGTATTGTAAATCGAGTTTAATTGTTAGATAAATATCGTTTACGGTTTCATTTCCAATGTCCAATTTGTTTGTATTTTAACTGGCCATGTAAATATATCTACAACGGTTAGGTTTCTGGGTTTTTAGAAGAAAGATGAGCAGAAAAACAGCTTGACTTAACAATAATCTATCCATTAAGATAAATGTGGCATGAAAAACTATATGGTAATAATGATAAGATGTATCACATATTATCTATAAACTAAGTTATATATTAATGCTCCTATTTATTATTCATGCTAGCTTTACATATCATCCTACTATATTCATATTGTTAATATACGTAAATATATAAAAAAAAAAAGATATGCATGTAGATTGTACAAAATTTGTCAACTAAAAAAACTCATTTGCGTTCTTCTATTTTCAATGCACCGCGCTCTCATCAACTGCAAAAAACAACAACAACTGAAACTAAATCACCAAACAACACAATACAACAACAACAACAACAACTACTACTACGCTATATGGCCAATTGACTGTCTTGTGCTTAATTGAAATGCGCTGGAATGTAACCGAAATGCTACGCAAATAATCGAACACCAAAATCTAGGCGAAGACAATATGCTATCCGATCAACCTTATCGCTATTTGACCGTTGATGAAATGAAATCCCTAGGCGATGACTCGCTACCAATTGATGTGACTCGGGATGAGCGTATGGACTCCAACCGGATGACCCAAAGTGCCGAGTATGCCGGCGGTGTACCGCCTACAATTGGCGAGGAGATGATCAGTCCGCACAAGGCTCAGGTATATGGCTCCTCGCCCAAGGCAACTGTTGATGGCGTCTACATTGCCAATGGCGTTGGCAATGAAGAGCCACCGCATGTGGGGTAAGTGACTAACTGGAGTGCTTAAATTGTATGTGTCTAATTTGATGTTCTTTAGTCGCAAGCTGAGCTGGAAGAGCTTCCTGGTCTCATTCCTGGTAGATGCACGCGGCGGTGCCATGCGTGGCTGTCGCCACAGCGGCGTGCGCATGATAATTCCGTCGCGCTCCACCTGCCAGCCGACGCGGGTGACCTGCCGCTACGTAAAGCCGCAGCGCACCATGCATCCACCGCAGTTGATGGAGGGTGAGGCCTTAGCCAGCCGCGTGCTGGAACTCGGACCCTGCTCGACGAAGTTCATTGGGCCCGTGGTAATGGAGGTGCCACATTTCGCTTCGCTACGTGGCAAAGAGCGCGAGATTATCATACTTCGTTCCGATAACGGTGAAACCTGGCGCGAGCACACCATAGACAACTCTGAGGAGATCATACACGATGTTATGCAGCAGTGCTTCGAGCCAGAGGGTGAGTGTACTTATTTTTATCTATCCGTTTTGACGTGCAAATAAGGTGTTTGTGCTCCCACAGAAATCGCTCAGCTGGAAGAGCAGGCCGGCAATCATGTCTGCCGCTTTGTCACATATGATTTTCCTCAGTACTTTGCTGTTGTATCGCGCATACGCCAGGAGGTGCACGCCATCGGACCCGAGGGTGGCATGGTCTCGAGCACTGTGGTACCGCAGGTTCAGGCCGTCTTCCCTCAGGGCGCTCTAACCAAGAAAATCAAAGTTGGCTTACAGGTAAACCTCTTTAAACCACGCAAAGGCGTTGCGCCCGAGAAACTACGCAAGATAAGCGTCAATCATGTGCCCAAAAAGAAGCGCTTCTCGCTCATTTGGTAAACACCACTTTATGGGTGCAAGATCTACAAAAAAGTAATCGGTCTACATAGTATATACTAATAATCGTGCATTTAACATACATATACAGCTTCCCTAACGTATAGCAATAACGAAAAGTTTTCCATATATTTAAAATACGCATTTAAATACCAATTAATCAAATACATAGAAGATGTAATACCGTTCCATAAAATCTGTAATACGCGTAGTAGTCGGTGAAGTCAAACCAAATAGATGATATACACATAAATATATTTATATATCTATATATCTATCAAGGCCAGAAAGTAATTTCTAAGGCGTATTCGCAATGAAACCTATTATCAAATCAAAATATTAACATATATTTCAATAGATTTAGATTTGTTTAGAAATATTCCTACTTTGAATGCCTCTCGTTAAACTCTTTTTGTTGGGGGGGCCCAAATGTTATTAATGAAATATGTGCACTTTGTTTGAATATGCTAAATCACGACAGAACTAGTTGAGAATTTTTTTTGGCACTGAGAAGATATTGAAATTATCCACGCTAACTTTATCACAAGAAATAACTACTTTATAGTGACTTGCAATAATACTTATATGAACTAATTAATATATTTATGATGATTGATCATGGATCATGCGACTTATGGCAGATCGCGTAATTACTTAAAGCTTAATACTTAAACAATAATACGATTGTCCAGTTGATCGAGACATATTAAGTATATACACAACAATTTAATACTATATATATGGTATATATATATATTTATGCCTATTATTATTAATTTATCATACTTGGTAAAATTACATATGCATAAGATTATAAAAGTTTTCTGAAATGAAGTACTACCCAATAAATTTAGTTCAACAAAAACTTTATACCAATGAAAATCTTTTCATTAATTTTCATTTTATTAATTCATTTTTCATTAAATTGCTTTTTTGAGAATAATAAAACAATGAAAACATTCTAAAATATACAAAACAGATGTATATATGTATTGTTAAAGTGCTTAGACCGTTACAATTGGGTTCGGTTCTGAAGTGCCTAACGAAGTTGTAACATTTTAGCCATGCTGTAAACAAAAAACGATTTTATGATGGCCCCACTCATGAGTTCAAATTTTAGCACATATTATTTGCATTTTGTATATTTCAATAATCTAGATATACATATATAAAATGTATATTTTCTTATTAATTTTTCAAACTCTTCGTTTTCTAGAGTATTAAGTTGTAGTCAAAGTTTTTTTGATGACTAAATTTATTGGGACATAAATGGGCTTGAACATTGTTATTGTTTGTAGTTAACATATGCTGTATTTAACTAAAACATGCGATTGCTCAATATAACCATAAAAATAATAGTATGAATGATACATCCAAACTAAATAAGCATTGTAAAATAATATACAAGAAGGAGAAAAAATGTTCACCATTTAGCCCAAAACTCATTTCATTTGTCTGTCGTTTTTAATTGTTTTATTTGTATTTTATCATTTGAATTATATGCATAATTATATGTACAGACAATATAAGCAAACAAATGGCGCATAATTCGTATATACATATATATACTTTTCATTAAACATTTGATTTTATTTAGTTGATTTGTCTCATGCCTCATATTTTAAGAATGGCCGAAAATCGATTTTTTTGTCTACAGTGTCGAAAATTCGTTACATTTCTAGGCCCAACCGGTTGATCCTGATCTAACTGCTAAGCTGCTGGGTCGCGGCGTTGCCGTATCGCCGATTGTAACGGTCGAGCCGCGCCGGCGCAAGTTCCACAAGGCAATCACACTGAGCATGCCCGCCCCGAAGGCGCACAGCCAGGGTATGATCAATCAATATTCGGGCAATACGCCAACTTTGCGTCTGCTGTGTTCAATAACAGGTATGTTATAATTGTTACCGTCTCACCTATATGTTTTTGTGTTGTTGTAAAATGTGCTCATAGCAATTACATAAATAATGAGTATTTACTTAACATTACGTTTTGTTAGTTGTTGTTTTATGAGTAACTTCCCGAAGCCTCTCTCTGTACCCTCAGCTTTCATTTCTATTAATTCCTATTTAAGTGTTTGTTCCGTATTAGTTTGAATTAGTTTCTATTCGCCTTTGTTTCGGTCCTAATAAACTCTTGTCTGTATTTAGTATGATTTCGTTAAGTATTCCTTTATTTAACTTGTCTATCAAATTAACTATAATGTACTACATACAATTATCATGTACTATATATATACTACATGCCATATATCTATATACATAATGTTGTACAGTGAAAATTGCCAAATTATATAAAGAACATATTGAAATTATATCAAGTTCGTGAATTGCCAATATCCAGGTCGCATTTGATAGAAACAATGTGCTTGTGTCTGTGTAGTTGATGCGTATAACTTGTTCGGGTTAAACTATTTAGTCGAATTAACATGAAATTAAATATACATTAGTCTCGTTTTTATTCAATTACCTACTACATTAAGTGAGTTGTTACAGTAATCGTAACAGTAACAGTAACAGTAACCATTTTAGTAGCCGTAACCGTAACAGTAACAGTAACAGCCACCGTAACAGCAACAGCAAAAGCATAGTAAATTTCATTCACCCTCGCATACAGACATAGATACGCTCATACTCCAAACTACACCCACACAAATACAGATACAAATACGAATCCTCTCTCACACATATTCGTACTCAATTAAATGTTATGCTCAGTGTCATCATTGTGCCAACAGTGTTTGCTCCAGTATATATACTATATTTGTCATTGTTTCTTATTTATATGTACATAAATACTGTTTATTTTCTATGATTTCCGTTAAATTACTTTAATATGATTATGATTTGTTTAACAAAGCAAAACTTAAAACAAAAACAAAAACAAAAACTACAAACAAACAAATAGTTTAATTCAAGTCATAATTGAAATTGTATTTAATTGTTCTATAATTTTGTACTAATGCGTCAATGCATATGTGCACGCATTCCATTCTGTTTTCTCAATCCATTGAAGGTGTGTTTCGGAAAAGGTCTCTAAAAGGTAACTAAAAAATGAAAAATGTCCAAAATAAAATAAAATAAATTCAGAAATTCACAAACATGTATGAAGTTTTAAATTGAAACTGTTTACAAAATAAACAAAATATTTGTTCATATTTAGTTGTTTCGTTCTATGCCAAAATAATTAACAATAACAACATAGTTACTTATATTGAAAATCAATCGATTATCAAAATACAAACGAAAACAAAAATTAAGCAAATTTCAATCAAAAAAACAAAATAATAATAATGTTATTACAAACAAAATATTTGAAAATTCTGCATATTTTATTAAAAAAAAAAAAAAAACTAAAACTATTGCAAATATTTATAAAACTATTTTTTTGTATCTATGCTTTAAAATTATGTTTTCGTTTTGTTCTATTTTTGCATTTATTTATTTACCTCATTTTTAAATCTCTTTTAAATTTAAACTTTTTGCCTTGATTCGGGTTGCGCTGCGTCTTTGGGGTTTTTGTAATATAAAATATAAAAACAACAGAAAAAGAAGCTCAGGACCACTCTCTATTGGGCCTTACTTTTGACTCTTCCATACAGCATAGTTCTCTATGCCCAGGCCATGTTAATGTTGTGCTTCTCTAGCTCAAAGCAGCTTCGTTTTTTGAAGTAAGCTTACTTTCCAATTCACTTTTAAGAACCTTAAGCTTGTCATACAAACATCTTTGCTGCGTTCTCTCTCTCTCTAATCTACTTACAATAACTACAAACTAATTAAAGAATTTCTGATTGCACGCGGTTTTACTATTCATATATAAATTGCACATTTTCATTAAAACGTTAATAGGTCTCGAATAAGAAGATTTATAAGAAAATGCTAAACGCTAAAGTTGCTCTTTGGGCCAAACGAACCGAATTGAAATCAAGACCATGTATTTGTGCCAGACTAAATCAATTTTATTCGATCTTATTTTCAATTTCTATCTGTATGTTAATTTTTATCGAGTTCTTGATTTGGAATGTCATGCACTTAAGGTAATTCGTAGATTCGTTAGTTATATTAGAGTGTTCAGATTTTAGTTTTGTGTCGTTTATTTTTGTTCTTTTCTTTCTTATAAGTTCAACATAAAGCAGAATATATTCATATATTATGTATAAATTGTTTTCCAAAAACCGAAATCAATTTCGAATTTCAACTGTTTGTGGCCCCAAAGAGAACTTTTCTGAAACCGAAATAAAAAAACCAAAACGATAAATATTCATACACAAAAAAAATAAAATAAAATAGAAACTGCAAGAGTTATTGACGAACTTTAAAAGAAAATTAATTTAAAGCTATGGCAAGCCCTATTATATACAAACAAACAATATATTTTGTTTAATGTATATAAAAAAGTTGATAGTATTTTAGTTATTTATAAACATGTTTTCTTATAATTATATGATTTATTGTTGTTATATTTTGATTTTTATTATGTATTGTTATTTTTTTATTTATTTTGATTTTCTACACATTTACCAGAAACACGTGACACGCTCACTTAATTATCATTAAAAACCTACTAATTTTATTATTCCAAAATATTTAGCATGTTGTTTCAAAATGGCTTCAAAGTCCGCGTAACAAGTACATTTGTACCTGTATCCCTGTAAATGCTAAAGTCCTATAAAGCTATCTAATAAATACATAATATGCTTGAATCCCAAGTGCTACATTTACATATCCACACTATACACACACACACACATATGTACATCTACCCATAATATATACAAGGCTTAGACCTAATCCAGTCACTGCATCACATTAATCTGTATGCCACAGAGACACAGACCACAAGAAACAATTTACTAATTTTTCTATAACTTTTGCGCTAAATACATATTGATACTTTTTAGAAATAATGAAACTTAATACTTTTCAATAATAATAATCTTACCATACAATTGCTTTGTAATTAACACACGATCGTATTTCTCTCTCTTTCAAAACTTTTGAGTTGAGTTTACGTTTTCGAATTAGTTGACCAATTTTCAAATTCTATAACGATCTGCTAATAAGACATAAGTAGAGTTTTCAAAGAGTTTTTAATATTTAGCATATGCGTATCCTTTGCCTTGATGTATGCTTGAAAATTGAACATCTTATTACCTCCATCAACCACCAGGCGGACCATCCCGAGCCCAATGGGAGGACGTAACCGGTTCCACACCGTTGACATTTGTCAACGATTGTGTCTCGTTCACGACCACAGTTTCTGCACGTTTCTGGCTAATGGATTGCCGCAACATTTCTGATGCAACCAAAATGGCAACAGAGCTGTACAAGTAAGTGTCCATCAGGGAGCAATGATATGCTCTAGTTAGAGATCTACTGACCATGTCGTTTATAGGGAAGTCATTCACGTGCCCTTCATAGCCAGATTTGTGGTATTTGCCAAAAAAATAGAACCCTTCGAGGCACGCCTACGTGTTTTCTGCATGACTGACGATCGCGAGGATAAGACACTTGAGAAACACGAGCTATATACGGAGGTCGCCAAGAGCCGCGATGTTGAGGTGCTTGAGGGCAAGCCCCAGTACATTGAAATGGCCGGTAACCTGGTGCCCGTTACCAAGTCGGGTGATCAGTTGCAGCTGCAGTTCAAAGCCTTCCGCGAGAACCGTTTGCCATTCACGGTGCGCGTAAAGGATCAGCACGCAGATATTGTTGGTCGCACGCTGTTCATGAAGGAACCCAAAGTGGCTAAGGGTGAACCACCCCAGCAACCCATTTGCATACTAAATATTGTATTGCCGGAAGCCGTCATACCCGATTCGACGACAGCGTTCTCAGAACGGGTCTCTTCTGCCTATCGCACCTCGATGTTCAGCTTGAGCAAGCATCAAAACGACCATTACATTGGTGATATACGCATTGTAGATCTGTCCAATTTATTGGGCAAAGATTGGATACAACTGGCACCAGAGATAGGTATAACCGCTGATGAGATCGATGAAATCATCAACCAAAATACGGACAGCATTGCGCGACAGGCGCAGAGCATGATTCGTTTGTATAAAGATAAGCCAAACTATGATATTTTGGCTCTGGAAACGGCGCTTAAGAACATTGGACGCGACGATATCATGAAGAAGTGCAAAAGTGGAAGACTATCGCACTCACGCGAATTTGACGAGGCGGATCTCATGAAGAACTCCGAATCCGTAGAGGAGCTAGTTCGCAGAGAAAGTAAGTACTCGGATACTTTGTGGTGTAAAAAAGTAAATAGCTTATTGTTTATTTTTAGGCAAGCGAATCCAGCAAATCAATGAGCGCGAAGAAGTTAAATACTCCGCCGAGGAGAAGGAAGTCGAAGAGTCTGAGTCCGATGAGGAGCCAGCAAAACGAACCGTTGCCGAACGCCGAGAGAAAATTGTGAAACGTCTTTCAGTGGAACGCTCCATACCAGCCTCAACCCAAAAGAAGGAAATTACACGAGAGATAACCGAAATCAAACGCAAGAGTTTGATTGAGGATAAAAAGGCACATCACGAATCAGAGATTCTGATGCAATTACCCGCCGACAATGTCATAATAAAAACGGCGACTGTGCCCGAGCAGGTCATCAAAATGAAGATGGGTAAAATGGATTCGGCCGAAGTGAGCAAAACCGAATTTGACAGGGAGTTGACGCACAAGTTGAAAACTTCCGGGCGCAGCTCTGAGGAAGAAGAGGTACCTTCTCCAGACAAGATTGATAAGATTGTCCAGGACATTAGCACCGCTGAGAAGACAGCCAAGAAGGACACGGCTACCACTAGTCGAGTGGCTACAATTACCCGCCAGGAAGCACGTGATATGACCGAAGATTTCCTGGAATTCGAAAAGCGCAGCCAATTACCAGCTGCTACAACAACGGCAACGGTTCACGAGAAATTCGTAGAGGAGATCAAAGAAAAGACAAGTCCAGTGGCAGCAATGGCACAGGATACGATTAGAGAGGTCGAACAGGTCATTAGCGAGGTAACCGAAACTGCCAGTAAGAAGGTGGAGAATATAATAAGTTCTTTCGAGAGTGGCAAACAGGAGATCAAGGAGAAGAGCACAGTGCTGGCCAGTGAGGTCGCCAAAGAAACAACGAAGGTCAGCGAGACCATAAAACATCTACAAGATGCACAGTCTTTATCTATTGAAGAGTCCGCCAAAACAGTCCAAATAGTGGAGAGCACAAAGATTGACGAAAAAATTGCTGATTTCGAGGCCAAAAAGGTTAAATACGATTTCCACGGCGGAGAACCAAAGACACATATACCAAAACCTGTTAAGAAATCTAGCGAGGACTCGCCTAAACCTACAGCGGCTCCTCGTGCCGCAGCTGAATCTGACTTTGAGAAACCATCTGAAGCAAAGGTGGAGAAGCATCTTTCCAAAATACCAGTCAAAACTGGCGAGGCTGCAAAGATTGCCGAAGTGGATGCACGAAAATTGACACAAGATTTTCTGCAAGCTGAGCAAAAGGCCCAACTGGCGGCTGCTGCTGAACATAAAACTGCTGCTGAACATAAAGCTGCTGCTGAGCATAAAGCAGCTCCGGCTGCAAGTAAGATACCTAAAGTGGAGCCCAGAAAATCGGTGGAGAAGCCGGTAGAAAAAGAGACGAAAGTCTTTGATGATATTGTTCTATCTACTGCCACCATAATGACATCTGGAATGGCTAGCGAGCCTCCAAAAGAACAACCGGAAATTGCTGCCAAGGCCGAAACTGTGACGGAAAAGTTGACCGATCTGATTCACACTTTCCACAAACTCGAAGATAGACTTAACAAAACTGAAAAGCCCCTGGAAATAACTAGCAAGGTGGTGGAGCTCGCAGGCACAAAGGAGGAGCCTTTAACTACAGCTCAACAAGAACTACCAAAATTGTCTAAAAAGGAAGACAAAGTCGCAGAAAAGGTTGCCGAAGTTGTCGAGACATTCCACAAAATCGAGGAGCACATCGTCCTTGATACTCACAAGCAAACTCATGATTTCCTTAGCATGGAACAGCAGAGCCAACTGCCCAGCATGCATAGTGCAATTGAGAAGATGCTCGAGTCCAGCCAGACGTCAACAGCTTCTGAGCCCGAATCATTGATAACTGTGAAGGCAGCGCCTCCCGCTAGTAAAATACCAGTAGTGGAGCCCAGAAAAGCTTTGGTTGAGGAAACACTGAAGCCAGCTGAAGTATCAGCACAACTTAAGGAACGTCAGCTCACAGCGGACTTCCTTCACATGGAGCAGCAAACCCAGCTGGAGTCTCAGCCTCAAAAGAACACAACGGCTAGCGCTGAAGTGACTATCTTGCCTGAAATCAATCAGCCACAACTTGCTGCCAAGGAACCTACTGCTATCGCTGATATTAGTACAACCATAGTAAAGGAACCAACAGCCACTAAATTAGAGCCCGACACAAAGATCGTTTCGGAAGATGGCATTGAGTCGGCGGCGCCAATTGGTGAAGTATCACCATTTGCCACACGCAAGTTAACCGCCGATTTCCTAACCATGGAGCAACAGACTCAGCTGCCCAGCGCTGTTAAAGACATTGGCTCATACGATAGTGATACATTCGACAAACGAGCCACAGTCCCATTGAGCGACATCGTTAAGGAAGCGGGACTCTGTGCACCGCTGCCCATTGAGCCGCGCAAGTCGCTTACCGATGCGGAGTTTTGCAAATATGTGGGTGATACGATAACAAAAAAGATGAGCGAGGGTTTAATCGAAATGTCAGATGAGCTCAAACAATTAGGTGAGCTAGGTGGCAATGAATACCGTATATAATGATTATACTTATGCAATTTTTTATGGAATTTTTAGCGAGCGACATTCCAGACTCCCAAACTCCGCCACCCACACCGAGTGATGCCAAAACTGAGAAGCAGGAGGAGCAAACCGATCTGGGCGAGCTAGAGCGTGGTAAATTGAGGATAAATGCATAAAATTACCGAATTAACTGATTGAAATAATTAACCATATAGATTATCTAGCCGACACTGTGACAACGCTGCACACAACTACAGAGTCGACCTTTGAGCGTGTTGCTGCCATTTCCACAGTTGGTAAGTGCACGTTAAAATTGCTGCCTCTTTTATGCAATTAACGTATTTGTTATGTAAATTGATTTACCAACGTTTTATGTTTGCCTTTTTGGTAAAAGAAAATGAACTCGTAACACCCCGTTTCTTGATTTCTCATATGATTTTTGAGCCATCTGTAGTGTATTCTTTTGTTTATCGACCAACATTTGTGTTAGTACAAGTAATTGTTTTATGTTCCTCTTATTGTTATGTTGAACTCATTTCGTTTGAACTAAAATCCAAAGGCTTTTTGTATGCAAACAACCATTCATTAAAAACGATTCAATGGAAACGACAAAATAGTTCATTGTTAACAATTAATTGTAAAGCATAACCAACGAACTGCTAGTGTGTATATCTTAATCAAAAAAGTCTGTAAGTGAAAAAACCATAATTCGCAACTTAAGTTTGAAGCTCAGCGAGTGAATGGCCAGCAGGTGGTGACAAATAGCTCACAAAGAAAATGTCGTGATACCGTTGAAACGCAGTACTGTACCAACATTTGGTTAGCTAAATCCAATTACCTGCGCCCGCTTCCAGCCAAAGGTCGTGGAAATGAGGAAAGCAACAGCCGAGAAAATTCCTAATATTTTACGTTTTGTCTGGCGCCTTTGTTATTGTGACCAACTAACATTCAAAAGTGACAATGTCAACACTTAATATCCGTCTGCGGGTCAGTCCGAATCGATAAAAAGATTGCATTCTTTTCCCTACGAATAGTTTCAAAGGTTTTACAACATATCAAACAAATAAATTTCAATAAAGCAACAACATTTAATTGAATATAGCTAGATCTAGTCAGATATAGCCAGTATATGTTTCATTTAATAGTTTGCCTCACCTCCTCGTAGTCTGGGGTGCACAATGTTGCGCACTTATGTCATTGCGCAGGCCACAAAGCAATCGCACAAGAGGTACGCGCTGGCGTATACTTAATTTAATTTGTTTCGTTCATTTGCGTGTAGTGCGGCAGCTAGCAAAACTTTGTTGCAGATTTAGTTACACATTTGTATTTCCCAAGTACGCGTGACGGTAATACGTAGCTAATTTTCTTGTGAATACGCCGTCTTCTGGCCAGAAACCCATAATTGTGTCCTAATTTGTTTGTGTTTCTTGTGCATTTGTTGAATCAAATATTAAATACAATTTAGTAACCGAGCATTGTAGCGTTGAGTTGTTGTTTGTGGTTTATTCAATGCATTAATAAATCAATTAAAATATAAAACAAGACATTTCTAAATCTAGAATAAATAAACTACACTAAACGTAAAAAGAACCAACACTAAAGTAACTTTAAGTATTGTAATTTATGGTAAGTTCTGAAAAGCAAGTTTTGTGCAATCAATTTGAAAAGTTGCCTTTGTAATGGTTAAAAATCAAAAAAGTCCCTAACAAATATGATGGGTATCGCTAATAGGTCTCTCTACATCCAATTCTCTATCTTTTTAGTGATATAATCATAAAATAATTGTTTTTATCTACCATGAAAAACGACAATTACGTTTGCAATTTTTAACAATTATTTAAGCAATTCAGTTTATGTTTTTGTCAAATACTGCAAGCTACAATAATTGATTCAATTTGTATAACTTTAAAATACAATAAGTACAATTACAAGTTAAGCCAATAATTTTTTTGTACATATAGTACATATATTATAATGTACAGAGAACTTGTAGTATACGATTTTTTTCATTAAGATAAACACTTTTGGCATACCGATTTTCAAAATTTCAATTCGAACTACATAAAAAACATATGTGAAACGTAATGTGTATTGTGATCTTAAATGAGTTGAGCGACACGAAATTGTCCAATTCCATTGTGATCTCATGCATTTCGATCCCAATATGCCGCATTCAGCACTCCAATACCAATTTCAATATCTCAAAACCACCATGGCTTTAAGTTTACAATATTTTTAATTTATTTGATTTATGCAAATAATTATATTCTGTTGCTTTTCGTAATTTTTGTGAGTCCTTAACGAAAAAGCATTGTACTCTCATCTAAACCACGAATATCCTAACTAAATGTTTAGTATAAAAAAAAAATTAAAAAAATAACATTAAAACTCACAGTAGCGGTTACGTAAACATGCATAGAATAAATCGTATAAATCGTTTAGTTTATAGATTATTTGCATTTTGCATTTCCGGCTTTTAACAACAACAACAAAAACCACACTCTAAGTTGATTTGTATGCACCCCTAACGCGCTTCCGTATCTAATTGGCAATATACTATGTATAATGTATATGTATATGTAAATGTAATAGTTAGATTGAAAAAATATTTACAATACTTGGCATTGTATTGTCCAATTCTTGAGAGCATATCGCATTACCGTATGTGACATATGATGTCGTGGCATAATTATACTTGCAGTACTTGCTAATTTTGTCTTTTAAGTTTGTTCCAAACAATTAAACATATATACATATTGCTTAAATATTCTTGTGAAAAATATGCAAACGTAATCGAACAAATTTAATGTTCAGTTTTGTTGAATGTATTTGAATTGAGACGAGGCTACAGCAGAAAAGGGCAAGGAATCCACGACTTCATATAAAGCATACTAGAGTAAATGATATGAGAGAATATCGATTGCTCTCTGCCATCTGTCTATCCAGACATTTTGTTCTGCTTTTCAAACTAACTATGTTACTTAACAAGCGCATTTACTTATATCGTACCACAAATTGCATGTTTGTGCCTGCTGCTGGGTTTTTTGGCGTACAGCTTGTAGTTATGCGGCGAATTCTGAACGCCTGATCAATTGCACTGTGTATATAAACTAACCCACCATATAAGTCTGGTTTGTTTGTAATAGGAGTTAACTGTCTTAATATTGCCTTGTTTCTACTTCTTAAAATTGCGCTATCCTGGAACGCCTCAAACAGAGCACTTCAGTGTTCATAATGTTAAATCCGAAACATTTACAAGTACAGATGAAACTGACAAGCTGCTTCATAGAATGGCAGCTGACCCTAATATCCAGATACCATACTTACCAGACACTACCTCATTTACAGAAATGAGTGCAAGTAGTCCAACTCCGAAACCGAAGACAACGACCACAACAACGACCCTGTCTACGAAAGTAGAACGCACCAAAATAGATTTAACTGCGACACCAAACGAGCAGCAGCAGAAAGATCATTTTAAGACGGAGCTGGATAATGTCCAGCGAGATGCTGGCGATAGGGAGTATTTAGAGCAGATAATGGGCTGTGGTGATGTGAGACGCAAGATATTGCGTTTGGAGAGCAGTGGCAGTACGGAGTCCTTGGAATCCAGCGCCACACCACAGAGTCTGCCACCCAAGTACATAGGCGATAAGGTGCCAGTTGTTAAGGATGTGGTACAGAGTATTGAGAATAAAATCAGCGGCACAGTGGTTGAGGCTATTCCCTTTTCTGTACAAAAGCGAACAACAGATCATAAAGAGCCGAACATACTTGAGGTAGAGAAGCAAATTCTTACAGCTGCAGATATTGCATTGGATAAGTTGACCAAATGCGAACCACCTGCTGAAGTTGTAAAATTATCACCCGTCGAGGCAATGGAGCGTGGAGCAATTGGTATGGCGCACATTGAGGAGGCGGTTTGCGAGAGGGTTTGTGAGAAGCGAAAGGCCTTTGAGGTCGCAGAAGACTTAAATGAAACGCAAAAGACTTTGGAAGAACAGGTAGTAGGTTTAAATAGGCAAGTAAAACAGGTACCTGGCAACATTTTAACAGCAAGTATTGATGAACACAACAAATTAGTAAGTAAGGAACAAGAACTAGAGACATTACCAAAAGTAAAAGATGTCATCCAAGATATTGAACGGAGATATCCCTCAACGAACTTAGAAGTCACACCGTTTAGTCCACGTAAACGTGAAATTGTAGATCGCAAGGCTGATATATCCTCCATAGAACAACAGATTTTAAATGAAACTGACTTGGTATTAGAAAACTTGGCTACAAAACGTGTTGCAGAACAGAAGATAGTTTCACCTGTTTTAGAAACGGGTAAAACAGGCACAAGTATTGAAGACCTTGAATCTGTGTGCGAAAAGAAGTGCTCTAAGCGTAAAGTTTTTGATATGGCAACAGCGTTTAGTAAAGAACCACATAGTGAAGATATAAAATCAGCGACAGCTAAATTTTTGTCAGACGAAAAAACAAACTATGATGTATCTGAAAGTATTAACAAAACACTGGAAAGTGATTATAATATTTTAGATGAAAGTGGTAAACACGAATTTCCAATGGAATCAACTAAGGGCGCCAAAGAAGTAGTTTTTCCGAAACATGCACATACATTTGAGCGATTGCATTCAATTTCAAAAGCTGATATTGAAGACACAAAAGAATATATAAACGTTACAACTGAGTACGAAAGGAGACTTAGTAAATTATTTACAGACGAAATCGGCCCGATATCTCAGTCTGATAATACAAAAGTAGAGATAGAAGTATTAGAAAAGTTTCCAACCTATGACAAAAATGATATGATATCAAACACATCATTTGATGAGGCTAAAATCCAACAAACAAGTGAATTTATGACAATATTCCCTGCAGATTTACAAAAAATAGAAAATGAGAGTGAGAGTGACGAGGAGATTGACCATCGTGAAAAACTACAAGAAATCAAGCTATCCCAAATTGAAAAGGTTCCAAAAAAACCTGTAGGTCAGATCACATATGCAAGCGAAACCGAAACCACAGGTTTCAATAAAAATGAAAATAGAAAGTTTCCAACAAAGGAACATTTAGACCAGACAAAACTTCATCTTAATACCTCCAACGAAAAAGTTGACCTCAATAAAGAGGATCCATATATTTTCTCTCAACCTTTTTATTTAACAAATCCATTGCAGACACAAGCTAAACTATCTGAAAACACCAGGTCCCCCATTGAGGCATCTAAGCAAATTCTAAAGAAATATTCTGATGATAAAGATATTGGATTTGACAAGCCTACAGAAAGGCCCCTTTCCTCAGCCATACCCTTGGTACCTCTAGCAATGACGACAAGCAAAATTACTTCCGTGAGTGATACTCGCGAGTCCGTTGATATTCAGATCAAAGATGTAGTGAAGCTGCCCATGGATCCTGTAAAATCTGTTGAGAAACCCAAATCTCCAACTGTTGTAGCGAAGACAGTTTCAAAGGGATATTCAGACGATGAGAGTGATGACGAACTTGGAATTGTTAAGCCATTAGATAAGCCTCTTCCTTCAACCACTCCTCTGCTGCCACTTGCAGACAAGACCCTGCAGAAAACTGACGATATTGTTAAACCACTGACTGACTTGAAGGACGATAAGCCACAAGCTAAATTAGATGAGAAACCCAAGTCCCCGATTGAAGCATCCAAGCAAACTCTTAAGGAATATTCTGATGATGAAAGTGATGAAGATATTGGATTTGATAAGCCTACAGAAAAGCCCCTTTCCTCAGCCATACCCTTGGTACCACTAGCAATGACGACAAGCACAATTACTTCTGTGAGTGAAACACGCGAGTCTGTTGATATTCATATCAAAGATGTAGTGAAGCTGCCCATGGATCCTGTAAAATCTGTTGAGAAACCCAAATCCCCAACTGATGTAGCCAAGTCAGTTTCAAAGGGGTATTCAGACGATGAGAGTGATGACGAGTTTGGAATTGTTAAGCCACTAGATAAGCCTATTTCTTCAGCCACTCCTCTGCTGCTACTTGCAGACAAGACATTGCAGAAAACTGACGATATTATTAAACCACTGACTGACTTGAAGGACGATAAGCCACAATCTAAATTAGATGAGAAACCCAAGTCCCCCATTGATGCATCCAAGCAGACTCTTAAGGAATATTCTGATGATGAAAGTGATGAAGATATTGGATTTGATAAGCCTGCAGAAAAGCCCCTTTCCTCAGCCATACCCCTGGTACCACTAGCAATGACGACAAGCACATTTACTTCTGTGAGTGAAACACGCGAGTCTGTTGATATTCATATCAAAGATGTAGTGAAGCTGCCCATGGATCCTGTAAAATCGGTTGAGAAACCCAAATCCCCAACTGATGTAGCCAAGTCAGTTTCAAAGGGGTATTCAGACGATGAGAGTGATGACGAGTTTGGAATTCTTAAGCCACTAGATAAGCCTATTTCTTCAGCCACTCCTCTGCTGCTACTTGCAGACAAGACATTGCAGAAAACTGACGATATTATTAAACCACTGACTGACTTGAAGGACGATAAGCCACAATCTAAATTAGATGAGAAACCCAAGTCCCCCATTGATGCATCCAAGCAGACTCTTAAGGAATATTCTGATGATGAAAGTGATGAAGATATTGGATTTGATAAGCCTGCAGAAAAGCCCCTTTCCTCAGCCATACCCCTGGTACCACTAGCAATGACGACAAGCACAATTACTTCTGTGAGTGAAACACGCGAGTCTGTTGATATTCATATCAAAGATGTAGTGAAGCTGCCCATGGATCCTGTAAAATCTGTTGAGAAACCCAAATCCCCAACTGATGTAGCGAAGACAGTTTCAAAGGGGTATTCAGACGATGAGAGTGTTGACGAATTTGGAATTGTTAAGCCACTAGATAAACCTCTTCCTTCAACCACTCCTCTGCTGCTACTTGCAGACAAGACCCTGCAGAAAACTGACGATATTGTTAAACCACTGACTGACTTGAAGGACGATAAGCCACAAGCTAAATTAGATGAGAAACCCAAGTCCCCGATTGAAGCATCCAAGCAAACTCCTAAGGAATATTCTGATGATGAAAGTGATGAAGATATTGGATTTAATAAGCCTACAGAAAAGCCCCTTTCCTCAGCCATACCCCTGGTACCACTAGCAATGACGACAAGCACAATTACTTCTGTGAGTGAAACACGCGAGTCTGTTGATATTCATATCAAAGATGTAGTGAAGCTGCCCATGGATCCTGTAAAATCTGTTGAGAAACCCAAATCCCCAACTGATGTAGCCAAGTCAGTTTCAAAGGGGTATTCAGACGATGAGAGTGATGACGAATTTGGAATTGTTAAGCCATTAGATAAGCCTCTTCTATCAACCACTCCTCTGCTGCTACTTGCAGACAAGACCCTGCAGAAAACTGACGATATTGTTAAACCACTGACTGACTTGAAGGACGATAAGCCACAAGCTAAATTAGATGAGAAACCCAAGTCCCCGATTGAAGCATCCAAGCAAACTCTTAAGGAATATTCTGATAATGAAAGTGATGAAGAGATTTGTTTCGACAAGCCTCAAGGCAAACTCCTTCCCTTCACCACACCTCTGGTACCTCTAGCTATGACTACAACCAAAATTACTTCCGTGAGCGATACTCGCGAGTCCGTTGATATTCAGATCAAAGATGTAGTGAAGCTGCCCATGGATCCTGTAAAATCAGTTGAGAAACCCAAATCTCCAACTGTTGTAGCCAAGTCAGTTTCAAGGGGGTATTCAGACGATGAGAGTGATGACGAATTTGGAATTGTTAAGCCATTAGATAAGCCTCTTCTATCAACCACTCCTCTGCTGCTACTTGCAGACAAGACCCTGCAGAAAACTGACGATATTGTTAAACCACTGACTGACTTGAAGGACGATAAGCCACAAGCTAAATTAGATGAGAAACCCAAGTCCCCGATTGAAGCATCCAAGCAAACTCTTAAGGAATATTCTGATGATGAAAGTGATGAAGAGATTTGTTTGGACAATCCTCATGATAAACTCCTTCCCTTCACCACACCTCTAGCAATGACGACAAGCAAAATTACTTCCGTGAGTGATACTCGCGAGTCCGTTGATATTCAGATCAAAGATGTAGTGAAGCTGCCCATGGATCCTGTAAAATCTGTTGAGAAACCCAAATCCCCAACTGATGTAGCCAAGTCAGTTTCAAAGGGGTATTCAGACGATGAGAGTGATGACGAATTTGAAATTGTTAAGCCACTAGATAAGCCTCTTCTATCAACCACTCCTCTGCTGCTACTTGCAGACAAGACCCTGCAGAAAACTGACGATATTGTTAAACCACTGACTGACTTGAAGGACGATAAGCCACAAGCTAAATTAGATGAGAAACCCAAGTCCCCCATTGATGCATTCAAGCAAACTCTTAAGGAATATTCTGATAATGAAAGTGATGAAGAGATTTGTTTCGACAAGCCTCAAGGCAAACTCCTTCCCTTCACCACACCTCTGGTACCTCTAGCTATGACTACAACCAAAATTACTTCCGTGAGCGATACTCGCGAGTCCGTTGATATTCAGATCAAAGATGTAGTGAAGCTGCCCATGGATCCTGTAAAATCAGTTGAGAAACCCAAATCTCCAACTGTTGTAGCGAAGACAGTTTCAAAGGGATATTCCGACGATGAGAGTGATGACGAACTTGGAATTGTTAAGCCACTAGATAAACCTCTTCCTTCAACCACTCCTCTGCTGCTACTTGCAGACAAGACCCTGCAGAAAACTGACGATATTGTTAAACCACTGACTGACTTGAAGGACGATAAGCCACAATCTAAATTAGATGAGAAACCCAAGTCCCCGATTGAAGCATCCAAGCAAACTCCTAAGGAATATTCTGATGATGAAAGTGATGAAGATATTGGATTTGATAAGCCTACAGAAAAGCCCCTTTCCTCAGCCATACCCCTGGTACCACTAGCAATGACGACAAGCACAATTACTTCTGTGAGTGAAACACGCGAGTCTGTTGATATTCATATCAAAGATGTAGTGAAGCTGCCCATGGATCCTGTAAAATCTGTTGAGAAACCCAAATCCCCAACTGATGTAAGCAAGTCAGTTTCAAAGGGGTATTCAGACGATGAGAGTGATGACGGAATTGGAATTGTTAAGCCACTAGATAAGCCTCTTCCTTCAACCACTCCTCTGCTGCTACTTGCAGACAAGACCCTGCAGAAAACTGACGATATTGTTAAACCACTGACTGACTTGAAGGACGATAAGCCACAAGCTAAATTAGATGAGAAACCCAAGTCCCCGATTGAAGCATCCAAGCAAACTCCTAAGGAATATTCTGATGATGAAAGTGATGAAGATATTGGATTTGATAAGCCTACAGAAAAGCCCCTTTCCTCAGCCATACCCCTGGTACCACTAGCAATGACGACAAGCACAATTACTTCTGTGAGTGAAACACGCGAGTCTGTTGATATTCATATCAAAGATGTAGTGAAGGTGCCCATGGATCCTGTAAAATCTGTTGAGAAACCCAAATCCCCAACTGATGTAGCCAAGTCAGTTTCAAAGGGGTATTCAGACGATGAGAGTGATGACGGAATTGGAATTGTTAAGCCACTAGATAAGCCTCTTCCTTCGACCACTCCTCTGCAGCTACTTGCAGACAAGACCCTGCAGAAAACTGACGATATTGTTAAACCACTGACTGACTTGAAGGACGATAAGCCACAAGCTAAATTAGATGAGAAACCCAAGTCCTCGATTGAAGCATCCAAGCAAACTCCTAAGGAATATTCTGATGATGAAAGTGATGAAGATATTGGATTTGATAAGCCTACAGAAAAGCCCCTTTCCTCAGCCATACCCCGGGTAGCACTAGCAATGACGACAAGCACAATTACTTCTGTGAGTGAAACACGCGAGTCTGTTGATATTCATATCAAAGATGTAGTGAAGCTGCCCATGGATCCTGTAAAATCTGTTGAGAAACCCAAATCCCCAACTGATGTAGCCAAGTCAGTTTCAAAGGGGTATTCAGACGATGAGAGTGATGACGGAATTGGAATTGTTAAGCCACTAGATAAGCCTCTTCATTCGACCACTCCTCTGCAGCTACTTGCAGACAAGACCCTGCAGAAAACTGACGATATTGTTAAACCACTGACTGACTTGAAGGACGATAAGCCACAAGCTAAATTAGATGAGAAACCCAAGTCCTCGATTGAAGCATCCAAGCAAACTCTTAAGGAATATTCTGATGATGAAAGTGATGAAGATATTGGATTTGATAAGCCTACAGAAAAGCCCCTTTCCTCAGCCATACCCCGGGTAGCACTAGCAATGACGACAAGCACAATTACTTCTGTGAGTGAAACACGCGAGTCTGTTGATGTTCATATCAAAGATGTAGTGAAACTGCCCATGGATCCTGTAAAATCTGTTGAGAAACCCAAATCCCCAACTGATGTAGCCAAGTCAGTTTCAAAGGGGTATTCAGACGATGAGAGTGATGACGAATTTGGAATTGTTAAGCCACTAGATAAGCCTCTTCCTTCAACCACTCCTCTGCTGCCACTTGCAGACAAGACCCTGCAGAAAACTGACGATATTGTTAAACCACTGACTGACTTGAAGGACGATAAGCCACAAGCTAAATTAGATGAGAAACCCAAGTCCCCGATTGAAGCATCCAAGCAAACTCCTAAGGACTATTCTGATGATGAAAGTGATGAAGAGATTTGTTTGGACAATCCTCATGACAAACTCCTTCCCTTCACCACACCTCTGGTACCTCTAGCAATGACGACAAGCAAAATTACTTCCGTGAGTGATACTCGCGAGTCCGTTGATATTCAGATCAAAGATGTAGTGAAGCTGCACATGGATCCTGTAAAATCAGTTGAGAAACCCAAATCTCCAACTGTTGTAGCGAAGACAGTTTCAAAGGGATATTCAGACGATGAGAGTGATGACGAATTTGGAATTGTTAAGCCACTAGATAAGCCTCTTCCTTCAACCACTCCTCTGCTGCTACTTGAAGACAAGACCCTGCAGAAAACTGACGATATTGTTAAACCACTGACTGACTTGAAGGACGATAAGCCACAAGCTAAATTAGATGAGAAACCCAAGTCCCCGATTGAAGCATCCAAGCAAACTCCTAAGGAATATTCTGATGATGAAAGTAATGAAGAGATTTGTTTCGACAATCCTCATGACAAACTCCTTCCCTTCACCATACCCCGGGTACCACTAGCAATGACGACAAGCACAATTACTTCTGTGAGTGAAACACGCGAATCTGTTGATATTCATATCAAAGATGTAGTGAAGCTGCCCATGGATCCTGTAAAATCTGTTGAGAAACCCAAATCCCCAACTGATGTAGCCAAGTCAGTTTCAAAGGGGTATTCAGACGATGAGAGTGATGACGAATTTGGAATTGTTAAGCCACTAGATAAGCCTCTTCCTTCAACCACTCGTCTGCTGCTACTTGCAGACAAGACCCTGCAGAAAACTGACGATATTGTTAAACCACTGACTGACTTGAAGGACGATAAGCCACAAGCTAAATTAGATGAGAAACCCAAGTCCCCGATTGAAGCATCCAAGCAAACTCTTAAGGAATATTCTGATAATGAAAGTGATGAAGAGCTTTGTTTCGACAAGCCTCAAGACAAACTCCTTCCCTTCACCACACCTCTGGTACCTCTAGCTATGACTACAACCAAAATTACTTCCGTGAGCGATACTCGCGAGTCCGTTGATATTCAGATCAAAGATGTAGTGAAGCTGCCCATGGAACCTGTAAAATCAGTTGAGAAACCCAAATCCCCAACTCATGTAGCGAAGACAGTTTCAAAGGGGTATTCAGACGATGAGAGTGATGACGGAATTGGAATTGTTAAGCCACTAGATAAGCCTCTTCCTTCGACCACTCCTCTGCAGCTACTTGCAGACAAGACCCTGCAGAAAACTGACGATATTGTTAAACCACTGACTGACTTGAAGGACGATAAGCCACAAGCTAAATTAGATGAGAAACCCAAGTCCCCGATTGAAGCATCCAAGCAAACTCCTAAGGAATATTCTGATGATGAAAGTGATGAAGATATTGGATTTGATAAGCCTACAGAAAAGCCCCTTTCCTCAGCCATACCCCTGGTACCACTAGCAATGACGACAAGCACAATTACTTCTGTGAGTGAAACACGCGAGTCTGTTGATATTCATATCAAAGATGTAGTGAAGCTGCCCATGGATCCTGTAAAATCTGTTGAGAAACCCAAATCCCCAACTGATGTAGCCAAGTCAGTTTCAAAGGGGTATTCAGACGATGAGAGTGATGACGAATTTGGAATTGTTAAGCCACTAGATAAGCCTCTTCCTTCAACCACTCCTCTGCTGCCACTTGCAGACAAGACCCTGCAGAAAACTGACGATATTGTTAAACCACTGACTGACTTGAAGGACGATAAGCCACAAGCTAAATTAGATGAGAAACCCAAGTCCCCGATTGAAGCATCCAAGCAAACTCCTAAGGAATATTCTGATGATGAAAGTGATGAAGATATTGGATTTGATAAGCCTACAGAAAAGCCCCTTTCCTCAGCCATACCCCTGGTACCACTAGCAATGACGACAAGCACAAATACTTCTGTGAGTAAAACACGCGAGTCTGTTGATATTCATATCAAAGATGTAGTGAAGCTGCCCATGGATCCTGTAAAATCTGTTGAGCAACCCAAATCCCCAACTGATGTAGCCAAGTCAGTTTCAAAGGGGTATTCAGACGATGAGAGTGATGACGAATTTGGAATTGTTAAGCCACTAGATAAGACTCTTCCTTCAACCACTCCTCTGCTGCCACTTGCAGACAAGACCCTGCAGAAAACTGACGATATTGTTAAACCACTGACTGACTTGAAGGACGATAAGCCACAAGCTAAATTAGATGAGAAACCCAAGTCGCCCATTGAAGCATCCAAGCAAACTCTTAAGGAATATTCTGATAATGAAAGTGATGAAGAGATTTATTTCGACAAGCCTCAAGACAAACTCCTTCCCTTCACCACACCTCTGGTACCTCTAGCTATGACTACAACCAAAATTACTTCCGTAAGCGATACTCGCGAGTCCGTTGATTTTCAGATCAAGGATGTAGTTAAGCTGCCCATGGAACCTGTAAAATCAGTTGAGAAACCCAAATCCCCAACTGATGTAGCGAAGACAGTTTCAAAGGGGTATTCAGACGATGAGAGTGATGACGAATTTGAAATTGTTAAGCCACTAGCTAAACCTCTTCCTTCAACCACTCCTCTGCTGCTACTTGCAGACAAGACCCTGCAGAAAACTGACGATATTGTTAAACCACTGACTGACTTGAAGGACGATAAGCCACAAGCTAAATTAGATAAGAAACCCAAGTCCCCGATTGAAGCATCCAAGCAAACTCCTAAGGAATATTCTGATGATAAAAGTGATGAAGATATTGGATTTGATAAGCCTACAGAAAAGCCCCTTTCCTCAGCCATACCCCTGGTACCACTAGCAATGACGACAAGCACAATTACTTCTGTGAGTGAAACACGCGAGTCTGTTGATATTCATATCAAAGATGTAGTGAAGCTGCCCATGGATCCTGTAAAATCTGTTGAGAAACCCAAATCCCCAACTGATGTAGCCAAGTCAGTTTCAAAGGGGTATTCAGACGATGAGAGTGATGACGAATTTGGAATTGTTAAGCCACTAGATAAGCCTCTTCCTTCAACCACTCCTGTGCTGCTACTTGCAGACAAGACCCTGCAGAAAACTGACGATATTGTTAAACCACTGACTGACTTGAAGGACGATAAGCCACAAGCTAAATTAGATGAGAAACCCAAGTCCCCGATTGAAGCATCCAAGCAAACTCCTAAGGAATATTCTGATGATGAAAGTGATGAAGATATTGGATTTGATAAGCCTACAGAAAAGCCCCTTTCCTCAGCCATACCCCTGGTACCACTAGCAATGACGACAAGCACAATTACTTCTGTGAGTAAAACACGCGAGTCTGTTGATATTCATATCAAAGATGTAGTGAAGCTGCCCATGGATCCTGTAAAATCTGTTGAGCAACCCAAATCCCCAACTGATGTAGCCAAGTCAGTTTCAAAGGGGTATTCAGACGATGAGAGTGATGACGAATTTGGAATTGTTAAGCCCCTAGATAAGCCTCTTCCTTCAACCACTCCTCTGCTGCTACTTGCAGACAAGACCCTGCAGAAAACTGACGATATTGTTAAACCACTGACTGACTTGAAGGACGATAAGCCACAAGCTAAATTAGATGAGAAACCCAAGTCCCCGATTGAAGCATCCAAGCAAACTCCTAAGGAATATTCTGATGATGAAAGTGATGAAGATATTGGATTTGATAAGCCTGCAGAAAAGCCCCTTTCCTCACCCATACCCTGGGTACCACTAGCAATGACGACAAGCACAATTACTTCTGTGAGTGAAACACGCGAGTCTGTTGATATTCATATCAAAGATGTAGTGAAGCTGCCCATGGATCCTGTAAAATCTGTTGAGAAACCCAAATCCCCAACTGATGTAGCCAAGTCAGTTTCAAAGGGGTATTCAGACGATGAGAGTGATGACGAATTTGGAATTGTTAAGCCACTAGATAAGCCTCTTCCTTCAACCACTCCTCCGCTGCCATTTGCAGACAAGACCCTGCAGAAAACTGACGATATTGTTAAACCACTGACTGACTTGAAGGACGATAAGCCACAATCTAAATTAGATGAGAAACCCAAGTCCCCGATTGAAGCATCCAAGCAAACTCTTAAGGAATATTCTGATGATGAAAGTGATGAAGAGATTTGTTTGGACAATCCTCATGACGAACTCCTTCCCTTCACCACACCTCTGGTACCTCTAGCAATGACGACAAGCAAAATTACTTCCGTGAGTGATACTCGCGAGTCCGTTGATATTCAGATCAAAGATGTAGTGAAGCTGCCCATGGATCCTGTAAAATCAGTTGAGAAACCCAAATCTCCAACTGTTGTAGCGAAGACAGTTTCAAAGGGATATTCAGACGATGAGAGTGATGACGAACTTGGAATTGTTAAGCCACTAGATAAGCCTCTTCCTTCAACCACTCCTCTGCTGCCACTTGCAGACAAGACCCTGCAGAAAACTGACGATATTGTTAAACCACTGACTGACTTGAAGGACGATAAGCCACACGCTAAATTAGATGAAAAACCCAAGTCCCCCATTGATGCATTCAAGCAAACTCTTAAGGAATATTCTGATGATGAAAGTGATGAAGATATTGGATTTGATAAGCCTACAGAAAAGCCCCTTTCCTCAGCCATACCCTTGGTACCACTAGCAATGACGACAAGCACAATTACTTCTGTGAGTGAAACACGCGAGTCTGTTGATATTCATATCAAAGATGTAGTGAAGCTGCCCATGGATCCTGTAAAATCTTTTGAGAAACCCAAATCCCCAACTGATGTAGCCAAGTCAGTTTCAAAGGGGTATTCAGACGATGAGAGTGATGACGAATTTGGAATTGTTAAGCCACTAGATAAACCTCTTCCTTCAACCACTCCTCTGCTGCCACTTGCAGACAAGACCCTGCAGAAAACTGACGATATTGTTAAACCACTGACTGACTTGAAGGACGATAAGCCACAATCTAAATTAGATGAGAAACCCAAGTCCCCGATTGAAGCATCCAAGCAAACTCTTAAGGAATATTCTGATGATGAAAGTGATGAAGATATTGGATTTGATAAGCCTACAGAAAAGCCCCTTTCCTCAGCCATACCCTTGGTACCACTAGCAATGACGACAAGCACAATTACTTCTGTGAGTGAAACACGCGAGTCTGTTGATATTCATATCAAAGATGTAGTGAAGCTGCCCATGGATCCTGTAAAATCTGTTGAGAAACCCAAATCCCCAACTGATGTAGCCAAGTCAGTTTCAAAGGGGTATTCAGACGATGAGAGTGTGGACGAATTTGGAATTGTTAAGCCCCTAGATAAGCCTCTTCCTTCAACCACTCCTCTGCTGCCACTTGCAGACAAGACCCTGCAGAAAACTGACGATATTGTTAAACCACTGACTGACTTGAAGGACGATAAGCCACAATCTAAATTAGATGAGAAACCCAAGTCCCCGATTGAAGCATCCAAGCAAACTCTTAAGGAATATTCTGATGATGAAAGTGATGAAGAGATTTGTTTGGACAATCCTCATGACAAACTCCTTCCCTTCACCACACCTCTGGTACCTCTAGCAATGACGACAAGCAAAATTACTTCCGTGAGTGATACTCGCGAGTCCGTTGATATTCAGATCAAAGATGTAGTGAAGCTGCCCATGGATCCTGTAAAATCAGTTGAGAAACCCAAATCCCCAACTGATGTAGCCAAGTCAGTTTCAAAGGGGTATTCAGACGATGAGAGTGATGACGAATTAGGAATTGTTAAGCCACTAGATAAGCCTCTTCCTTCAACCACTCCTCTGCTGCCACCTGCATACAAGACCCTGCAGAAAACTGACGATATTGTTAAACCACTGACTGACTTGAAGGACGATAAGCCACAATCTAAATTAGATGAGAAACCCAAGTCCCCGATTGAAGCATCCAAGCAAACTCTTAAGGAATATTCTGATGATGAAAGTGATGAAGATATTGGATTTGATAAGCCTACAGAAAAGCCCCTTTCCTCAGCCATACCCTTGGTACCACTAGCAATGACGACAAGCACAATTACTTCTGTGAGGGAAACACGCGAGTCTGTTGATATTCATATCAAAGATGTAGTGAAGCTGCCCATGGATCCTGTAAAATCTGTTGAGAAACCCAAATCCCCAACTGATGTAGCCAAGTCAGTTTCAAAGGGGTATTCAGACGATGAGAGTGATGACGAATTTGGAATTGTTAAGCCACTAGATAAGCCTCTTCCTTCAACCACTCCTCTGCTGCCACTTGCAGACAAGACCCTGCAGAAAACTGACGATATTGTTAAACCACTGACTGACTTGAAGGACGATAAGCCACAATCTAAATTAGATGAGAAACCCAAGTCCCCGATTGAAGCATCCAAGCAAACTCTTAAGGAATATTCTGATGATGAAAGTGATGAAGAGATTTGTTTGGACAATCCTCATGACAAACTCCTTCCCTTCACCACACCTCTGGTACCTCTAGCAATGACGACAAGCAAAATTACTTCCGTGAGTGATACTCGCGAGTCCGTTGATATTCAGATCAAAGATGTAGTGAAGCTGCCCATGGATCCTGTAAAATCAGTTGAGAAACCCAAATCTCCAACTGTTGTAGCGAAGACAGTTTCAAAGGGATATTCAGACGATGAGAGTGATGACGAACTTGGAATTGTTAAGCCACTAGATAAGCCTCTTCCTTCAACCACTCCTCTGCTGCCGCTTGCAGACAAGACCCTGCAGAAAACTGACGATATTGTTAAACCACTGACTGACTTGAAGGACGATAAGCCACAATCTAAATTAGATGAGAAACCCAAGTCCCCGATTGAAGCATCCAAGCAAACTCTTAAGGAATATTCTGATGATGAAAGTGATGAAGATATTGGATTTGATAAGCCTACAGAAAAGCCCCTTTCCTCAGCCATACCCTTGGTACCACTAGCAATGACGACAAGCACAATTACTTCTGTGAGTGAAACACGCGAGTCTGTTGATATTCATATCAAAGATGTAGTGAAGCTGCCCATGGATCCTGTAAAATCTGTTGAGAAACCCAAATCCCCAACTGATGTAGCCAAGTCAGTTTCAAAGGGGTATTCAGACGATGAGAGTGATGACGAATTTGGAATTGTTAAGCCACTAGATAAGCCTCTTCCTTCAACCACTCCTCTGCTGCCACTTGCAGACAAGACCCTGCAGAAAACTGACGATATTGTTAAACCACTGACTGACTTGAAGGACGATAAGCCACAAGCTAAATTAGATGAGAAACCCAAGTCCCCCATTGATGCATTCAAGCAAACTCTTAAGGAATATTCTGATGATGAAAGTGATGAAGATATTGGATTTGATAAGCCTACAGAAAAGCCCCTTTCCTCAGCCATACCCTTGGTACCACTAGCAATGACGACAAGCACAATTACTTCTGTGAGTGAAACACGCGAGTCTGTTGATATTCATATCAAAGATGTAGTGAAGCTGCCCATGGATCCTGTAAAATCTGTTGAGAAACCCAAATCCCCAACTGATGTAGCCAAGTCAGTTTCAAAGGGGTATTCAGACGATGAGAGAGATGACGAATTTGGAATTGTTAAGCCACTAGATAAGCCTCTTCCTTCAACCACTCCTCTGCTGCCACTTGCAGACAAGACCCTGCAGAAAACTGACGATATTGTTAAACCACTGACTGACTTGAAGGACGATAAGCCACAATCTAAATTAGATGAGAAACCCAAGTCCCCGATTGAAGCATCCAAGCAAACTCTTAAGGAATATTCTGATGATGAAAGTGATGAAGATATTGGATTTGATAAGCCTACAGAAAAGCCCCTTTCCTCAGCCATACCCTTGGTTCCACTAGCACTGACGACAAGCACAATTACTTCTGTGAGTGAAACACGCGAGTCTGTTGATATTCATATCAAAGATGTAGTGAAGCTGCCCATGGATCCTGTAAAATCTGTTGAGAAACCCAAATCCCCAACTGATGTAGCCAAGTCAGTTTCAAAGGGGTATTCAGACGATGAGAGTGATGACGAATTTGGAATTGTTAAGCCACTAGATAAGCCTCTTCCTTCAACCACTCCTCTGCTGCCACTTGCAGACAAGACCCTGCAGAAAACTGACGATATTGTTAAACCACTGACTGACTTGAAGGACGATAAGCCACAAGCTAAATTAGATGAGAAACCCAAGTCCCCCATTGATGCATTCAAGCAAACTCTTAAGGAATATTCTGATGATGAAAGTGATGAAGATATTGGATTTGATAAGCCTACAGAAAAGCCCCTTTCCTCAGCCATACCCTTGGTACCACTAGCAATGACGACAAGCACAATTACTTCTGTGAGTGAAACACGCGAGTCTGTTGATATTCATATCAAAGATGTAGTGAAGCTGCCCATGGATCCTGTAAAATCTGTTGAGAAACCCAAATCCCCAACTGATGTAGCCAAGTCAGTTTCAAAGGGGTATTCAGACGATGAGAGTGATGACGAATTTGGAATTGTTAAGCCACTAGATAAGCCTCTTCCTTCAACCACTCCTCTGCTGCCACTTGCAGACAAGACCCTGCAGAAAACTGACGATATTGTTAAACCACTGACTGACTTGAAGGACGATAAGCCACAATCTAAATTAGATGAGAAACCCAAGTCCCCGATTGAAGCATCCAAGCAAACTCTTAAGGAATATTCTGATGATGAAAGTGATGAAGATATTGGATTTGATAAGCCTACAGAAAAGCCCCTTTCCTCAGCCATACCCTTGGTTCCACTAGCAATGACGACAAGCACAATTACTTCTGTGAGTGAAACACGCGAGTCTGTTGATATTCATATCAAAGATGTAGTGAAGCTGCCCATGGATCCTGTAAAATCTGTTGAGAAACCCAAATCCCCAACTGATGTAGCCAAGTCAGTTTCAAAGGGGTATTCAGACGATGAGAGTGATGACGAATTTGGAATTGTTAAGCCACTAGATAAGCCTCTTCCTTCAACCACTCCTTTGCTGCCACTTGCAGACAAGACCCTGCAGAAAACTGACGATATTGTTAAACCACTGACTGACTTGAAGGACGATAAGCCACAAGCTAAATTAGATGAGAAACCCAAGTCCCCGATTGAAGCATCCAAGCAAACTCTTAAGGAATATTCTGATGATGAAAGTGATGAAGATATTGGATTTGATAAGCCTACAGAAAAGCCCCTTTCCTCAGCCATACCCTTGGTTCCACTAGCAATGACGACAAGCACAATTACTTCTGTGAGTGAAACACGCGAGTCTGTTGATATTCATATCAAAGATGTAGTGAAGCTGCCCATGGATCCTGTAAAATCTGTTGAGAAACCCAAATCCCCAACTGATGTAGCCAAGTCAGTTTCAAAGGGGTATTCAGACGATGAGAGTGATGACGGAATTGGAATTGTTAAGCCACTAGATAAGCCTCTTCCTTCAACCACTCCTCTGCTGCTACTTGCAGACAAGACCCTGCAGAAAACTGACGATATTGTTAAAACACTGACTGACTTGAAGGACGATAAGCCACAAGCTAAATTAGATGAGAAACCCAAGTCCCCGATTGAAGCATCCAAGCAAACTCTTAAGGAATATTCTGATGATGAAAGTGATGAAGAGATTTGTTTGGACAATCCTCATGACAAACTCCTTCCCTTCACCACACCTCTGGTACCTCTAGCAATGACGACAAGCAAAATTACTTCCGTGAGTGATACTCGCGAGTCCGTTGATATTCAGATCAAAGATGTAGTGAAGCTGCCCATGGATCCTGTAAAATCTGTTGAGAAACCCAAATCCCCAACTGATGTAGCCAAGTCAGTTTCAAAGGGGTATTCAGACGATGAGAGTGATGACGAATTTGGAATTGTTAAGCCACTAGATAAGCCTCTTCCTTCAACCACTCCTCTGCTGCCACTTGCAGACAAGACCCTGCAGAAAACTGACGATATTGTTAAACCACTGACTGACTTGAAGGACGATAAGCCACAAGCTAAATTAGATGAGAAACCCAAGTCCCCGATTGAAGCATCCAAGCAAACTCTTAAGGAATATTCTGATGATGAAAGTGATGAAGATATTGGATTTGATAAGCCTACAGAAAAGCCCCTTTCCTCAGCCATACCCTTGGTTCCACTAGCAATGACGACAAGCACAATTACTTCTGTGAGTGAAACACGCGAGTCTGTTGATATTCATATCAAAGATGTAGTGAAGCTGCCCATGGATCCTGTAAAATCTGTTGCGAAACCCAAATCCCCAACTGATGTAGCCAAGTCAGTTTCAAAGGGGTATTCAGACGATGAGAGTGATGACGGAATTGGAATTGTTAAGCCACTAGATAAGCCTCTTCCTTCAACCACTCCTCTGCTGCTACTTGCAGACAAGACCCTGCAGAAAACTGACGATATTGTTAAACCACTGACTGACTTGAAGGACGATAAGCCACAAGCTAAATTAGATGAGAAACCCAAGTCCCCGATTGAAGCATCCAAGCAAACTCTTAAGGAATATTCTGATGATGAAAGTGATGAAGAGATTTGTTTGGACAATCCTCATGACAAACTCCTTCCCTTCACCACACCTCTGGTACCTCTAGCAATGACGACAAGCAAAATTACTTCCGTGAGTGATACTCGCGAGTCCGTTGATATTCAGATCAAAGATGTAGTGAAGCTGCCCATGGATCCTGTAAAATCTGTTGAGAAACCCAAATCTCCAACTGTTGTAGCGAAGACAGTTTCAAAGGGATATTCAGACGATGAGAGTGATGACGAACTTGGAATTGTTAAGCCATTAGATAAGCCTCTTCCTTCAACCACTCCTCTGCTGCCACTTGCAGACAAGACCCTGCAGAAAACTGACGATATTGTTAAACCACTGACTGACTTGAAGGACGATAAGCCACAATCTAAATTAGATGAGAAACCCAAGTCCCCGATTGAAGTATCCAAGCAAACTCTTAAGGAATATTCTGATGATGAAAGTGATGAAGAGATTTGTTTGGACAATCCTCATGACAAACTCCTTCCCTTCACCACACCTCTGGTACCTCTAGCAATGACGACAAGCAAAATTACTTCCGTAAGTGATACTCGCGAGTCCGTTGATATTCAGATCAAAGATGTAGTGAAGCTGCCCATGGATCCTGCAAAATCAGTTGAGAAACCCAAATCTCCAACTGTTGTAGCGAAGACAGTTTCAAAGGGATATTCAGACGATGAGAGTGATGACGAACTTGGAATTGTTAAGCCATTAGATAAGCCTCTTCCTTCAACCACTCCTCTGCTGCCACTTGCAGACAAGACCCTGCAGAAAACTGACGATATTGTTAAACCACTGACTGACTTGAAGGACGATAAGCCACAAGCTAAATTAGATGAGAAACCCAAGTCCCCCATTGATGCATTCAAGCAAACTCTTAAGGAATATTCTGATGATGAAAGTGATGAAGATATTGGATTTGATAAGCCTACAGAAAAGCCCCTTTCCTCAGCCATACCCTTGGTACCACTAGCAATGACGACAAGCACAATTACTTCTGTGAGTGAAACACGCGAGTCTGTTGATATTCATATCAAAGATGTAGTGAAGCTGCCCATGGATCCTGTAAAATCTGTTGAGAAACCCAAATCCCCAACTGATGTAGCGCAGTCAGTTCCAAAGGGGTATTCAGACGATGAGAGTGATGACGAATTTGGAATTGTTAAGCCACTAGATAAGCCTCTTCCTTCAACCACTCCTCTGCTGCCACTTGCAGACAAGACCCTGCAGAAAACTGACGATATTGTTAAACCACTGACTGACTTGAAGGACGATAAGCCACAATCTAAATTAGATGAGAACCCCAAGTCCCCGATTGAAGCATCCAAGCAAACTCTTAAGGAATATTCTGATGATGAAAGTGATGAAGATATTGGATTTGATAAGCCTACAGAAAAGCCCCTTTCCTCAGCCATACCCTTGGTTCCACTAGCAATGACGACAAGCACAATTACTTCTGTGAGTGAAACACGCGAGTCTGTTGATATTCATATCAAAGATGTAGTGAAGCTGCCCATGGATCCTGTAAAATCTGTTGAGAAACCCAAATCCCCAACTGATGTAGCCAAGTCAGTTTCAAAGGGGTATTCAGACGATGAGAGTGATGACGAATTTGGAATTGTTAAGCCACTAGATAAGCCTCTTCCTTCAACCACTCCTCTGCTGCCACTTGCAGACAAGACCCTGCAGAAAACTGACGATATTGTTAAACCACTGACTGACTTGAAGGACGATAAGCCACAAGCTAAATTAGATGAGAAACCCAAGTCCCCGATTGAAGCATCCAAGCAAACTCTTAAGGAATATTCTGATGATGAAAGTGATGAAGATATTGGATTTGATAAGCCTACAGAAAAGCCCCTTTCCTCAGCCATACCCTTGGTTCCACTAGCAATGACGACAAGCACAATTACTTCTGTGAGTGAAACACGCGAGTCTGTTGATATTCATATCAAAGATGTAGTGAAGCTGCCCATGGATCCTGTAAAATCTGTTGAGAAACCCAAATCCCCAACTGATGTAGCCAAGTCAGTTTCAAAGGGGTATTCAGACGATGAGAGTGATGACGGAATTGGAATTGTTAAGCCACTAGATAAGCCTCTTCCTTCAACCACTCCTCTGCTGCTACTTGCAGACAAGACCCTGCAGAAAACTGACGATATTGTTAAACCACTGACTGACTTGAAGGACGATAAGCCACAAGCTAAATTAGATGAGAAACCCAAGTCCCCGATTGAAGCATCCAAGCAAACTCTTAAGGAATATTCTGATGATGAAAGTGATGAAGAGATTTGTTTGGACAATCCCCATGACAAACTCCTTCCCTACACCACACCTCTGGTACCTCTAGCAATGACGACAAGCAAAATTACTTCCGTGAGTGATACTCGCGAGTCCGTTGATATTCAGATCAAAGATGTAGTGAAGCTGCCCATGGATCCTGTAAAATCTGTTGAGAAACCCAAATCTCCAACTGTTGTAGCGAAGACAGTTTCAAAGGGATATTCAGACGATGAGAGTGATGACGAACTTGGAATTGTTAAGCCATTAGATAAGCCTCTTCCTTCAACCACTCCTCTGCTGCCACTTGCAGACAAGACCCTGCAGAAAACTGACGATATTGTTAAACCACTGACTGACTTGAAGGACGATAAGCCACAATCTAAATTAGATGAGAAACCCAAGTCCCCGATTGAAGCATCCAAGCAAACTCTTAAGGAATATTCTGATGATGAAAGTGATGAAGAGATTTGTTTGGACAATCCTCATGACAAACTCCTTCCCTTCACCACACCTCTGGTACCTCTAGCAATGACGACAAGCAAAATTACTTCCGTAAGTGATACTCGCGAGTCCGTTGATATTCAGATCAAAGATGTAGTGAAGCTGCCCATGGATCCTGCAAAATCAGTTGAGAAACCCAAATCTCCAACTGTTGTAGCGAAGACAGTTTCAAAGGGATATTCAGACGATGAGAGTGATGACGAACTTGGAATTGTTAAGCCATTAGATAAGCCTCTTCCTTCAACCACTCCTCTGCTGCCACTTGCAGACAAGACCCTGCAGAAAACTGACGATATTGTTAAACCACTGACTGACTTGAAGGACGATAAGCCACAAGCTAAATTAGATGAGAAACCCAAGTCCCCCATTGATGCATTCAAGCAAACTCTTAAGGAATATTCTGATGATGAAAGTGATGAAGATATTGGATTTGATAAGCCTACAGAAAAGCCCCTTTCCTCAGCCATACCCTTGGTACCACTAGCAATGACGACAAGCACAATTACTTCTGTGAGTGAAACACGCGAGTCTGTTGATATTCATATCAAAGATGTAGTGAAGCTGCCCATGGATCCTGTAAAATCTGTTGAGAAACCCAAATCCCCAACTGATGTAGCGCAGTCAGTTCCAAAGGGGTATTCAGACGATGAGAGTGATGACGAATTTGGAATTGTTAAGCCACTAGATAAGCCTCTTCCTTCAACCACTCCTCTGCTGCCACTTGCAGACAAGACCCTGCAGAAAATTGACGATATTGTTAAACCACTGACTGACTTGAAGGACGATAAGCCACAATCTAAATTAGATGAGAAACCCAAGTCCCCGATTGAAGCATCCAAGCAAACTCTTAAGGAATATTCTGATGATGAAAGTGATGAAGAGATTTGTTTGGACAATCCTCATGATAAACTCCTTCCCTTCACCACACCTCTGGTACCTCTAGTAATGACGACAAGCAAAATTACTTCCGTGAGTGATACTCGCGAGTCCGTTGATATTCAGATCAAAGATGTAGTGAAGCTGCCCATGGATCCTGTAAAATCAGTTGAGAAACCCAAATCTCCAACTGTTGTAGCGAAGACAGTTTCAAAGGGATATTCAGGCGATGAGAGTGATGATGAACTTGGAATTGTTAAGCCATTAGATAAGCCCCTTCCTTCAACCACTCCTCTGCTGCCACTTGCAGACAAGACCCTGCAGAAAACTGACGATACTGTTATTGATAAGCCTACAGATATTGGATTTGATAAGCCTACAGAAAAGCCCCTTTCGTCAGCCATACCCCTGGTACCACTAGCAATGACGACAAGCAAAATTACTTCCGTGAGTGATACTCGCGAGTCCGTTGATATTCAGATCAAAGATGTAGTGAAGCTGCCCATGGATCCTGTAAAATCAGTTGAGAAACCCAAATCTCCAACTGTTGTAGCGAAGACAGTTTCAAAGGGATATTCAGGCGATGAGAGTGATGACGAACTTGGAATTGTTAAGCCATTAGATAAGCCCCTTCCTTCAACCACTCCTCTGCTGCCACTTGCAGACAAGACCCTGCAGAAAACTGACGATACTGTTATTGATAAGCCTACAGATATTGGATTTGATAAGCCTACAGAAAAGCCCCTTTCCTCAGCCATACCCCTGGTACCACTAGCAATGACGACAAGCACAATTACTTCTGTGAGTGAAACACGCGAGTCTGTTGATATTCAGATCAAAGATGTAGTTAAGCTGCCCATGGATCCTGTAAAATCAGTTGAGAAACCCAAATCCCCAACTGATGTAGCGCAGTCAGTTCCAAAGGGGTATTCAGACGATGAGAGTGATGACGAATTTGGAATTGTTAAGCCACTAGATAAGCCTCTTCCTTCAACCACTCCTCTGCTGCCACTTGCAGACAAGACCCTGCAGAAAACTGACGATATTGTTAAGCCACTGACTGACTTGAAGGACGATAAGCCACAAGCTAAATTAGATGAGAAACCCAAGTCCCCCATTGATGCATCCAAGCAAACTCTTAAGGAATATTCTGATGATGAAAGTGATGAAGATATTGGATTTGATAAGCCTACAGAAAAGCCCCTTTCCTCAGCCATACCCCTGGTACCACTAGCAATGACGACAAGCACAATTACTTCTGTGAGTGAAACACGCCAGTCTGTTGATATTCATATCAAAGATGTAGTGAAGCTGCCCATGGATCCTGTAAAATCGGTTGAGAAACCCAAATCCCCAACCGATGTAGCCAAGTCAGTTTCGAAGGGGTATTCAGACGATGAGAGTGATGACGAATTTGGAATTGTTAAGCCACTAGATAAGCCTCTTCCTTCAACCACTCCTCTGCTGCCACTTGCAGACAAGACCCTGCAGAAAACTGACGATATTGTTAAACCACTGACTGACTTGAAGGACGATAAGCCACAAGCTAAATTAGATGAGAAACCCAAGTCCCCCATTGATGCATCCAAGCAAACTCTTAAGGAATATTCTGATGATGAAAGTGTTGAAGATATTGGATTTGACAAGCCTAAAGAGAAGCCCCTTTCCTCAGGCATACCCCTGGTACCTGTAGCAATGACTACAAGCACAATTACTTCTGTGAGTGAAGCACGCGAGTCTGTTGATATTCAGATCAATGATGTAGTTAAGCTGCCCATGGATCCTGTAAAATCAGATGAGAAACCCAAATCCCCAACTGATGTAGCGAAGTCAGTTTCAAAGGGGTATTCAGACGATGAGAGTAATGACGAATTTGGAATTGTTAAGCCACTAGATAAGCCTATTCCTTCAACCACTCCTCTGCTGCCACTTGCAGACAAGACCTTGCAGAAAATTGACGATATTGTTAAACCACTGACTGACTTGAAGGACGATATGCCACAAGGTAAATTAGATGAGAAACCCAAGTCCCCTATTAAGGCATCTAAGAAAAGTCATAAGGAATATTCTGATGATGAAAGCGATAAAATGATTGGTTTTGATAAGCCTCAAGAAATTCCCTCCCATCCCTCCACCACACCACTGGTACCTCTAGCAATGACTATAAACAAAACTACTTCTATGAGTGAAACGCATGAGTCAGTTGATACACAGATCAAAGATATAGTCAAGCTGCCGATATGTCATACAAAAACGTTTGAGGAACCCAAATCTCCAACAGAAGTAGGTTACAGTGATAGCGAAGTTGGAATTGTAAAGTCAATACCCACAAATTGTCTGAAGTCCATAATGCAAGCTCCGTCTGGTGAGCTTGCTAAAAATTGTAATGTTCCTACTGATGACAATGCTGAAAGGGACTTAGGTCTGGATTTAGTTATGGATTCTCCTAATCGATTAATCGGCCGTACTGGCATCGACAGCTACTCAATTTCTGAGAAGGTGATTCCAGAATCACTTTCTGATTTTGATGATACAAGATCGGTTCAGCAAATTGTTGAAGAAACTTTACGGGCTGGTGATGCAGAGGTACAAAAGATTATAAATGAAACTCTTAAAAGCGTGCAGGCTCATAGAGAATTAGATCAAAAGGATTATATATTTACTGAGTTATGCGAAAGTGAACGATCGGTTGAAGAGATTGTGGAAGATACTTTAAAAAGTGCAAAAGTTAAGGCAGGAGAAAAAAATCAGGTAGTAAATCTAGTAAGAGATGATGTAGCCTCGACGAAAAAAGAGATAACTAAAGAAGTCCGACCTATTGCTTATTTCGTCAAGTTAGGTGATGAAAAGATAGATGTTATGCCTGCAAAAAAGATAGAAATGAAAACCCCAGTTAGCAAATCCAAAACAGTAAGAAATGTCAATGCAAAATCCAAAGTAAATGTAATTAAAAAGCCACAAATTAAAAAGCAAGTAGATAATAAGGAAAGACCAGCGACTACTCAAAAGAAATCACCATTGACACAACCAAAATTAACGAATGCATCTAGCAAACAATCAGGAGTAAAAAAGCCATTAACAAATGAACCTCAGAAGGTTTCTAGAAAAACCGAGTCGAGGAGATCAGTTACAAGTTCTATTTCGACAACAACAAGCTCGGCGTCAGCTACAAGTCGAGTTATAAGTGAAATTCACTTCGAAAGATCCGCAAGTCCAGCATCAAGTTCAATATTTTATGAAAGCCACACTCAAGGCGAAAACAGCCGCTCCACAACGCCAAGGCCTAGGGTAAAAACAGATGTTACGAAAATACCATACAACACCTCGGTTCGCGCGTTAAGTCCATCCCCCAAAACCACAAAATCGACAAAAGCAACATCCATTAAACAAGATGTCAGCAAGAAAGCTAGAGTGTTTAATAAAAAGGTAAAAACAGAGACTACCCCAAAATCTACAAAAGTTGTGGAAGACAACAAGCGAATAAAAACGCCAACTCCATCTGCCACACACCGATATATGCAGCCAACTTTAGCTCACAGTATGCGTTTCGGCCTAAATGCCGATAGTGAAAGTCGAAGTGTGACTCCGGCCCCAGCAAAATCACCAGCCCCACCCAAATCGCCAGCTCCAGCACAACCCAATCGACAAAGTATATATAAAACAAAGAATACGATAAGTGCCTTGACAAAAAACTCGTCAATAGATCAAAAGCAGCAAAAAAAATTGATTACAGAAAAGCCCTCAGTTTTGACCAAGAAAGGTTCCCATACTGAAAGTAAGGATTTATTACAGAGTACAGATCGCCTTTACAAAAGACAAATATCCAAAGAGAATAAGCAAGCAAACGTGATAGGCTCCAAGAGCCAAATAACTAAAAGCATGAAGACACAATCAGCTACTGCAACTAAATCAATTGCCTACAAAACTTCCATAGAATCTGATAACAAGCTACAGAAAAAAACTACATCAACTATGCAACAACGCGTCAAAGTTCCAATTAGCTTGTCTTCCGTAACAACAAGAGCTTCAACTAAGCTAAGCAACAAAAGTGATGAAACCGTTTTAAAACCTCAGATAGACAATAAGAAAATCGTCAGGAGGACAGCAAGTAAAACGACTGAGGGAAGCAGTAATATAAGCAAAAATGTGCGCAGCTCCATAGAACCAAAACTCCAAAAGCAGATGAAGGATACAATGAACGAATCGAGCACTACGGCCAGCGGCAGCACCAGTGCCAGCGGCTCCTCGAGCAGCACCCGACGCAGTGTACGTTCCGTGATGGTTAGCCGCAAGACTGACAAAGAGAAGACGAATATGAAGTTATCAGAACAGAAGGGTGTGATATCGACATCGACTGTGCGCGTTCATAGGGAGCCGACAGCCACTACCAGCGCGGTTAGCACCGTGCTCGTTGATGACGACTCCGAGGTGATAACCATACGTTCCATTAAATCAAGTGATAGTACAAAAAGCTCTACCTCATCATCCTCTGGTAGCGGCAGCAACAGTCGCAAGGTGCTAACCAGCGAGGTTTTCACTAAGACTTTCGGCCCCGATAAGCCCCTGGAAGTGATCTACCGCCAACCCGATTTTGATGCAGAGCACCACACGGCAATAGGAATGCGTCCGCAATCCAGAAATGAACAACAGCGCTACGTTAACGAGTTCGATGTCAGCTTTATCGATACCACCGATTCCAGTCTCTCCGACTCTGTTGCACTGCCGATGTTTACCGCTGGTGATCCAGAACGCCTGCTGGCCGCCAGTCCTGGCTCCCCCAAACCAACCCGTAGTCCCTTAGCCTTAATTGAGGAAACATTGCGGCGTCACCACCAGCATCAGCATCATCAGCATATTGCTGCATCGGGCAGTGCAGTAGAACCTTCGCAACAATTGCAAGTCGAGAGCGACAGCATTGTGGCGGTGAGTGAGAGTCGCCTTAAAAAAGAGACGGAGAAAAGCTGCACATCAAAAGGTAAATAAATACATTTAGGCTTAGAGCACTCTCATACATTTATTAAACATAGCTTAGAGCGATACCCACCATGCTAAGGGCAATATTAAACATTATGCAACTTTTCTAATTGATATCAATTTTCAAAATGCTTTTATTCAATTTAATTTTAACTTATTTTCCACAACTAGCTAACGCAAATAACTAAACTCAAAATATAAAAGCCACAAAAATTATAAACCAAACCCACCAAAATGTCCAAAAAACTCCCAACTATATCCGTAACCGCCGAGCAGCATTCCAATTCATCCTCATCCTCGCATGACTCCGATAGTAATGACATGGACTATGGTCGCAACAGCGGGGGCGTCACAGATGTTGAAGACTTCGACAGCCAAGCCGAGGTTCTTAAGCTAAGCTCACGTCGTGGCTCTGGCAGTGTATCGCCAAGGCAAAAAACCCAGCAACAAAAATCGAAACCCTTTGAAAATGATGTCACTGACGTGGAGGACTACGAAACAGATTCAGACGATGAAGAGAAGAGCATCGCTTATCCCGAATTGAAATTATCACTACGAGAATTTTTGCAACAAGGACACCAAAATCAGGAGGCTGTGGACAATGACGCCAAGCAGAGTTGTGAAATTAAAGCGGGTAACTTTCTTCAAGCACAAAACCTGAATGGTCTGGCCGACTACCTTACCGACTGCGAAGATTATGACACAGACTCCGAAGTAGGCTATGGCTGTGAGAAGTCTGTGTGTGTTGACCTAGATAATGCAGTGGGCGATCAGGGACGCGTCAATATAGCCGATGGCGAGAAGCACGAGGATGACTCCGATCACTACGAGGATGTCTCTGTCATTAGCGACATTAGTGACTTGGCTTCAGCCATGTCCGACTGCACTGGAATTGGTATTCACGTGCGTGGCATGTCAGAAGACGAGGTGCTTATGGTATCCGGCAGTGGCAGTGAGGTGGTATGTCAAATAGCCTGCTCGAGTACCGAGTCGGAATCGGGTGGCGCAGCTGCTAGAAGCGCCAGCATAAGTGAAGCCAGCTTGCCCCCGATAGATGTGGCCTTTGTGAGCGCCAGTGGAGAACCACGCAGAAACTCCAAGTCAATATTCTTAAATACTGAGCAAAGACATTTTTTACAAGTGACCCCCAAAAACGATGAGGTACTAACGGACATTGAGGGCATCGATGATTCCGGAGCTGAAGACAGCTTTGATAATGAGGATGACAATGAAGAGCCCATACCACGTGCTATAATTCTAGCGATAGGCGATGATGGCACTTGTCTAACGGATGTGGAGGATATGTATTGTGATGACCTTTCGCTAACAAGCGCCGTGCCCGAAGCGATTTCTGTAGCCCCCGAGGTATTGCCACAACCACATCGCGAAGTCGTTGAGTTAAAAGAAGACAAGTATGGCGATACGATTACTAATGTCATGCCTATGAAAAGCAACTACGAATTTGGAATACCTAACCACTTAAAGGATGTCAATCATACCGATTCGGAAGAATACTCATGTATGGAAGACGTAAGCGCATCTATTTCCCTCGCCGAGGAACTGGCTGTTGGATCACCAAGTCTAATAGAGAATGAAGTCATTGTTTCGAATGAACTATTAAAACAGCAAAACAAACGTCTGGAGGTGCTGTCGAATGCCGAATCTGTTACTGACGTCGAAGAAATCTTTGTGGCAGGCACTAACCGACGCAAGAAGTTGAAGACGCGCACACTGAGCAAGGGTAAAAACAAGCTGCTGGATGTTGTCAAGGGCAATGAGGCAGGCGTAACCGATGTGGAAGACATGGAGCTGAGCGAGTGTGACCTACCGCCAGGCGTCAAACGTGTGGCACAACTCAAACATCAAGCCAAGGGCCACAATGCAGACAAGCTAACTGATGCCGAAGATATTTCCACTGACGACTTATCCGATGCTTCTGAGGCTTCTTTGCCGCCAGCTGAGTTACCCAAACAGTCCCAAAACAAGTCCAAATCGCATCCACTTCACTTGCGTTTGCTTAAAGACGATGCCGTCAGTCAGCAGAATACAGACATCGAAGACGTGCAACTGCCCTCCGATGCCGAGGATGCACTTGAGCCCCCGGAAATCAAGGTGGCCAATAGCAATAGCAAAGAGCTCAACGATATGTTAAATGAGAGTTATACCGTGGTGCACGAAAGGAGCGGCAGAAGCTTCAATGCCGAGGCCGAGAAGCTGCACATAAAGGGTGTGATACGGGATGCCCACACGGACGTTGAATATGTTGAATCCGATGAGTCAGCTGCTCGAGGCGGCAACTAGTCATCCCGTCTCCCTATTCTGAATATATTTTACGAAAACAATCTTAACAATAGTTCATAGCTCGTATAAGTGTCCACATATAAGATACCTAATGAAACTCAACTGAATACATAACACATACACTCAAGCATATTGTAAGTAAACCTGACAATTAATAATCACTAAACTATATATAAAATTACATTTTCGTTAAAGTTTTTATCACACAACAAAGCAACGAAAGCCTGAAACTAATTGCTATTGTCTGCCCTAACTATGTGCCCCCGTAAAATACTAACAAATATTAATTATCACCTAAGCGTCGTTCAACTAACATTTTAACTACTTAAGTAATTATAGCTAAAAAAAAAAAAAAGATCTTTGGAGTCTATTTGTTTCGTCCTTGTTTTGAGTCCGTTTTATTTTATTTTTTTCGTAGCATATATTTAAAGTATGTAATTGCTTTTAGGTTAACTTTATGTTCGTTTTGTGCAGTCAAATAACTTTACTAATCGCTGGCTTGTTCGTTTACAGAAGGATTAACAAAAACAGCAATTGCTCCATCCATTCTGCATACAGAAAAAGTAGCCCAGGAAATTGGTAAGTTTAGCTTGCAGTATTATATGTAAAATGCTTTTCATAATTTTGCGCGTACATTATCTCATGCGCTTCACAAGTATATTTAAATATTATTATCTAATTGTTTCTTATTGTTTGACAAATGCAATTAAAGCTCATTGAAATAGTTATTATGCCGTCTAACCAAGTTTGATAAACCGAATACGCTGCTAAAAGATTTCGCTCACATCACCAATATCACCGCATTTCTAACACCATCTTCTATCCACACATGTTGCACATATTACAATTAAAAAATATTTCGAAAACTCGCTTCTCATGCCGCTCATGATTTGCAAGCTTGTCAACTATCTAATTTCTATCTATCAATGAATATGTGCAATTGTCTTACAGATGATGTTAAAGTTGGTGAAGGTGATGATGGCGAAGATCTTGTGGCACGCATCCGCGAGGAAGCCAAAATTCTAGTCGATCACGTGCTCGAAGAGAGCGTTGATTTCATTGAATGCCAGGGGGAACAGCCCAATGGTCACGACTTTATAAAGCACGAATACAATTCAGAGAGTGAAAACTATGCTATAACATGCGACGATATTGGCGGCGTTGATGTCATCAAATCGCCAACCATTGAGTCCATGTCCGGCAAGTCATTCGATGATAACATGAGTTTTACCGACGAGCACATTAACTTACCCTTGCATGCCCAAAACATAACAACAACAACAACAGCAACAACAACAATTACATCGCAGTTGCAACAACATCAGCAGCAGCAGCAGCAGCCCCAAGCTAATGTTGCTGCCACAAGCCCATCAACAGCAAAAGGTAATCTATAAAGCCATGCAATCTGTTAGCTCCACGATAGCATAGCAGTTGGGAGCCTTAAGGGATTTTAGCCGAATGTTATTATCCTTAGGGATGCGTAGTCCGTTGAATATAATCATTATCCTGTATTCTTTGTTTGTTTGCTCATATGTCATCCCCGAATACGTACGAATCATGTAGTGCCTAGTGAAGGGGAAGAAAAGATGGAGGTGCGTACCAGACGTATCGAGCATAAGATTGAAAAGTTATCCGCTGATGTAGATGTCAGCGATGTCAGCGACCGATTTAATGAGACATTCGAGACAGTTGTGCAAGAGGACGAGATAAGTGCTCTGCAGGGTGAATATTCCAAGCTCAGTTGGGATGACAGTGTATCACCCACGACTAACACAATGGCCGACATGGCACAGACCCAACTGACGCCCGATAATGATATTCAAGAATTGACAACAGGTATCATCAGTATATAGCACACACACCTACTTACCATATGATTTAATATGTACCATATATTGCTTTATATAGTTCCTCTATTGGTGATTTGCGTAGATTGTGAATACAAAATCGAATTGTATATTGTACAGCGCTCGTTTTGGTTTACGTTTTCCTAATATATGAAATGGCGGCCAATAATAACGAAAATACTTTTTGTTCAAGTTGAGCTCTAATTGCATTTAATCTTGTGTTTTAAATTGTTAACTATGCTATGCATGTCAACTCCATAAATGTAGATCAATCATTCCTATCCAACTCATTTATAACTGTTCTATTCTATTCTAACTCTAAGAACCTATCAAACTATTTATCGCTAATCCTCTTACTAACCCACTCATAGAAACACCTTGTTCTGTTGTGTTCTTCTTCTTGTTATTGTATACTTCTGTTGTCTCTTCCTCATCTTCTGATTTCGACTTTCGCAACACTTTTAAAATTGCTTTTATTTTCACACCTATTGTTTTGTAGAAACAGGCGGCGATTTACCAATTTCAACCGATACTACCCCTATACCACCGTCGGCTGTTGTAGAAAAAACAACAACAACAACGACAACGACAACATCAGCTGAAAAGGTGGTCGAATCCAATACATTGGCGACCTCCAGCCACGACACACCCACACCGAAACCTCGCGTACTCAAAACAAGCCCGCCCGACTCCATCTCCGAAGGCACAGATAGCACTACCATTCCACATCAAGTGCAACAATCCGACTTACCGATCGACATATCTGCACCAGTTCCAAAACCACGAGCGCCCATTAAGCACACAGATCAGTTTGAGAACCTGGCTGCCTTGGGCGAGCAATCCGACAGCATTAGCCTGCGTAGTTTTGATTTTACAGAGGATATTTCCAAAACGGACGAACCCTCTACAGAGCTGTCCATACGTTCTCAGCAACGGGATGTAGTCACCACGACAACCACTACAACTGCTTCTGAGGATCATACCGAAAGCTTCGAGCCAACGAGTGAGATTTCAGTGGATGAAGCAGATACTGAAAAATCGGAGGGTGTCGAGAAGACAACTAGCTTTTATATTGGCGAGTCAAGTCGAAATGTGATCATCAAAACTTCTACGAAATCTCCAAGCATGACGCCACAGGATGAAGATCCTAAAACCGAAATGAATATTGAGGCCAAAGATATATCCCTGATGAAGGAGGTGTCTGTCGATTCGGATGAAGCCAACGATGCTTTCAAAGAATATGTAACTATGAAGCCCGATGATCCCCTCACTTTAGATAGTAAAATAGTCAGACAAAGTTCAGAAACTCGAAATGATCTCTTAGAATTTGAAAATGCTGACAAAGATAAATCCACCGATGCAAAACTTTCTAAAGTCACCACCGAGGAGAGCCTAACCACGTCGACGGGCTCTAGTGGTCGTGCTGTTATCGAGGTGGCACCTTCAAGTAGTGAAGATCCAGACGAGTCCAGCAAGGAAATTCCAGAAATAGTCAACACAATTGCTGAAAAGCCAGACAAGTTCGAGCTTCCACTTGAGAAAAGTGAGTGGGAAACATCAGAAAAGGAAATTCCTACTGCAAGTAAGCCAAAGGTAGTGCACTCGCCACAGCAACCACAAACAACTTCTGAGAAACAAGTCATTGACGAGATGTCCATTGCAGATATTCAGGAATCTGTCGAGAAAGTAAAAAAAGATTTTGAACTTAACAAAATGCCTCAAACTTTTAGCACTGACGCTGAGAATGAGGACCTATCATCCTTTATAGGTATACCCGAACTTCAAGCCTCCACAATAGACGGTACCCAGCCACCAGAGGGTCTTTTCGATACAACCATCAAGGAGACATTAAACAAACAAGCTGCTGTAGCTCATTATGCCAAAGATGTGTTTGGCCAAGTAGAGCGGCGTGATGATCATGGATCTCTCGGGTTTGTCTCAACAGGCACGGCTGAAGATTTTAGTTCAATGGAGGAACGTTTGACGAAGGAAGAGCAAGGCTCACTTGGCTTTATATCTACGGAAACGGCTGAAGACTTTAGTTCAATGGAGGACTATTATACGGAGAGGCTAGCAACAGCCTCTGTAGTCGTAGAAGAGAGCATTGCAGATAAATCCATGAGCAGTACTTTTGAAGAAGTGATTTCAGATCAAAGTATTAAACCTGTGGACTTAGTGGTTCATCGCATAAAAAGTGATAGTTCGCCAGACTCCGCCAATCGCTGGTCCATTCCTGATGTTGATAATTCCAGCTCCAGTGATAGTTATCACAAGAGCTTCGAGAAAACACACAGTCGTCCACTTTCGTCTGATGTAGAAAACTTGCTTACTGGCACTGGAACCTCAAGCGAATACCAAACCGCTCGCGACATCACACCTTCCACCTGTCGCGATGGTACCGAATACGTGAGTGCAGTCAGTACCCTGGGTAGCAGCAGTGGAAAGTCTATTAGCTCGCATGAGAGCATGCGCAGCCTGGACTCGCAGTCGGAAACATCGGCCAATCTGATGAGCATTGATGTCTCTGAGTTGTCCGAGACTTTGGTAGCATCATCAACAGAAGCTGATGCCTTAGAGGCTGAAGAAATGGCTCGCCTGCACGAGTTGCGCGCAGACGACGACGATAGCGATGAAAGCCTAGATATGATAGCTTCTTCCCATCACAGTGCCGACCAGCAAAGCTCGATGAAGCGCTCTCAGGAAATGATATTTAAGCCTAAATCCGAGCCTGAAGTTATACCTCAGCAACAATCGGCTGAGACAATGCAGATTGAAGAGTATCCTAAGCCAAAAGAAGTCGAGCGTACTTGGGGCTTAGCATATCCGATTGATGAGAAAGAGGGAAAGATCGATAGTTCTCGGGAAAGCGATAAAGGTGAAGATATCTTGCTTTATCACGGCGACCCCAGACGCTCGATTGACGAATCGAAGCTGGCATCAAGTTTAGACGAAGGAAGCATACTTTCCGTCAGCATGTCTAGCACATCGAATATTGACACCGTTGTCGAAAACTTTGATGATTTAATTGGCTCTGCCGGCTCATCATCTTTGACGGGAATTGAAGGTTTTCAGTATGGCCACGATGATCCAGTACCTTCCACATCAATACCCGAAGATACATTTGTATTGGAGATGGAAAGTAAGGAAAATTCACCACAAGACTCAAATGCCAGTACGCCGCCTGGCAGTGAGTCAAAGAGACGTGGTCACAAGCGCAATGAGAGTACGACAATATCTGGAGATGCCCTGAAAAATTTGGACAAGGATTCGGCTTTACCAGGCGAAGGCAAGGAATCCGAAAGCGAGTCAGACACAGATCCCTATGAGTCCGAATATGCTCGTCAGTTTCGCTCCCCGAAAGAACGAAAACACAAAAAAAAGAAACAAGCGGCTGCAGAAATGGATCACAGCTCCGAGCTTGAGAAACGTCCATTTACACCTTCTCAGCTGGTAGCCGAAGTTATTGTTGAGGACGCAACAGAAGAGTTGGAGGCGGAAGCAGCTATGATTGAAGAGCGACGACCATCACAAAACATGCAAAACTATTCAAATATACCTGACATTATGGTAACTGAGGATGTGAAGTCGCCCATTCTAGAAGATGCTGATGAGTACCCCGAGAAGACTTTGTACAAGGTTCGCACTGAAGAGGAGCTTGACAAGGCTACTGATGTTGGCACCTATCAAAAAGCCAAGGCCGAAGAGAAAGAGCTGGACTTCCAAAGGCGTGTACAGGAGCAATATAAACAGAAACTCGAAGAACTTAAACGCGCCGAAGTGGGTGCAGATTACGACGATCAAAGGGCAGCAGATTCACCGGACTCATTCGAAATGGTGGAACAGCCTGATATATCCGACGAGTTCGTCATTATTGAAGAAGTAGCCAAAGAGGCCAATGAGGCTGACCTGGGAGGCAAGAGCATAAAGATTAAGCCAACCAAATATGAGCAAAAGCATGATGAGGATGTCGAAAAAATAATTATCAAATCGGCACCTGCCGACCCCAAACTCGGCTCCCAGTTGTACAAGGACGACCTTAATTTTGAGTTTGAGGAAAGCCCACCAACGGGAGCCAGCAGCAGCAGCGAGCAGCAGGAGGAAAGCGATTCAAGCGATACAGCAGCAGCTAATAAGCGTTGGGTCGAGATGCAGCTAACTGATACCCAGCTGCGCTATCCTTACGATCTGACGGGCGCAGTGCTCGAAGACATCAAGGAGGAGGATGGAGAATTTGAAGTGGGCAGCAGTCGCATCAGTAGTTTCAAGGACTCGTTCTCAAGCACACCCGAATACGATCTGGCGGCACGCCGCTATCATTCGCGCGGGGAACACGACGATGTATCCATGAGCAGCCTGCAAGAGTTCGAGTCACTGGAGCAAGCTATTTCACTAGAGAACCGAAATCGCGCTCACCAGGGCTCCACAGACTCCAGCAACGGCAGCTTCACACGCCGCTATATGGTGAGGCATAGTGGAAGCGGCACAGCGCCTGGCGATGATGTCTCCATATCCAGCTTAAAGGATTTTGAGGGACTGGAGAATGCATGCATCGAAGCTCATCTAATTGAGATTAAGGCCAAAGAGGAGGCTGCTCTGCTCTCGCGTTCCGACGAGTCCAACAAATCAAATGGTAGCGACCATGGCGCCGCGGGTAATGTGGTAGTCACCAAGGTTACTCGCACTGTGACCCGCACCGAAGTGTTGCCAGCAGGGCAAGCTGACAACCTTGAACATTTGCTCAAGCAACAATTGGAAAGGGATGAATTTGATTCGAAAGCAGTTAGTACAGTGAAAATAACCGAAATACCAACCACAGAACTGGATCCAAAGTCAAAGATTGACAGTCAGGATTCCGAAAAGGACAGCATCGACAGCATGGAGATAAGGAGCCATGACATGATGACTAGCAGCATAGAAAGCTTCGATATATCGAAAGACGCCACCACACGCTCAGACATCGACTCGTTGGAAATTGACAAACGGCATTCGCGACAGGAGAGCATCGAATCTTTCGGGGATGAGCAGCTGGATCTTATGTCAAAACTAGTCAGCGGAGGCGGAGTAACATTAGGTGATGGATTGACCACCACAACGACGACCACAACCACCAGCACCGATGCCGATGGCCAAGAGCACACAGTTACACGGGTGATAACAACCACAACTGTCTCTGGTGGCAGTGGTATTCTGGAATTGCCCCTGGATGAGAGCGGTATGTCAAAGGACATATCCGTTGATTCTCTGAACCTGTGCATTGAGCAAACAACCAGCTCGGCAGGCACAACAGCCACGTATCAGACCAGCGCCGGAAATTCCCAGATGTCGGGCAGTGTTACTAGCTGTGCATCAAGTACGTTAATGGAAGACTCGTTTCCTGGTGTGGGTGGCATGTCGTCCTCTCAAATGTCGGCTAGTTTCTGGTCGCACGACGAGTCCACGGTGGTTGAGGATGAGGATCTAAGGACACAACAGCAACAACAACAGCATCAACACCAGTAAAGATGAGAAGCAAAGAATAAATTAATAAAGGGCTTAAACAATGACTAAGAATATTTGGCTAGGTAAGCATTATAAGGCAAGGCTTCTCCGCTTTTAGTTGTACTTATGATTTACGGTTTTTATTTGGTCTCAATAAACAAGCAGTAGAGCTCAACATTGACAGAGAATCATGTCGCCTATATGCAAAATGAATTGAATATCTTTACTAAATTCTAATTTTCTTTCATATACTTTTGCAGACAAGATGTTCAACTAAGGATGCGATTAAAAACGCATCCTCTATCGGATTACTGACTATGAAACACTCTGAATGGGACTCCAGATCACCAACTTTAGACGTCACGGACCTTGATTATCTCAAACTTGAATAAGAAACTAGCAAATTCGTCATTTTTTCATCAGTATAAACATTTTAAATGAATTTGAAATGCAACACATGAGTTTTAAATACTTATAAATATTATAAAAATTGCAAAATTGAATATGGCAAGCATTACTTGTTTCGCATTTTCTGTAATTGGCTTTAATGTTTTAACATTTAAAATAAAAATCAAATCTTATAAGGAACAACAATTCTTGAGCTAACGCATTGTAACGAAATGCAGAATACACATTCGCTTTTAATTTGATGTAGTTATACTTATATGTATCTATTAAATGAATCGCTTATTATTGTAGTTTAATTTAAGCAAAATATACAAGTGCATATGTAAAGAGCAAGTAGGAAAGGAAAGGCCTGGGAAGTGAAATGCTTTTAAAGTCTCATTTTTTACAAGAACCAAGCAAATTTTTACGCTTGCATATTTTAATGAAAAATATACATACAATATTATACAATAACAAACCGAAATGCATAGATAAAATTTAATAACACCTATATACAAAAACACAACCAATAATAATAATTCACATAAAGCCGCAACATACAAAAGATTCATATACTTAATGCTAATTTTCGTAATGCACACCTTGCAGTGTATTCATAATATTCTTACATATTACAAGATTTAAACGTCTTAGCATCACCAGTGTAATGGGTTATAAATAAAATATTTGTGTTAAAAACATACAGCAAATAAAAAACAACAAAAAACATTATTTGTATTGTAAACCACACGCGTATGAATAACCAAATAAAATGCTTAATAAAAATTGCTTTAGATGTTTTAAATCGATTGTATATAATTTCCATTAATGTTCTTATTTATGAATATAAGTTCCTGGTTCACTCGAATGCAGCACAATTTCAGCGGAAACCTTTTCCGATTAGTTCTAATTCGTTATTATAGATTTAAACTGGTATTAGATGGAAAATTTTAAATTTTAAATTAGATACCGCAATTTAATACCAAATACTTGTCAGACAGACGGAAACTATTTTTCTGCGCAAGTATTAATGTTCTTATTTATAAGTTCCTCATTCGCCGAAGAAAACGGTTAGTTCTAATTCGTTATAGATTAAATCTGGTATTAGATGGAAAATTTCAAATTTTGAATTAAATACCATAATTTAATACCAAATATAACGGTTAGGCAGAGGGGAATAACTTTTCTGCGCAAGTACATTTGATAACCATTTAGTACTGACTGCGTGCACTTAAAATGGTGAGCAATCGATTCGATGAGAAAAAAGGTAATTTTACAACCAATTCCAATGTGTGGTTTGAAACCCCGCTGTTTCGGTTCAGATTGATAATTGTGTGCTTTTTGTGGATTATTGTCTGCACAGCGACATTTTTTGTAATGAATGTTCATGGAACAATTCCTACGGTTGAGTTCATACGTGTATAAGTTTAAAACTGATTTGCCTAAATTGTCAAGCACTACATGTAAATGTACCGAATGTAAAGGAACCAGTTCTGTAAGCAACTGGTTCGTTTAGTAGGTAGCTCGACAACACTGGATAGCACACATTACAGCTGACGACGAAAGCAACAGCTGACGAAGCAGCAAGACGAAGCGAACAAGCAATACTTCGTGCGTATGGAATAGAAAATTGGAAAAAAGGCAACTGCACAGTGAAAAAGTGATGGAAAAATGTGGTTTTTAAGCGAGTAATTGCGTAGCAGTTAAAACCCAGTTCAATAAAATACGAATATAAATAATTCAACGCACAAATAAGCTATGAAATTGCTGCCAAAATTTCTTATTCTTCGTCGTTGTTGCTATCGCATTTCGTATTGAGCTGACAGAAGCCAAGAAGCAGATGACAGATGCAAAACTAAAATCTACGTGCAAATTTGTGAAATTCATTGAAGATTAAGATAACAAACGAATGCTGAGGCATTGGTGCAAATAATTCTAATTATACAACAGCCCAACTGTGTTCCCCTCAAAGGCCGAAACTGGTTATACACACAGCGACGACAACGACAGCGACGACGAAGACGGCGGCGACGGCGACGACAACGGCAACGAAGGAACGGGAGCAGCAGCAGCAGCAGCAGCGAAAGGCAGTTCGACGCAGCGGAGAGTGAGGGTTAGTAAAAATCGATTTGTTGCACAAAACGCCACACACACACACACAAACACACAACTGTGACAACCCTGTGCACGAGGGCGAGTGGTTGACATGGGCGGGGCGGGACCTGAACGTGGACGAGAAGCTGAAAAGCTGACGAACTATTCTGATGGGATGCACATTACAATTTGTTGTATACATTTCCAGGCAATGGAAAAAATCAAACTAAAGGTTATTGGCGTGCTGCGCGAGCGCGACGGTGGCACGAATGTGAATCGCAGCAGTGGCGTCTCTGCTGGCGTTGGCAGTCATCAGGTGGGCGTGGGCGTGGCCGTTGCAATTGGGGTCACGCAGGACAATGGCAATGGCAACGACAACGGCAACGCCCCTGGACCAGAACGCAACGATGCACATGCACTAAATGCAGCTGGTGGCGGCGGTGCAGTTACCGGAGCGGGGGGTGCGGCACGCACCTCGGTCCTCTCCCGGCCGCAAACATCAAAAATCAGCGCACTTGATCTGGCAGGCATATTGAACACGAAGCGGCGACTCGAATGGACCAAGGAGTGGCTGCGAAAGAACCAATCCGAATTTCTCAGCAAGGAAAATCTGCTCAGCGAGCTGCAGTCACGCAAGGACGAGTGCTACCATTTGAATTACTTCCTAGCCATAACCGAGAGCCAATTTCGATATCTGGTACAGAAACTGGAGCCCATCATCAGCCAGTATGCGCCTCAGCGCAAAAAGAAATCCTTCAGCGCCGAGGAGCGTCTGGCCATAACGCTCAAGTATTTGGCAACGGGTAAGCATTGCTCGCAGATTGACTCTGAATCCATTTAACAATTTCTTGACTCATTTACTTATATATATATATGTGTACGTTGCGTACATGCAGATCGATGTGCATCCATTTGGTAATGTGTGTGTGTATGTCTTTGTTGCAGGTGAAGTGCATTCTTGTCGAAACTACTGCTTCCGTGCCTCCAAATTTGTGATAAACGAAATGATTGCCAATATCTGTCTGGGCTTCTACGAGCACCTCAAGGACCAATACGTGACACTACCAAAGACTGATGAGCAGTGGCGCAACGCGGCCACGGACATGGAGCGCAAACACAACCTGCCCCAGTGCGTGGGTAATCTGTTTATGCGCAGCATTCAGCTGCAGAACAGCGTCAGCAACGACGATCGCAAGCGTGCGGCCGTCATCTTTACGGCCATTGTAGATGCGGACAACAATTTCCAGTATGCGAAGGTGGAGCGTGCGGCGAACAGTCGGCCAAATGATATATACAACCAGACCACTGCCGTTGAGCTAATCGAGCACAAGATGCAGGCGTTAGAGGCTCAATCGGAGCCGCATCGCAAGGGCTACTATCTGGCCGGTGATGCAGTGCTGCCCAGCACATCCTATTTGATCAGTACGCGCAATTTGGCCAAGGAGAGCCCCGCGTATGCTGCGCTTGAACAGATTAATGCTCATGCTGAGCAAACGATGCGCATATTGTGCAATATATTTCCCATACTGGCGCAACCACTGCGCGTCAGCGAGAAGCACATCGGGGAGGTGGTGTTAGGCTGTGTGGCATTATATAATTTCCTGCGGAAGACAGACGATTCGTTTCGGCGCAACAGTGACAGCATAGTGCAGCAGCGAGGCGGCATGGAGCAACAGCAGCCCGCCTATGTGGACAGTGAGGACATCGACGAGGACTGCATCATGCTGGCCACCGAGGAGGAGCTGCGCGAACGAGCCGAGTTTACGCCTAGCGTTGGACTGACCACCTGCTTTCAGACGTTGAGCGCACAGCGTGGTGATACGCCCGAGGGCCAAGCCAAGCGAGACTGGCTGCTCCAGCTGCCAATAGTTGGGGCACAACAGCAAAATGGCAATGCCACCGCGAACGGGGGTATATATTAGTGCAATTTTACCTAAGTACTTTACGAATTTTGTATAGTTCCTTGTTTTCTATTTCTATTTTCTAAATCATAATCTATATCTTATATATGAATTGGCATTGGCATTGGCATTGATTATGTTGCTAGCCATAGTTTTGCCTCTTTCTTCTGCATTAAGTGAGCTGTTCTTTTGCTTCTGTGCTTTAAGGTTCTGTAAAGTTAGTTTAGGTTTTTAATTTGGAAGTTCAGTGAAATGCTATGTGTGATGTCTCAAATCTCTATTGTGGCCCAGTGCTCCCGGGGAGCTTTGCGAATGCGACAACCAAACGTTTAGGCGCGCGAGTATCGAGATGAAAGAAAACAAAAAAAAAAAAACAAAAAAAAAAAAACGAAATAAGAAAACAGATCAACAAAATTAAAAGTTTAGTATTCGTATTTAAGCAAACAACAAATTATACATAATTATATTTACAATAAATGTGTAAGGAATGGTCTTTACGTGTCGAAATCTAAGCACGGCATCTACTTAACATTAAATACTGCTCCAATGCGGCCAGCTCTGCACGACAACGTACAACGCATCTCCCGGACTTTTGGTGGCGCTCAGCTGACGATGGCCCACCAGCTGATAATTCTCGGCAAGCTGACCCTGTCTGACAGCATGATCCAGTAATGACTGTGCAGCAGCCAGAGCTGCATCCGTTGGCGGCTGCTCCTCGAAGTTTCCAATGAAGGCAATGGCCAGGTTGCCGGCATTATTACCAGCCGCAATTGCGCCCTGTTGACTTGGACTGCGTCCCTCGTAGACAAGGCCATTGCCGCCAACCAAATAGTGATAGCTAATATCCGAGTACTTCATTCTCATCATCTGGTACGTCTGAATGCTGGCCACCTGGGCCGCACAGCTCTGATCATCGGTGCAGCCACGCCCAGCCGTGTGAGCGATAATGGCCCGGCTCAGCGGTAGCGTCATCATCGTCATTTCCCCATTTGGCGGCCGGGCGCGCCAATCCACGCGAGAAACTATGGACAGCTCAGTCTGCCCATTGACAGCGGCGAGTGCCATAAGAAAACCAAAAAGCACGCTCCAGCTAAAGCTCATCTCGGTGCGGATCTCGACAAGCAACTGAACTGCTGCTCGCGAATGCGCTGCGAACTTATTGACCGCTGATAATCAGCCTGCCCCGAAGCAGCGATTAACTACACTAGACCACAAGAGCTGAGGGGAATTTTCTGTGGCGTCACATAAAAAAACATTTACCTTTGTAATCATCTGCGAGGGCTATTTTAATAGTTGCTGCCGATGCTGAAAACGCGTTTTTCAGTTTTAAATAAAACCCTAAAAATTAGTTGATCAAATAGAAGATGTTAATTTAAATTTATTTGATTTGATATTTGATCTAGGCTATTACCCGATCGATTGGCATTAAAAAAATGAAAATCTAACTTTTGACCCTAATCGACAAAAAAAGCAAGGGGTTACATCACGTTTTTTGTCAAAATCGGGGTCGATTCGAAAATCAAAACTTTTTTCATAGTTTTTTTTGAATATCTCGGGTGAATATCGTCTGATTTTAGAATGTTATACCTTTTTTAATTCGTACGGATCCCTACTTTCAATTTGCATTCAATCAAATCAAAAATCGATGGATTAAAAAAAGTTGTTGGCCAAAAATCGATTCGTTTGTAAAGTCAACCTTTTTTGATGATTTAATTGAATATCTAAGCCAAATATTGTATATTTTTGGAATGATATACCATTTTTGACTCGTAAAGATCAATACTATCGATTGGCGTTCAAGAAATGAAAATCTAAATTTTGACCCAAATCGACCAAAAAAGCAAGGGGTTACATCATTTTTTTTCTTAAAATCGGGGTCGGTTCAAAAATTAAAACCTTGATAATTTTTTTACAATATCTCGAGTAAATAACATCCGATTTTTGAAAGTAATACCTTTTTGAATTCGTACGGAATCCTACTTTTATTGGCATTCAATAAAAGTAACAATTGAGTGGTAACAAGAAAGTTGTGCATAAAAAACGGTTTGGTCATGTTATCGAACTTGCTTTGATGATCTCGGCCAAAAAATTAGATCGCTATTCATGGCACCTAGTTGACCTATTTATCCTTGGCTATTCAATATCATGGATATAGTCCTAGCGAGCCTAAAGGACCGAGCTCTCGCAAAATGCGCAAGAACATGGTCCATAAATATGTATGCTTTTCTTTTCAGCAGCCTGGATGGTTCCTAGTTGACTTGCATATCCTTGGTTATACCATATCATCGATGTAGTCCTTGGGAACCTAAAGGATCATATCCCTGCAAAATGTGCATTGAAATGGTCCACAAACATGTATGATTTTTCTTTCAGGAGCCCTTTTACATTAGCTGCAGCTGCAACTGTTGTTTAACAGGCGGCTTACAGCGATCATTTTACATAGACTGCTAATTAACAGCACTCATTTTAATTGAGTTACATTTTTGCCCCTTAATGCTATGCAATGAAAATTTTTATCGTCGACCTTCTGGGGATTTCTGTTCGCCTGGTATTTGAGCGTAATTTTAGGGCAAATTTGGGGCGTAGCCGCCGATCAGGGCGCCCCGTATGGGTATGCAATGAATTTTTTCGGACGCAAAAATATTGTACATCGACCTTCTGGGCATTTCTGTTCGCCTGGTGTTTTTCGGAAATTTTAGCTAAAATTTGGGACCCAGCCGGCCGTTAGGGCGGCCCTTTTGGGTATGCAATGAATATTTTTTGTCGACCTTCTGCGTATTTCTGTTCGCCTGGTATTTCGGCAGGTTTTTAAGAAAAATGGAGATATGACGTTCCAAAACGACATAACTCCAGCGCCAGCGGTTGCCGATGGAGATATGACGTTTCAAAACGACATAACTCCAGCGCCAGCGGTATGCAGTGGATTTCTAAAAACCGTTGATTTTTGAATTTTTAAATAAAAAAACAGGAATTTCGCTTTTATTTTCAATTTATTTATGTTTAAATTAATAAAATTTATAAAACTTCTTAATTATTTCTCTTAAAATTATATAAATCGAGCATAAATTATCATTATTGCTTATTTCAACTTAAAATAACTATATCTGGCTTAATTTAAGTCCGATCCTGAAAAAATCTGCTTTGCCACTCGTGGAAGTCCTAAGAGGTCCTTGTAGTCCTTAATTTGGAAGTCTGAAAAGATAAAAACACATTTTAATTAAACAGAGCAAAAAATATATATGGAGTAATTTTTGCAAGGAAAAAAGGCCATAACTTAGGCATGTCCTTGCAGATTTCCAAAGGACATGGTGCGTTAGGTTCGCATAGACCCCCTGCATCGATCTGCATCAAAAAAATATGGGGTCATCTAAGAACCCCAGGACTTGTATTTTTACTTGTGAAATTTTCATCCCGGAGCGCACGGAAATGGCCCGAAAACACAAATCCTTGAATATCTTCAAAACTAGCAGGACGATCTTAATGAAGTTTGGCCAGTTGGTAGTCCTGGTTAATACAATTTATTTGCCGCAGGACTTGTCAGGATACGCCAGGATATGGCCGAGCTATGGCCTGTTTTCTTTTGCAAAAATTGTCCTTACAACTTCGCCTTTTAAAGGACTTTCGTCCTTTTTGTTATATTTTCTTAATTGGGAGGACGAGCACTATCTACTGTCCAAAGGACATCCCGATAGTCCGTCAAATGGCCAAGTTAGTCCCGAATTTTTCGTTTTTACCACTTTTGCGACTAAACCCCTAGGAAAATTTTCGGTAAAATTTTTTGTCGAATCATGGAAATCCTTGAATGCCAATCGATAGTCCTGCTCTCCACGAGTTCAACACGGTATATCCTTCCGATATCCTTAAGGATTTAGCCGAGCTATGGCTAATTAAAAAATGTCCTTTTTAGAAAATTGGCAATATCTCTGAAACGGCAAGGACGATTTTGTTGTCCTTTGGACAGTTTAAGGTCCTTGTTCATACGAATTTTTTGACACAGAACTTGTCAGGATCCGTAAGGATACGGCCGAGTGCTGGCTTTGATAATTTACGACAGAATTGTACTCATATCTAGACCGTCTGAAGGACTTTCGTCCTTTTCATTAAACATACTGGATTGGGACGATAAGGACTCACGGTCGGCAAATGGACATCATGATCGGCAAGGATACGGCCGTTCTACAACCTTTTATCTTTGCAGACAAAAATGACATATTCTAAATAAGCAGAGCAAGGACTGCATGTTGTCCAAAAGTCGCCAGAATGGTCCTTAAGGTGGCCAATATCTCGGCAAAAATAAGAACGATTTTGATGTCTTTTGGGCAGATAACAGTCTTTGTCCATATGAGTTGATTGACACAGGACTCGTCAGGACGGCATTTATACGATTTTCACAAAAAACGTGGTGTAACCCCTTGCTATTTTGTTGAATTTGATTAAAAATTTGTTATGATAAGAAATTCCAACATCGGACATTATTTGGCCGAGATATTCCAAAAAATCATCAAATCCTTTACAACTTAACTTAACAACTTTTACCCCATCGATTTATAATTTTATTGAATTCCAACTAATAGTAGGAAGCCGTACGAATTTAATAAGATATAACATTTCAAAATCAGACAATATTTACCAAAAATATAAAAACAAAAAAAAACATTTTTATTCGAGCCACATCTTCCTAGGAATAAAAAAAAACAGGTTCGAAAATCAAAACTTTGTTGATAATTTGTTTTTGAATATCTCGAAAGGTTCGGAATATTTAAATGTTATACCTTTTTGAGTTCGTACGAATCAGATGAATCGATGGGCCTTCATTATTGATTGGAATCCGAATTGACAAAAACGGCATCGAATTTAATTAAGTTATTGATTAATGGGGTCAGTCAGTCAATAATTGAGTACAAATTTGATCTCGTTATAAAGAGTTGTTTGCCCTGACGGACTTAAAGGCAAACTGATTAATTTGTGAAGAACTAGAGAGCTAAAAATTGTTCCTAAGTTGGAAACTCCAGATGCATCATCAAGACAAACAATTTCATAAATAGAGATTTTGTAACTTAACAAACTTGCGAAAAGCTAAAATCTATTTGCAGTGGTTGTTGTGCTTATTGGGAACTTACGCTTACATCATATTCGCAATTCGAGTGGGATTCACCGCGGGTAAGGTTCTTCACTTGCCGTAACTAAGACATTTTAATACATTTTACATTATGTTAATTCTTACGCGAGCCGAAAAAAAAAACCACTACTTGACACAGATGTGCTTCACAATAATTTAATTAAAAAAGTTTCGTAATTAAATGCAAAAGTACAGCAGAAGTAAAGCCAAAATGGAATGCAATCCATTTGCCGAGTCGTGCGGGTGCGGGCAAATCCAAAAGTGACAACGAAAATGCAAGTAAGCGCCCCCCAATTAAAGCCAAAAGCGAATATAAAGTGTCATAAAAAACGAGAAAGAAAGGCTATCTTAGGCTATCCTCGAAGATCTAATACCCTTGCAGACCCAACCTTTTCCTAGTGCTTTGTCCGTATCTGAGAAGCACAGGGAAAATAGTTAATGTCGAGTTTGGTTAAGTTTTCGACCGATCGTTCCTATGGCAGCTATATGATATAGTGGTCCGATCCAGCTGGTTTTGACATATGTGCTGCGTGCAACAGTAAGAGGGACTTCTGCTAAGTTTCATAAAGAGACGGACAGACGGACATGACTATATCGAGTCGGCTGCTGATACTGCTCAAGAATATATATACTTTATGCGATCGAAAATGTCCCCTTCTACGCGTTACACATTTAAAGACAAAATTATAATATCCTCTGCAAGGGTATAATGAAAGGAGCAGGGGGCAGGAGGATGGAAAAGCCGCAACAAAGCCAAATGCAGCAGACACTGCAAGCAGCTGGGAAAAGTGCTGAAAAGCTGTGGAAAAACTGTTTGGGCTTGAATTGAAGTGTGCTCTATGCCGGGCAAATATTCAAGCCAATGCGTCTGTTTTGTGCAGTTGCTTAGCTAAGCGACTTGTTTGTTGTTCAACTTCTAAAATCTGCAGTAAAAACACACATATATATATATATATATAAGTATTTTTTTGTCAACTCAATTTTGCTGTTTTGCTTTGGATAAAGTTTCGACAAATGCACT